CTGCATGAAGTTTTGCGTACTTGGTATTTACATACAAACACACAACACACATAAACAGAAGCACCAGCAGCAGCAGAAGCAGCAGCGGCAGCGGCAACAACAGCAGCAGCAGCAGCAGCAGTCGATTGCCAAGTGCAACAGCAGCAACAGTAGCCCCCATGGCTGACTTTCCCATGGAAAATAAACAAGAGTTCTCCCCGACAGTCGCCAAGATGTCTGCGACGGGTTTTGGCTTTTGCCACGTCTCACCTGGGCTGGGCTGCGCTGCTGCGCTGCTGCTGCTGCTGCGGTGGTAGTGTGGGATGAATGGATGAATGTGGCATGGCTTGGTGTGTGTGGGGGTGGGAGGAGGTGAGCCGAGGTGAGTTGGGTCGCTTGGGGACAAGGACGTCGTGGAGGATGGTGTCAGGATGTTGCCGCTGCCGTATTTTAATAATGCATCGAAATGAAAGTGGCTGTCAACTGGAGATTTGACAGCTGCTTTAGCTTACGACAAGGATCGATGATGGCATGTCAGGTGCGTAGACAGACACGACAGCCCTGACTACTACCTACAACTTCGGCCAGAGTTGCCATGACTTCTCGCCACAGATTATTTCACTTACTGCGCCAATTATGTGCGATAATTAGGTGCGGGGAGTCAGCCACCGCCATTGAGGCAGCGGCAGCGGCAGCCATTGGGGGAATTCGAATCGAACCGAACCGAACCGAATTACCGCCTCATTAGCACATGGCACTCTGGTATTCCCAGGGCCCGGCCCCCTGCTCCGTTCCCGTTACTCATAAATGCCATAGATCTTTGGGGGCCCGGGCCCAACAGCACCACCAGCTGGCCCACTTGATGGCATAAACAGATTGCATGGCTCTCTCTCTTTGAAGTGCAAATTACCCGCGGGGTCAACCGATGCTCGCATTGTGGACTGGAAGGGAGTGTTGCTGTTGCTGTTGTTGCTGTTACTTGCGGCAAAGGTGGATGCGGTAAATGCGGTGGATGCGGTACTGAGTTAACAATGCTTCTTGGCCATAATACATCTTGAAAATCTGTTTAATGGCTCTCTTCCTCTAACGGTGGTTGGGTAGGGCTGGGGCTGGGGCTGTGGCCGGGGCCACTTGAGAGGCTTTTGAAGCTGTTGCTATTTTAATGTGGTCGATATTCTAAATTTAAACAAATAAACAAACATACCCGCAACAAATACAATTGCCTCTGGATTGCTGCTTGCTGCCGATTGTTGAAAGTTTATTGTTTTTAAACCTGTGCAGCAAAACTGTTTGATATACCTATCCGCCCCTGAGCACCCGATAATTTGGCACTTAAAACGTGCGAAATTCATTCACATTTTCACTTGATTCATTCGGCATCGCCGGCCAAGAAAGCAATCACGGTGAGTGCTTGGTTTACGACCATATATTCAACCATCAGATCCGCCCCGGAGAGTGGGTGAACACACACTCATACACATCCGCTGCCCTGCCGTGCTCTTTTTTTTTTCTTCTTATTTTTTGTCGGCTGGAAATCAATATGAGTAATACGAAGCAATAATCTATGAGATTCCCGCAGTTTGCAGGTGGAGGAGGGAGGCCACACGAAAGTTTATACTTTTGAGTACTGAACACATTGCTGCTCTCTCCTCGCTTTGAAGTGGGAAAATAACCAGAAAGATAAAATTATTACTGAATTTATAGGGTTTTTTTTTCTACTAATGAAAATCAGCTGCCCAGCCGATAAATAATTCCAAGCTTATTGCGTGCTAATTGGTATTATCGATCAGACCTGATTCTGGAAGTCATTATAAAACATAACATAAAACATTAAAAGCGATAAAAATAAGGAAATATTTAATATGTCGCCGCTCCTGGAGGCTCCTTTTTCTCGTGTGAAGTCTCAAATAAAAGTTAAACCAGTTGCATACTTTACGGGGCACTACTGCCCACTACCTTATGTACATACATATATTGGTTGCACAAACTAACTGCTTGAGGACCATTTTGCTCTGATTGCCACAGAGTCCAGCACCTGTTACCAACAAATAACTTGCTGAAAGAGGAAACCTTCCCGCTTACCGCTTCACAGTTCAACAGCCACATTATTGCTCACGCATTTCATTTGCCATATAGAAATCGTCTCGAAATCGTCTTCCAGCTCCAAACTAAACATCTCAGCCATGTGATGTGGAAGGGGCAGCAAGAGACTGGAGACTGGAGACTCCGCTGCCACGCAACTAGTGTCAAGAATCGCATAAATTTCCGATTCCGGGACGGTACGGGATGCTCTACGGGTACAACCGAATGCGCTGCGTTGCGTTGGACTCAAAGTGTGCCATTTAATGGCCACCAAAGGTCACGTTCACACCGCCGTAATGGCTAATGGGCGACCGGTCTGACAATTCAGGTAATGTGGATAATTTGCTGTCAATGATGTGTAACGAACGCACAGCGGAGATGAGAAAAGCGCTGCCGACGAGATGCGGTCCTTGTATTTGTTGTCAAACAACAACACGCACCTAATAGCCCGGACCCGGTGCTGCATTTTACGGCGCTTATAAATAGGCTCTACTAGATGTTAATGTTCGTGTCGATGGGGGCAGAGAGAGGATGCGCTGGATTGGGGGGGACACCGGGACGCCGGGACACGAGCCACGGGACCCCATTCAATTTTGACAAATCGCCTGTTGTTGAGCACAGGCCACAAATCCGTGCTGATCGATGATTTGTTGTCTTTGATCTGAAAATGGGAATGGGAATGCAGATGGAATGAGATGAGATGTGCTCCAACCGCGAGTGTCGAGTGAGAAAATCAAATTTTGACAAGGTGTTGATTGCCCCCCCAAAACCACCGACATGCACTCGACTCCTACATAAACTCGACTCGTATTCTATGCAGATGTGATGTGATCCGTGGGGGAGGGGAGCAGTCAGCCCATAAATCAAGCAGACCCACAGAGCAGAAGTAGTCACGCACTAAACTATAACTATAACGATTAAGTTGCGGTTGGGCACCGGGAACTAAACAAACAAGACGAGCGGCGTTTTATGGCTTAACGTGACCGATCCGTCAAAACGAAAATGGAAAATGGAAAATGTAAAACCAAAACGAAAACTCAAACACTGTTATTTCAGACTCTGATTGTTTTGTCTTTGGTTTTTCGCGTTCCACACAGATTCAGAATCGATCTGAGCTGAGCCATAAAAAACAATATTTGTTTCCAATACTATTCCCAGCATAGATCTAAAAATAATCAACCAAAACATAGTCGTGCAGAGCCGAGTCGGGACGAGCGACATCTATCCAATGTGGTGGCCGGTGGCCCGACCCTCAGGGCGGAGGAGTGGGTTGTCTGTGACTCTGGCACTGGGAGTAGGATCAGTCGGGGGCATTGGATAACCCATTGTTTTATGACCCATTTTTCCAGCGGTAAGCGATCGTAAAATTTGAATAAAGCGAGAGAGAGCGTGAAAAATCCTTTGTGGCATCTTCCACACATGTCAGAGATGCGAACTGTGTTGGCTGCTTGCTGCAACTTCAATTGGTCTTTCAGTATTCCGTATGTGGTTGGTGCTCCGTTTACCCTACTTGTATTTGTGTTCATTGTTTTTATTTCTTTCAAATGATCTCTGCTTTCTACTTGAGAACAGAACGATCGTAAAAATCGATCGTAGTCCTGTTTGAAATGTATACACAATTATTTTACGACCTTCCAAGATATAGACCAAGACTTTCGTTTCAATAATTTCGTACTTGAATACACCGTTTACTCTTTGCTTTCACTCCCACTCTCTCTCTCTGAAAAGTCGTAAAAATTCAAAAGGAAATTCTACCAGATAGCAATGTCAGGAGGCTATGCTATGCGGAGATAAACCAATCTCTCCTGTCATTATCATACAGACAGACAAACAGACAGCTGTGCATAATCGGGTGTAGTGTTTAAAGTACTTCTTGGGAAATATATTTTGATTAGAGTAATGTTTGCTATGATTTTCCAGTTTAATGTTTACAAACCAATCGAGTTAAGGCACTTCTTCTTTTGGAGACTCCCTATGTTTGTTTTCAATGGAACTTAATGAAGCTTAAACATGTTGGTGGTAGCAGCCTCTTACTGTACAAAAAACTTTGGAGATATCTTATAGTTTTTATGTTTTTATTGAAACTTTATTGATAACTGGCCCAAGGACCTCGTATGAGCTTATAGCTTTGAAAAAGCATTCAATTTACTTTATACTTTATTGCACAATTTTTTCCTTGCATATCCTTTATTGTACAAGTTATAAATTGTTCAAAATATTACCAACTATTAACCCTAACACACACAATAAATACCCTTTGAATATCTAAGAAAAAACCTTCTTACAGCTCTTGGAATTGCCCGGAACTCATGTGTGTGGGCCTGCTGAAATTTCATTTGTTGAAAAATCATATTTTCCATATAATTGTAAACACATTGAAAACATTCAGCCACACACACAGACTGAATGAGATCTTGGCTCCTCCCACAGCGGAAAATTCAGGCAAATGAGAAACGAATCTCGCTGTGAACATCTCTCCATAAATAAACATGGAACGAGCAGGAGAAACGCTGTAAGAACCGCCCACATTCTGACGATCAGCCATACAGATGACTGCAGTCGATGGTTATGGAAAATATGATAACTGAAGAAATATCACTGGCAATAATAACAGATTATTCCATCATCCAACTGATAGGAAAAGCGATCAATGAAATACTACTAAAGCTGGAATGCTATAAAATATATAGGTATGTACTGATACATACTGATCTTTGGTAATTATCAAGTTCATAAAGTCTTGCCCTTAAGTCATGATTGATCCCTCACTGCTGCTCTGTCCCGAGACTTGCTCTCTCTCCCTCGATCTTTCTGGGAACTTAAACATGTGTGGATATAGTACGTATTTATAGTCCAATACGGTGTTCTCCCCAAAACACACACACGCAGGCAGACTCTCGCTGAGGAAGTACAAGTGAGATCTCTACGTATCTCTGCGTATCCGTAGACAGCCCACAAAGTCCATTCATTTGTCGATCGGACTTCTTGGCTGACGCAACGAATAGTCGCGCTCGCTTCACACGGAACTTCGGATGTTTTATGGCCCTGAAAAGCGGGACAAAGATCGTAGGATAAAACCCATACAAAAGTGAAGTGTAGTCATTGCTCCAAGGACACAAAAAAAAGTCCTGATAGTGTGCCAATAAAAGTCCAAATAGTGATTTAAAGAGAGCTTTAAATAAAACAGAAACTACCAAAGTTATAAGGAATAACTTACAAAATGTTGCCATCCTGCTATTCGAATGGTTCGGTACTGCCTGACAACGAGGAGCTGGTCAACTCGCTGCTGGCCAATCCCGAATATCTTCGCACCAATGCCAATCCACTGGGCCCAAGTGCCGTCGGTATGGATAGTCTCATGTGCAGCTCGTTTCCATCGGCCTTCTACTACCAGGGCATCGACAACTTCCTCGCTCTGCACAATAATATCTGGACTCTGCCCATATCCTTCCTGCACAACACCCATCGGCCGGAGAAGCCACCATTCTCCTACATTGCTCTCATTGCGATGGCCATCAGCAGTGCTCCCAATCAGCGTCTAACCCTCAGCGGCATCTACAAGTTTATCATGGATAAGTAAGTTCAAAAAGGATGTCCCATAGATCTGCTGCTCTTTCTTGATCTGTTTTAATTTAAAGAAACTTGCCTGAGTTACGACATTTATAGGAAACTTTTCTTTGGCTATAAATTATTTCATTTACTTCAAGTTCCGTTATCATGAACATTCGAATTATTTTAGTTGGCAGTCGTCTAAGTCAATAATGCAAAGATAAACAAAGCTAGCATTCCAGATTTATATATAACTAGAAGAGACCACAAATATATAAAAATATATACATATACATATATGCACGCATGTTGAAACGCATTTCAAAACAGTTGAAAAAGCATTGGCATAATCTGGGACTATAGCTGTGAAATATTGAACGTACATTTTCGAGTTTTATTGAGGAGAACAGCCATACATTCTTTAGCCCATTATATCATGTTCAAAATGGGGTAAATATCTGAAAGGATTACATTTATACTTAACGTTGATATTTATTTAAATTATCTTTGTGTGATTTTTGCAATACAAAATTATGTCTCATAAGGAATCTGGCGGATTAAATACAAGATTTCCAAATGAAGATACGCTCTTAAAAGCGAAAGGAAACCGTGTCATAGCTGAACAGATCTTATTCTTATTTGAATTAAATATTAAATGTTTATTTGCACTTTCGATTCTTTTAGATTCCCCTACTATCGGGAGAACAAACAGGGCTGGCAGAACTCCATCCGGCACAATCTCTCGCTGAACGACTGCTTCGTGAAGGTGCCGCGGGACAAGAACACCATCGATGACAATGATAGCGCCGGAAAGGGCAGCTACTGGATGCTGGACGCCTCCGCCTCGGACATGTTCGAGCAGGGAAACTACCGACGGCGTCGAACGCGGAGACAGAGGCACTGCACCAACGCCAGTCGCTATGAGCGGGATGCGGGCAAGGTAAGAGAAGAGAAGAGGCTGGAGAATATAGTAATCCAATTCATTTATTGATTCCCTCAGGATGCCACGGATGGCAGCAGCACGGCGGAGATCAGGTCGCCCAGCGACTCGCTGATCGACTTCGATATCTTCTGCAACGAGAGGCCCAACTACTCGGATCGCATCACAGATCTGCACCGTCAGTACCTATCCGTCTCCCTCGGCTTCAACAGCCTGTTCAACGGCGACCCAAGTGGGGTGCGGCAGCTGCAAGTCGCCTCCACGGCGGTTAGAGAATCCAACGCAGACGCAGACGCCGACGCCGATGTGGATGGCGATGCCTCCACGGACAGTCCGTGCTCCAGTTCCAGCAAGACAGCTCAGAACGTCCCGGATAGTGCGGCAGCGTTGCACGACGAGTTACATTCCCCGAGCGCCTTCACACCGACCCTCAACTGCAGGCTCCCAGGGCTGAGTGATGCATTTAGGGGGATCCAACATCTGATGCCCAGCGATACGGCTCCAGCACCTAGTACCAGCCCCACAGCAGCGACCAGTCGTTCAAAGACGACGCTATTCACAATCGACAATATTATTGGCAAGCCCTGAATGGTGCAATATGGCTGTTACGGATAGCATAGCATTAAGTCTTTTCACAAATTTCAATACATTAAAAATTATAAAAAATTATATGAGTTACAGATGTTTGTTTTATTTTTAAGAAATTGTTCCTTCAGAGAGTATTTTAGAGAAATTCTTTAAACTTTATCCCAAGGCTACGACAATGGGGGTTTGAAATGCGCGCTCACTGGCCAGCATCTCCGTTGACCCTTTCTAGGTCACACACCTTGCAACTTCTTGGCCTTTTCTAGCCGATAAATGCAATTTCGCCCCTGTGTATATGTCGCAACTGTGTAGTTACCGTGTAGCTACACAAGAAGAAAATGGACATTTTACGTCAACCTTGTTTGCTTAAACTCTTTTTGATAAATATTCCAGTCATAAGAAATCCCTTAAAACTAGCCAAACTTGTAAGTAATAGACTAATCTACCGGATAAAATGATGTGTTTAGTGCTGAGAGGGCCAACTAGCTAGTAATATTAAAGGGAATATCAAAATTGACAAATTTCATGTCACAAAATATCATGGTATGGCAGCCCGCAGCAACTACGAATGGCACGAGTCTGGCAGCGCCACAAAAAGCGACGTCACATTCGTTTTATTGTTTTAACCTTAATATGTAAATAATCTAATAAAAAGGACTTCTGAAAACATGCCAATCTTGTAGAAAATTTATGTATCTATCGGATTAAATTATTTGCTTAGGGCTGAGATGGCCAACTATCTAGTAATATTAAACGGAATATCAAAATTGACGAATTTCATGCCACAAAATATCATGGTATGGCAGCCCGCAGCACCTACGAATGACACGAGTCTGGCAGCGCCACAAAAAGCGACGTCACATTCGTTTTATTTTGTTTTAACCTTAAAATGTAAATAATCTAATGAAAAGGGTTCTGACTTGCCAAACTTGTAAATAATAGACTAATCTACGGGATAAAATTATGTGTTTAGTGCTGAGATCCTAGCTGGCTAGTAATACTCTACCGAAAATCCAAAGCGAGTTAAATATATCAATCCCTGACGAAAATGGATATTCTAAACGAATCTGTGGGCCTCGGCGTGGATTTAATTATTTTGGGCCTCTGCGTGCGTGAATATATGCACAACAAGAAGGTGGCACGACTTTTGAAGGTGAGGGTCGCAGAATTGCATCATCAGAAACACCTGTTTACATTAGTATTTCGCAGACCGCGCCGCAATACAGCATCGATGGAGATCTTAGATCCATTGTGGAACGTAAACAGAACAAAAGCATACCATATGCGGTGATCCGAGGCACTGTTACGCCCATTGGCGTGCCCCTGCGGAGCACGCTGGTTCCCAGTGTCAGCGGTGTGCTGCAGATTGTGAAGTTGCATGAGCACCGGGTGGCCCGGGGCTTTGCCGGCTTCTGGATGGAGCAGCGAAAGCTGCTGCACACGTCTGCCAACGAGATGCCCTTTGAGTTGCGAAATCAGAAGCATGCCGTCGAGATTGTGGACGCCCTGAACGCATCTGTTCTTGATGTGGACGTTGTCTACGACAGTTACGAGCCATCTACACTCTCGGCCTTTGACCACATCTTTGGATTCTTCAGTGGCGTGCGACAGAAAGGCCTCCAGACCACGGAGGAAGTTCTTCGCGAGGGCAGCTTCCTGACGGCCATCGGAAAGCTGGAGCTGGAGGGAGACTCATTGCGTATGCAGCCGTCACAGGAAGGAGGACTATTTCTGACCACCGCCACTAAATCCGCGCTTGTAAAGCGGTTCGAGGACGCCAAATGGACATCGATGTAAGTGGACATACACCTCAAACGATTCACGGCTACAAATGAGCCCCGTTTCAGATTAAAGATAACTTTTTGCGGCGCCATATCAGCTATCCTGATCGGCCTCATAGCGAAAAAGTTATATCGGAAGAGAAAACAGCAGCAGGAGGAGGCGAGAATACACAACCGCCTGGAAACAGAGCGACGCGAACGCCGTGCCCGCAGTCGTCCGCTGGCACTATCCGAGGATCAGCTATGCGTCGTCTGCGTAACAAATCCCAAAGAGGTGAGTTAAGTGGATGCAAGGCCAAGATTTCCATCAATAACATTATGGCTAATGGCTTTCAGATAATTTTACTGCCCTGTGGCCATGTGTGTCTGTGCGAGGACTGCTCCCCACACATTGCCAGCCAGTGCCCTGTGTGTCGGGGCAAAATCGTTTCCAGATCCGCTGCGTTCATCGCTTAGACCCCGTAGCCTACAGCCAAAAGAAATCACGTGTACCTATGCCATGTATAGCATATTGTATGTTACAAATTATTATAGTGTTGACAAAATTTAAAGGTCCTCTCCGTTCATAATGCTCCTGTACTGCCGCTGATGCTCCAGCAGCCGTAGGAACACCTTGTACTTGCGATTGTGAAACTCCAAGGTCTGGCGATTAGGCTCCAACAGCTGTCCAGTGCCACCCATGGCTTTCGAGGCGCTCTATAGGGATGCAGAGGCTTAGAGTTCGTTTGATACATTAGGTAGGCTATTTTGTGGCACTCACCTCGACACTATCAAAGTGACCGGCGGCTGCAGCTCCCAGGGCAGCAGCTCCCACCAGAACCATTTCCTGTTCATCCGGTATCAGCGCGGGCAAGTTGCAGATGTCAGCATGACATTGCACGTACAGCGGATTCTTGGCCAGACCGCCGCAGAACAGAAGCGTTTGGAACGGTGCCCGCTTATGCTGATACAAGTTTTCGATGATGTGACGCGTTCCGTACTGAAACAGCAGAATATTAGAGTAGATTAAAGTTAGATTCCTTTACAATTCGTACTTACGGCCAGGGCTTGAGTGTAGGACAAGTATTTGATGGCCAGAGATTCAATGCCGCGCGTCATATCCAGGCCAGTGATCTGTGAAGAAACATTTGGTATTTGGATGGGTTAGCTGCAGCATAAACGCCAGGTTCTAGGCCACCTACTATGCCTCGCAGTGTGGGATCGGCAACGGGCGAGCGATTGCCGTGCAAATCAGGCCAGACGTGCACATCCTGGGTGAGGCAACACACTTCGCTGAGGCCGCGCGCAGCAGCCAGCTCAGGCAGTAGCTGATTCAGATGCTGGTAAATATTTCTGCAATAGATTATAACTTTGTTATTGCTCAATTGTAATGTGCTCATACATACTTATCTGCCCCCAGCTTTTCCTTGAGCTCGCCGTAGGATTCGTGTGTCTTCAGCACATGATCCAGCAGATGACCGGCAATGCTCTGGCCGCCTTCGTTTAGGAAGTATCCGGGTATAATGGCATCCTGGTACGGGCCCCAAACGCCCTTGGCAAAGCAGGCCTCTCGGGTGATGCTCATGTGGCAGGTGGAGGTTCCAGCTATCAGGGCCATTTTCCCCTGTACGTCGTCGGCATCTGCAGAGCTACCAGCGCGGCAGCCGAACATGCCCAGAGCGCCGGCATGGGCATCGATCAGCGATGTGCTGACCACAGTGCCCACAGACAAGCCCAGATCCTCGGCAGCGCCAATGGAGAGACCCTTGCCCACGCGCTTGCCAGGCGGCTGGACATCGCTGCCGAGCTTCTGGAAGTTGTTTGAAATCAACTCTTGCAGTCCCGCGCCGCACAGGAACTCCTCATTCCAGCTGTTGGCCGCCGCGTCGTAGTTCCACTTGCAGACAACCGAGCAGAGGGAGCGGGTGTCCACGCCGGTGGCACGCCAGGTCAGGAAATCGGGCAGATCAAAGACCCGCCAGATGCTGCCATAAGTCTTGGATAGATTCCGCTTCAGCCACAACAGCTTCGGCACCTCCATCTCGAGGGAGACCTGACCGCCCACGTACTGCAGCAGAGGATGCTTCTTGGCATTGATCTCCGCCGTCTCCTTCTCGGCCCGATGGTCCATCCAGAGGATAACATTCTGCTCCACCGCACCAGACTTGCTGACTGTCAGCGGCACTCCGTTCAGGCCCAGGACCACTAAGGAGCAGGTGGCATCGAAGCCAATGCCCTTGACTTGTGTCTTATTGACGCCGGCAATGACATTCTGTAAAATCGGGATAGGTTGGCTGGTTAATCTAATCTGCGCCCAGACCAGAGGTTATCAAATGAGACGCCTTTATTACCTTCACAACCTTACAGATTGCAGACCAAATGTCTTCGGTCGACTGCTCGTAGTAATGGGGCTCCGGCGTCCACGTCTTGATCGCTTGCACCGCCTGCTCCACCACCTGGCCATCGGCTGCCACCAGAGCCGCCCTTGCACTGCCCGTGCCCACGTCTACACCCACAAAGTACGACGACTGCTGGGACATTTTCCGGCTGCCTTTCCAGCTGCTTTCAATTACCTTTGCGGTCAAATAAATGTTATATGTATTAATGGATTGCACAAAACCAAACCCCACAACAGTCGACCGCGCACTGATAACAAATTTGATATGCGCTGGAAGCTACAAAATCGTTGATACTTGTGTAGGTAGAAAGATGTCTGTATATTGGCTGTTTATACGGAGACGAGTCTTGGGACTGTGTACCGGTTTGCAAAGATCTTGTACTGAGTGGGAGCAGGCTTAACAGCTGGGAAACTGCTCGACTGAGATGCCCTTTGCCACCCTTACAGCCCCTTTGGCAAAACATTTTGGGGAAAAATCTCAATCTGATTAGCACGTGAAAGCTGGAATTCTGTTTAAAAAGCACACCTGATTGATTATCTCAAAAAACGGCCAATAGTTAAGTGATTTATTGTTGCTTTTGTTTTACTTCCGCGTCGGTGTGTGTTTATCAACACATGCAAATTAGTTAAGTCGTGTACGATGCCTCTACAGCAAGCACCCTACAAGCACACCTGATCGCGACGAGTCGCTCTTCAGTAAACCACAATCCGAACAGCAGCTCGAGTTCTCATTCAAACATTTAAATATAACCGAACGAACCTTCTCTCTCGCTCGGAAGATCGCAGTTCGATATATATCGTTTTCCAGCTGTCTGGCAGCTCGCAAAACGAGCATTTTAAACTAATTTTCACAACAAATTAAAGATCAGCGTGAGAAAAAACAGTGTGGGCCTCGAACGATTGCAGTGGTTTAGTTTATTAGACTATTAGAAACAACTCATACTGCATATGTAAACTGATACCATTGATAACGTTAAAAAAGTGTTGATTCAATAGATTTACTGATAGGTGACTTTTACAGTAGTAGCTGCATTTAGTTGACAATCAAAAGCAGAGATAGATAGCTATAATGGCATTGTTCGCCAATCTTCTGAAGGTCGCGAAGATAACAACAAACATTTTTGCAAATAATTTGAATGCAACGGTTATAACAAATTTGGCCAGACATCGATATTTATCTGGCTGGTTTAAAAAGAGGGGGGTTAAGTGGGCTAAGTTCGTTTTTTTCCTCGGTATATTTTACAAATGATATGGTATATTTCAGTACATTCTTGAGCATGGTGCGAATCAAAAATAGGTAAACATTGTTAAATTAAACAAATTATGATGCTTAATGGTGTTTTTCCCCCACTAGGTACATAGCGGTGCAAATTGTGCCCTTTACACCCACGCAGACACTGCGTCTGACCGATCACAGCCTGGCCAAGTGCTTGCTGCAGAATGTGGAGAAGCACTATGGCGTGTACGGACTCGGCGTTATAGAGCATGGATTTCGTGTTAAATATTGCAATGAACGCACCAAAATAGCCATTATACGCTGTGTGCATCGTGGCCAGCGTTTCGTGTCGAGCATGTTGCCGCTGATTACACTGGTAAGTGAAAAATCTAATTGATTGAGACATGCCCCAACACCTTGAAGTTTCAGATAGGAGACGTGAGAGCCAAGTTTCGCACGCTGTACATTGGCGCCACAATTATACAGTGCAACAAGTTCATCATCAAGCATCAGAAGCAGTTCCTGGATCGCGTGATGGGACAAGTGGAGTCTGCCAAGGAACGGCAGGATCTGTTCAAGCGCGTCATGGAGTTGGACATGGATAGATAGAGATTAATGACACGATAAACTGATTTCTAAAGTATATAATTAAGTAATTGTAGTATATGGCTTTCTTATAGAAGGCCGTTGTTCCGATTTGACTAAAAGGTAGTGCTTATTTTTGGTATTCAAATTATACTTCGATGAGGAATTTGCGACTCGGCGAACGAGGTAGCCTGGAGCCGAATTGCTTGAATCTGGAACGGATGTCTGCAAACGTCAGCTTATTGTTTTTGCTGTAGACATTGAGATAGATGCCGAGCACAACTACCAGACCAGACCAAAGATATCTGAAAAGAGAAATATGTCAGTAGAGAGTAAAAACAGGATATTTAATGTTACTCACTGTACTGTAAATGGTTTGCTGAAGAGCAAAAAGGAAAAGGCGATGGTCACAGCCTTGCGAGCGGTTGTCACTGTGGCAGCTATGGGGGCACCGCTGCTTCTCACCAGCGCCAACACGAATTGTATGCCCAAGTAGCCGGAGAGGCTGAACAGGAACCCATAACCGAAGGTTTGCAGGGGATGCTAAAATATACGGATCGTTAGAAATTATCGTCGCGAGAATGCCTTATACTGACCTCTAAGCAGAAAGCGAATCCACTGAAAAAGTTGCCAGTGATCAGCATGATTACAAAGAGATAAACGAAGCCCAATCCATACGAGTAGAAGACCACCTCGCTGCTAGGAGCCTTATGCTCCCTCATGGCCTTCTCCTGAACATTGCCGATCGCCGCATCACACAGCAGAGCTCCCGAAATCATTGCCACTCCCAGAAGATTAAAGTTGGGCGTCATTTGGGAGTCGGCCAGGGTAAACCAGGCCAGACCGATGCACATGCAGGAGGCTGCCGCAAAGTCCAACGGTCCATATCGCTTACCCTGTATGAGGATGCTGCCCACAAGCACTGGAATCAGTTTGCAGCACTTGAAGATCACTTGGGTGGGATAATTGAGGTAGCCTAGGCTCGAGTTGGACAGGCCCATGGTGCCCAAAGTCAGAGCAGCCAGAACCAGGTACGTTTTCATGGGAATGCAACGTGGCGCCGGCTCAACGTCCCACAATGAGCGTCGTCCCGTTCTGTAGGCCTCCAGGCGGCGTTCAACCAAACCGAAGCCAATGTAGTATGCGAACTGGACGAGCGTGAGGAACCAGCCATACGGCTTGAATCCCTCCACCGTGAAAATGAGCTCCTGCAGATAGCCATAAAGGATGTAGAGTATAAAGACGCCCGCACAGCTCAGCAGAAACTGCGTTGTCTTGTTGTAGTACGTCAGGTCAAAGCACAGGATACGTAGTTCCGGCGGAGGCTCCGATGATGAAGATTTTCGCGTCAAGGTCGGAGAATTCGCTGTCGCTGCCTGCTGCACACCAGCACTCCCGTTGATGTTGATAACGCTTCCGGCTTGACCGTCACTCATTCTGGTCGTCACTCGAAGATTGTGTCGTGTCTGTATCACAGAGTTGAGTCCAGTTGTTTGCTTGCCGCGTAGAGTAGATTACTGCCACGCAAGATGAGGGATTCCACGTTAACAAGATTGATTTGACATGCCGCTCTTTTGGTTACATCATTTGCTGGCCGTGTAAGATTCTGTTCTTTAACGAAAACTACACACTCGCGGCATTTGTTTACGCTGTTTTTTTTTTAGTTTCTATTGCACAAAAAAAGTAGTGTAGTGTAGTGGTAATATCGATACTTCTATGCGATAGTTGCTGTTAGATAAACATCGTTTAATTTACTGAACCAGTTCGTTCATTCATTTATATTCAGTGAACTGAGTTATTTTAGTTTGTTAATTTTTGCTCGTCATTTTTTGTTCTTAGATTAATTTGCATTCCCCTGATTTTCGTGGTGTAATCACGAAATCCAATTTGAGGAATATCAACATTGAATGTTTTGAAAAAAACAATCGATACTATCGTAAAAGTATCGGGCTCAAATAATTATTAAAAAACCATTGAAACCTTTTAGGAACTTGTCCATTGTAAAAATTAGATGCGACCTGTCGATTTGCTTACAAATTTGTCTTCGTATTCAATAGCAGCCAATCCAAACATATCAAAAGCGCAACGACTGTAGCTCGATACTATCATGATAGTCGCAAAACCGTCGATAGTAGAGGCTAGCAGTAAAATATCGATACTATCGATAGTGCCCTCGATGTTTTTTCCAGCTCTAGTTGAAATCACAAAAAAAAAAAAAAACTGGGAAAAAAGTGCCGCGCCGCTGAAAAAACGCAAAAAGTTATGAATTTGGCCATTTGCGCGAAAGTTTAATAATAAAAACAGCAACAGGATGGATGTACAACCACCGAGAGGTAAATAAAGGACGGAATAGTGTCGCCGGTCGCCCGCACGGTGCCCAGTCAGACAAGTTCTAGCACACACACACACGCTCGTGTAGTAATTTATGGGACCACATTTGATGTGCAAAATTGCCTTCTTTCAGATGCCAATTTACGCAATATAATAGATAAACTGGCCGAGTTCGTAGCGCGCAATGGGCCCGAGTTTGAAGCAATCACCAAACAAAAGCAGCAAAACAACCCAAAGTTCGAGTTTCTGTACGGCGGCGAATTCGCTAACTATTATCAATTTCGGGTGGCAGCCGAACAAGCATGTGAGTAGGCAGAGCAGAGACCCTGTTTAAGTCGACGTTTTGACGATTGTCGTTTTTTCCAATGCAGTGCTGAAGCAACAAGGCGTTCCATTACAACTGCCAGGGGGCCCAGCGTCAGGACACTATATGCAACATCCGCCGCCGATGCAGCAGACACAACCACCCTCCCACTACGCACCACCAAATAACCAGCAACAGCACCCGCCCGCTCCAAACAATCTGCATGACAACGCACAAGACAAGATGCAACAGCAACAATCACCGCATTTATGGCCGCCAAACAATGCCGGGCCCGGGGCGCCGCCAAACAATCAGCCAGCCAATGGCTCGCCACTTACGCTTAATCTGACGACCCAACTGGATGCCATCAAGATGCAGCAAAACACACTGCGGGAGCAGATCAAGCAATCCGAAGCGAATCTCTCTGCACAGCATACGGTAAATTAACCTTGATAATGCAATCTGGTAGAGGACCAGATGTACATACATATCTATATATATTATTGCAAGCATTTTTCAAAGAGATCAGAGCGTACAGAGCGTGTTACACAAGGGTTGCACTGCTTCCCTACTGTCAATCAATCACTTATTTAAGTCTGAGTCTCTCCTTGAAATGGATCCTCAATTTAAACGGATGTATTCCCTTTTTAAAGCTGAGATCTCTCAATATTGCTTCACAGCATACGAGTATGGCATGAGCTATATGATGGGCTCTTTTGTAAAGTTTCCAAAGTTAATCATTAGCTCTTTTAAAGGGTAGCCCGTTAATTCTTTCCATAATTTGAAACACTTTTTCTGCTGTACTTTTGGTTATACCATCCGTATGCTTTCTTCGTTTTCCGGCGAACATCATCAATTTGTGGGCTCCTTGCTTCCTTATACCCCTTCACTGTTTCAGTCTCTATCGATCTCTCCTCTCCGTATTTATTCTGCAAGTGTGGATGCGTTCCAGTGTTCTTTCAGCTTTACTCAAATACATTCTCCATATTGTTTTCCATTTTGATTTAACTATTGAATTAACAATTTACAATCTACAATGCTACATTAATTTTTGCTTTATTGTATATTTTTTGAAACATAAACCAAAAAAAAAAATACTCTTCATACCAACTGACAAAAAAACAATGTATAAAAACACCCAAAAATCAAATTTGTTTAAAACGAAACTATCGTTTACTTGTCGAACCGCAAAAATATATCTTTGTGTGCCCAAAAAAAAAAACAACTGAAAAAAAATGCCCAAACTGATACCAAACCAAACCTACGAATCCGAACTAAAATCGCACCACCACCAACCAAATGAAACTCCATAGGCGCTGATGTCGCAAAAAACAAAGCAGATCGAGGAGGCAATCGCGGCGGCGCAGACGGCCCAACTGGAGCAGCTGGCCGGCGAGCAGGGGATTGTGCTGCGCGATTTCGATGGAGTCCTGCAGCCGATCATCGATGCGTGCACCAAGGACAGCATCTCAGCAGGTAAATATGAGTGATGCGGTGACCCAGGCGGCTCCGGCAGCACGGCCCGCATGCGATTAGATTCTCGATTATTGATATTTTTTCATAGATGATAAGCTAGCGAAATGTATGGTCCATATGCACACACATTCCATACACACACACACAAACCTAATGAATTCATACAAAAAATTAATTGATTAATTTCTATATTTGATAAATGTACCTATATTTTTTTATAAATTATAAATGCACAGTGACAATGACAATATGAGTAACCTGTTTGATATTGCAATTTTAGGCAAGAACTGGATTTTACAGCATTCAACCGACAGCGCAAAAATCAATGTCGTTTTACAATATCTTTTAAAGAAGTATGCCTCAGTTTATATAATTAATGATCCTCCACATGTATTAATGAAATTGTGTTTCTTTCTTTCAACGAGTGAAAATATTAACGAGAGACAAAAGAGAGAAAATGTCGAAACGCAAGCGAGAGAGATGATCGATTCGATTGAGCGAGCGATTGCGATTGCGAGAGACTCCCCCAGAGAGCCTCGAGATTATTGATTCGTTAATTATGAATATGATTCGATGATAGTTATGATATCTGATCTGGCATTCTAGACCATAGTTAGGCCAACAGACACACCACACACAATCACACACACGCACACACACAGAAACCCAAAAGCAACCTCCCCATATATCATTTACTTTAAGAAAGCTTATCTTTAACACACACCACACACCCACAAATCATCAGTAAAACAAGTGAAAACAAATGCAGAAAAGAGACAAGATAATAAGTGAAAGAAGACCAAACAACAACTAACACAATATTCATAATACATGCACAACAAAATCATTTTGGAAAATGTTGTTGTGCATACAGAAAACTAGAAAAAATATGTTTTTCGTTTGTTAATTTATTTTTAGGGCTTTGGTCAATGGTTCAACGTTTCAGCAAAAATTGCATCTTATATATTTAGTTAATGATATACTCCACCATTGGTAAGTTCGCCCAATCAACCTTAACTATGATAAACACACCCAAAACTGTGAGAGCCAAGCAACAGAGCGACGATTCAGCTTCGTTACTTGGCTTACACAGTGGCTAGACGGGTATCGGACGGAACGGAACGGGACGGGGAATAGACAACAGACACGACACCCACTGAACCGTAGACATGAGACATTTGTGTGTGTCCATCATAGTCAGGAGATATTTTGTTTAAGCATCACAATATATTTACAGCATGCGCAAAAACATCAACGACTTGAAGAACAGCCTGGAGAACGTCGTCATACCGATGTTCTGCAGCGCAGATCTGAGTATGTATACCCATCGTTGTGATTCGTTTTTAATTTGAATATTAACGATTGCCTTTTGCACGATAGTTGCCAGCATGGATCAGCGCCAGAAGCTTGCCAAGCTGTTGTCCCTGTGGGAGTCCAAGGCCAAGTTCTTTGATGCATGCGTCATCTCGAAGCTGCAATCGCCGGACTCGTCCATGCAGGAGTACAAAACGAATCTGCAGAACTCTCATCACGATATAGCAGCCAAGTTCACACAAAACACCAAGGCCACTCTGGACAAGTGAGTAGATCCTCGAAAACGGTTTTAGTTGTAGTTTGTAAACTATTCGTTGTTTCCTTTGTAGCTACCAAAAACAGCATCAGATATTTATCCAACATGCCAGCCAGCAAATTGCACAATTTGAGCCGCAAAGGCTGCAACTCGAACAACAATTGATGGCATCACAAAAAGCACAACAGCAGCAGCAGCAGCAACATCAACTTCTGCAACAGCAGGGCCCGGGAACGCCACAGAAGAACATACCATCGTTAATGTCACATCGGTTACTCATGCCCGGAGAACATGAACACATGAATACGCCACCACCTAATGAGGCGCCACATCCCCAGGCTGGGAACAACATCTATGCAGGAGCCAATTTCCACCAACAACAGCAGCAGCAGCAACAACAACAACAGCCGCCCCAGCAGTCGGGCAATCATTTCGGAGATCCGCGAGGACCAAACTTTTTCATTCCGGACATGTCGAAGCCGCCGCCTGGCTTTGCAGGACCAGGACCCATGCACCTGCATGGCCAGGTGGCAGTGGCCCTGCAGCAGCAGCAACAACAACAACAGCAGCAGCAGCAGTATGGACAAATGCCCGGACAGGGGGCAAGTAATGAGCCTCCCGTTGATCTGGGCGTGCTCAATGCAGCTATTCAGGCAGTGATGCAGCTGCAGCATCAACAGCAACGACATCCCGACGAGCCTCAGCAAAATCCACAACAACTTCAGCAGCAACTACCACAACAGCTTCAGCAGCAGCAGCAACAACTAACCGGATATCCACAAAGTTTGCGACAAGCCCAAGGAAGTGTCGATCCAAATGCAGTTGATCTGGATGCCCTTAACGCAGCCATTCGAGCAGTTATCACACAGCATCCGGATGACATTCATGCGGAGCAAAAGCTCCACATGGAAGATGGCCAGCAGCTTCTGCAGCATCATCAAGGTGAAGGTGAACCGGCAGATCCGGCCGTTTTGGCCGAGCCACAGATACCCACAGCGCCTTATTACGACTTGCCCGCCGCGCTAATGGTTCCCCTCATACGGCTGGAGGACTACAACTACAAGTCCCTGGATCCGGCGGATATTCGGGTGCCAGCACCGGCGCCGCAAAGCGAGCGCTTGACGAATGCATTGAATGCTTTCTATGCGGCGCCCTCCCACGACCGTCCAAGGGATAAGTAAGTGCTCTACACACACGACGCTTAGACGGGCGTTTCATTATGATTTTCATCTTCCAGTGAGGGTTGGGAGAAGCTTGGCCTGTACGAGTACTACAAGGTGAAGAATGGTGCGCGGAAGAAGAAGGAAGAGGACATCAAGGAAGGCATACGGGAAAAGTCACGCTCCCCCAGTCCCATTGTGCTCGAGAAGCCGCAGCCCAAGCAAGGCAATAAGCGATGCTATCGGTTGGTTATTCGTATAAATATATTCTGATTTAAATACGATCGATCCCCTTGCATTTCTTATCTAGTTCCCAGACTCGCAGTCGCTCCCCAGTGCATACACCTCCGCGTCGTGAAAGGACCCGATCACGGTCGAGATCTCGCTCAGCGGAGCGGACGTTAACGCCGCCACCGCACCGCAATCGTGGTGCTGGCGGCAGTGGGGGCAGCAGTCGAAAAGGGCGCCACCGATCGCCGCGTCATGAACGTGACAACAACAGCAATAGCAATAGCAGCGGCAGCAACCGGGAGAATCGTGCGGAACGCAACAATTCCAATAGCAACAATGGCAACAACACTTCTCGTCGTGTGGACCGGGACAGATCTCCAACACCGCCCAGCTTCCTGTAATATGATTCCTCCTCTCTAATTGTGTTTCCTTATTTGAAGTTAAATTTTCTGTGACTTTCAGGGGAAGCAACTTTCCCAAGCCGCAGGAGTTCATTGAGGAGACAAACAAAGGCCATCAAATGCTGATGAAAATGGGATGGGCGGGCACTGGCACTGGTTTGGGCTCAAAGAATCAGGGTATAGATGCGCCCATCTCGGGCGGCGAAGTGCGCGATCGTCGCGACATGTACAAGGTACCGGGAAGCGAAACTTGACCATCCCTCCAAAACCGAATAGCCAATACTCAAACGATTTCTTTTTCCATCAGGGTGTTGGCAACAATCTGAACGATCCCTTCGAGAGCTTCCGGAAGAACAAGGGTGCGGCATTTGCCCATAGAATGCGCACCAGAGATGACAAGAGTTAGGATCTGTTTAAACTTATTTCTTTTTTTTTGTTTCCGCTAGCAAAGAAAATACATTTTACACAAAAACAAACAGGGGATTCGAATCTTATTTATGCCGAAACATTTAGGCAGGACTGTGCAGCCTTGGCATTGACTTTCTCGAGCACTTGCAGCAGCCCCTTGCCCGGACCACACTCGAAGGTGCGCGGAAATTCGGCGCCCTGCTTCCGCTCGTACATCTCGTGGAGGATCTGCTCCCATTTGACGGGTCGCACGATTTGCTTCGGCAGTTGGCTGAGAATGTTCTTGGCATTCCGGTATGGCTTGCCATCCACATTCGAGTAGACTCGGATGATGGGATCCTCCAGGCGCAGCGACTTGAGCGCCTTGGTGAACGGCTCGACAGCGCTCTGCATGAGAGGAGTGTGGAAGGCACCGCTGACACTCAGACGCTTCATGCGACGGATCTTCAGGACTTTGGCATTCTTCTCGAGGAATTCTAGAGCCTCCACATTCCCAGCGACGACCTTGCAGTGCGGATACATGTAGTTGGCTATGCCGCAGTAGGGCGACTCCACTCCCCGGTCGAGACACCATTGTTGGGCCTTGGCGCAGGCGTCGCCCAGATTCGTGTCCGGTCCGTACAATGTCAAGGCCATGCCTCCTGCTGCCCGGTCACAGGCCGCCTGCATTGCTAAGGCCCGCACTTGCACAAGCTTCACAGCCTTATCAAAGGGCATCGCTCCGGCGTATACCAGTGCAGTGATCTCGCCCAGACTGAAGCCAGCGGCTGCCACGCAGTTTTCGATGGCCTGGGGTCGCTCTTCGCGCAGCTGCTCCAGCGCTGCCAGCGAAGACACCATCACAGCCAGCTGTGCGTGCTCCGTCCTATTGAGCTTCTCACGTGGACCCTCCAGGCATATCTTCAGCAGATCGTATTTCAGCACGTGGTTCGCCAGTTCAAATATCTGCCTTGCACCCGGAAAGCGCAACAGATCCTTGGCCATGCCCACATACTGGGTTCCTTGGCCAGGAAACAGCATCACACTCGTCTCCTTGGGATCGATGGCCGGCCGGCGTTTTTGGTCCAGTGGCTCTGCCAGCTCGTTGAGGAGCTGCTGGCGTTTATTTTCATCTGCCAATGGTGAGGCGGGATCTGTGGTGGCTTTGACTGCATCGCTACTCCAACGGGACCAGCTCAGGTTGCCGAAAACTCGTGTTCTTCTTACGGCAAACATTTTGTACTTTATTGTGGGGCAAACAGCTGATTGTGCGTACAGTTGCAGTCCGAACAGGTGGCGCTGCGGGGCGTCTAGCGCGCTCTGGCGGTAGCAAATGGCACCGCAAATATCCGTTTCGCTTTCAAATGAAAAACGTCACTGGGTCTCTGGGTCTGGGTTTTTGATTTATGTTGCTATGCTAATAATTTTGGCATTAGTCATGACTCAACGAAATCGTAGTATTTGTGCTGACTCAGGGTGACTTCCACAAAGTCACCTCCAGTTGGCCATATTTGTGGTTTTGTTTGTGGAAGAGTATTTAATAGCCCGCACCATTGGCTGGAATGCCCTGGGAAGGTTTTCTAATTTGAAACACGATCGTTCGTTCCTAAGGAAATGCCAAAGTTTTTTGAACTCGTGTGCAATGAGAAACCCTTCTGCGGCATGCCACACAAAGGTAAAAAGGAAGATAGCAAAGGTGAACGACAATCTGCAGGCGACGCCGCAGCCGCCGGCAAAGTCAGACACGACACTGAAGATGACGTGACGCACCACTTTCGCCCTCAGTGCAAAGAACAGGCCATCAGCATCAAAACAAAAACACTAGCTCACACGCTCCTGCTCTGATCTGTCCCTTCCGCGCCGCAGTCCCCATCCCAGTCCCCATCCCTGAGCAGAACGTCTCTGCTGCCTTCACCTTCTCGGAATACGATGCGACATTCCCTTTTCTTTTCTTGTTGCCAAGGCAGGACCAAACCAATGCTCGTCTAGACTGCACGAATATCGGAATCATATTCGGCACCAGCGATGGCTATCTCTACGAGTATTAGACGGAGAACCAGTTTTGGAATTCTTTTTTCTTAAATTTCGGCTGTTTGGGCAACGGCAAATGATGATGAGGGGGACAGGCGGGGTGTGTGCCCAGGTATGCCCAAGCATGTAGGCTGCGTGGAGAGCGTTGACATTGTCCGCAAGTGCCGGTGTGTGTTTTCTGGCCTGGCGTCTTTTAAAAATCAGGTTGTGAAATTGTATTTATGAATGAGAATAGCCGCTGAGGCGATATACAAGAACATAAAATAATGAAATGCATACATTTGGCAAATGCCAAAGTATTCGACCACATTCTTCTCTCCACAAGTTTTGCTAAATTCTCGACTTGGCTAAAGATTGCGAGACGTGCCAATACCGTTAGCTCGATTGAGTGACAGCAGAGACAGCGGGAAAAAATTCACATTCCGAAGGACAGGACATGAGGCACAGTGTATACATGTGTACGTGCGGCTAGGCGGAGAAATGTAATTGCGACTTAGCGTTGCGTATACGACGCGAGGGCCGGAGAACGTTTCCGCATGCGAGAAATGCAACGACAGGCACGGACGAACTCACAAAAACTCGGCCGAAAGTGTACATTGACCGAGAGACCAGCTAAAAATACGAGTACCAAAAGAACCCAAAAATTACGCCCAAAACAGCAAATTATGAACGCGCCCCTCCTCGATTTGGATGCAAGTGAGGTGAAGACCTAAAATAAAACGAAACGACGACGAAAGCGCGACGCGATGCGTTCCCGATGACGCTCGGACTGGGAACAACCGTTAAATGATCAATGTCAGTATAACGTCAATGCATTGGATGCTGCAACGCCAACGAAAAGAGAGAGAGAGCGCGCGAGCGCCAGAGAGAGAACACAGCCCAAGCCAGCTGAGCTGCTGAGAACTGAAGTGCATGCCGATGCACATGCGTACGGGAATGAGAGTGAGAGTGACATTGAAAGTTCTTTTCGCTCTGCGCCCATTTTTTGCTGCTTTGCTTCTTTTCTAGAATGAAATATGTAACAGTAGTAAAATTACATAGCACGTGTTCATCCAGACTGATATCCAGAATGCACTCTAACAAATTAACGTTGAAATAATTAAGAGTTTCAGACTTGAACTCCAGAATACATACACCTCACATAATTAATGTTGGAATATTTCTTATCAATATATAAAATGTTTTAAGATTCAGATTTAACCATTAGCAGTTCAACTTCACTTTTCATTCATCATTAAGATTAACTAGAATACTCGAAAATACTTCTTAGAACATACTTTTAATCTTGTTTACATGATATGGTTTTATAGTTTTGTTATTGAATTCTTTATCATTAAACGTAAATCTCTGAATGAAGAATCGCAAAAATTAAAAGCACAACGAGTGGAAATCCCCTAGCAACAAGGCCTGAGTTTTGCCAGAGCGGAACTTTCACCGCCACCTGAAAATCACAACAGCTACATACCCTATTACAGCCCCAAGGTGATAGATTAGACAGTAAGCTGTTTCCTACATCTTTATCTTTATGATGTGACCACAAATGCCGCATAAATAGATGACTCAGTTTTGCTGGGAATCGAATGATGTTGAAATAAAATACATGCTGAATCAGTTTAGCACTGATGGTCTTCGCGTTAAGGCAGTGATGGAGGCGGACGAGGCGGCGTCTAAAAAACGACTTATTTAATACAGATCCACCATCCACCATGCTCGATCCTAAAGCCGTCTGACGTACGTTTCGTGCATCCTTCATTCATTAAAAAATCGCCAAAGAAATAAAAAGAAAAAAACCCAAAAATCACATTTCTGAATAGCCGGCGCCTTTGACGCTTACGCAAAGCGAAACTCTGACAAACGGTAAAGAGCGCATCCGAGTGCGCATGGGCAGCCGTAGCCGCAGCCGCCGCCGCAGTCGACTGCTCTTACTCTCACCCTTACTCAAGAGCAGCGTCGAGAACCTGAGCCCGAAGCTGCGCTCCGCTCGGTCGTCCTCGATTTACATGCGGCGTATATAAGCTAAGCGGCTTCGTGTCGAGCTGTCATAGTGTGCTCGCTGCTTATCAGGTGACGGTCGAGTCGGGTTTTGTACGATCAGAGAACACGCCAGTAAAAAAAGTTCGTTGTGCGATCTTTCATTTTCCCTGAAAAATAACACGTATACGTAGTGTGCCCCCCTACGAAAGGGTTGTGATACATCAAAAGGGGATTATTATCCATTAATAAATCAACCAATCATGAATGCAAAGGTGAGTTAAATTTCCACAACAAGTGGGGAATGATTGAGCAAGAATAGATTTCTGTTACATTAATTATGATCCTTCAGTATTAGTGCCTCAATTTTTCTAATTCAGCCTTGCATATATTTATTATATACCTCTTACCTACCTACAAATCTTAATTATTGAGAAAAAGTGGGTGTGTGCAGGCAAATGAGTAAATAATTCCGCTAAAAATATAAAAATTCCCGAATGCGCTTTTGTTCTGCCCCTTCCCCTGGGGCTCCGTCAAGCATAATGCGCCAGATGATTCCGATTGGGATAAACAAATTGTCACCGCAAAATGCGGAAATGCCTACCTGGCGGGGCGGGGCGTACGTATTACATAATTTCCATTTCATCTCTTTGTAATATCGGGGAAGTTTCGGTCATTAAAAGCGGCAATTAAAATTTACCATTTGGCTGAGACGACTTGCAAATGCGCTCCAGTTTATGTTTGGGTCCGAGTCGAGCTTTTGACCCACTTTATGGGCCGCATAAGCCGTCGCAGGGGAGACGTCACCACATCCCAGCTGGCGTCAGCCCAAAGTGGTTCATCCAGATGCGGTCCCCGATCCCTGATCCAGAGATACAGATACAGGTGGCGAGGCAGCCGATTAAGAACATTGTAACACTTAAATAACAAAAACTCTGAGCGGTTGGAGCTGCAGCGTCATACGACTTATAATTAGGCGGCGGAGGCCGGTTGTGATTTAATTTGGAAACAAACACTCAAAGGCGTCTTTTTCTCTTGCAGTTCAATCTGTGCCGATGGACACTGCTGGTGCTCGGCGTCTTCTGTCTGCTGAATGAGTCCTCGGGCAACTACTGCTCCCTGGAAAAAATGAAGAAGTTCGCTATGGAGGCCTGCGAGCATCTGTTTCAGCAGGACGAAGCTGGACGGCGGGACAAGCGGTCCATAGAGTACAGCCATCACCATCTGAATCGCCTGGGATGTAAGTATATTAATCAGATTACATATTGACTGAATAAGGTCAGAGAGTCACTCAACCCGACAATTGCATTCGGAACTGGCAACAAAAAACACGTTTACAAATTGTAGACGGCCTGTCGGCAATGCGCGGTCATTTGCATTTGCATAAAGCAGTTCCGATGCAAAACTTAACCGTTTTCAAGGCGCAGGTTCAAGACCGCTTTTACTCAGACATCATTTCCCATTTTTGTTCACTGTTTACAGTCGGCAAACTGCACGGAAAGCACCATTTAATCAGCCGTAGTAGCTATCCCATTGGTGGCTATCTGAAGGTCACCCGGGAACATTTCCGCCGTCTCAGCGATCTGGATGTGGTGCCACGCTACAAGCCTAAGAAGGTCCATCAAGAGAAGATGGGGCGCTTCAAGCGGGATCATGGCTCCATCACGTACAACAACATACCCTACTGCTGCTTCAACCGCTGCGACGAGGAGTTCTTCTGTTAGGCGAACACATCCACATCATCTGACTCCGTCCATAGCTTAGATTAGTTTATACACACACACACACACACACACGACTACAAGACGCGCTCACTCTTATAGAGTCCGGTACCTTATTTGTTCCCCCTTGGAAGGGACCAAAAATCTTGCCACAGTATTCATACATTTAGGTAGATTAATATTTAGTTGTTAAGACGGGCAAATGTTACCCAAAATATATAGAAATACATTAAAAAAAAACAGACAAATCTTAATAAAGATAATATTAATAAAATCTCACAAGGCACTTGTACAGTGGACGCCATAGGTTTAAAGCTCTTGGTATGATCACATTTCCATTTAACAGACGGACAAATCCCTGAACAATTAAAGGACTCACAAAGGACTTATATAGTACGTGCCCTTGCAGACGGCACACTTGTATCTGCTGCAGTTGGCCTCGTCGAGTGGTTGCAGGGACTGAAAGTACTTGGAGATCACGTTCAAGATGTCCTGGCGGTGGCGCTCAAGGAATTCCACAGCAAAATCATCGTAAGTATGCACGCAGTGCATTAATATCCGATAGAGAACCGTCTCCGTGGAAACGAACGTGTTCAGGGTACGGTCAATTGAGTCGATATTCTGTTCCACAAAGGTGCGCGTCATTTCGATAAAAAGCTGCACCGCCCTCTCGCTAAAGTACCGGGCCAGAGCGTCCAGCACGTCCGTAAAGTTGGCCAGACTGCTTATGTGCTCCACAAACTTGCTGCCAAATTGGGTGGCCAGCATTTCCAGATTCAGACGCACCTGTCCGCCACTGCCCAGACTGACAATATTGGGCAGCACAGTAGCACCCAGGGCACTCACCATAGAAGCGCCTTGGACGAGATGTGCATTGATCTTGTGCAGGCTGAGCAGCGCCTCCCTGAAGGGTATATCGTTGAAGGTGCGCACAATGTCGAACTTTCCAGCGTCGGTGCCGCTATGCAGCTTTATGGACTCTTGCGAGATTTGCCTAACGACTTTTCTGCAGGGAAATCGAAGACCTTTACGGTATTCCAATGACGATGCGAGGTGGATTTCTTACCTGGTTTGATTGCGAAGCGCACGCATCAATGTTGATCTATTGCTCACCTTGGAAGCTATGCGCAGATTGTTAATGGAATGCGTAAAGATCACTAGGCTCGAGGCTATCTGCAGAATATCCATTTTGGACAAGGCCTGATCGTCGCCAACTTTCTGCAAAATTCAACAAGAAACTGCACTTGGATATCCAATGGAAGCTGCAAGCCACTCACCAAATACAAGTCGTACACACCGTTGGCCACACCCGTGCCGGATATGACAATAGATGACACATTGATGCCTTTTACGGCGAACTGAGCGGCACAGTTCACTTCGGTGCCTGCTGCGGCCACCCTGGACAGAAGTCTGGTGGCTCCGGTGGCTCCCAGGCCAACCACACCGCCGGCCACGCCCAGCCATTGGCCCCGAGCTTCACTGTCCTTGATGGAAGTGGACTGGCCATGACGGACACGATCGTACAGGCGGTTGGCCGAGCGCAGGGTGCTATAGGCGGCCGTTGCAACGCCAACAGCAGTGGCGGCCAGAATGATGGGTCCGCCAACGGGAACCGCCAAGGCGGCAGCCACAGGCACACTTGCCACAAGGCTACCGACAGTGGCCACCGTGTCGCCGACATTGAGGATTCTATGGCGCGCACCCGACGCTGGCGTGGGATGCACCATTAGCTGAACTCCGGCATCCTCGTCGTTGGTGAAGGTGTAAATGCCGCGACTTGGAGCCACCATCATGCCCTTGGGCAAGGTATTCCCGAAGACATACTTCTCCCAATTGGCATAGACGCGGCCGTGCTCGTCGATGAAGATCATGCAGCAGTCCTCACTGTTCTCGCCCTTCATGCACTTGCGCGTGCGGAAGACCGGATGGCAGGTAAAGGTGGTGGACCGCACTGCCAGCTCGGCATCCATTTCGGGCGTGACCAGCACGTAGATTATGGCCGAGAGCAGGGTGCGGTTCGTGTACTTCCGCTGAAGCCACACATTTCGGAACAGTTGCTCGCGCTGCTTGACCACCTTTCTGCCAGATCTTGCCTCATTCTCCAATATCAGATTTTCGATCTTTTGTTTCAGCACTTCCGCCTGATCTGGGGCCAGTCTGTGGGGGGAGCAAAGCATGAGTAATTTAGATAATTGCATAATCTATGCGCGTACGTACGAGTCCCAAATAATTTCCGAGCGCAGGCCGCTGCTTAGCCCAAAGTCCCGTTGCACATCGTAGGCTGAGCGCGACATTTGCTTCTCTTCTGATGCTGTGGTGCTCATGGAACCTCAGGGCCGCAGCGAGCACATTCAAACATTAAGACGAGCAAATAAAAGAACTATTAATTTAGTAAAATGTGTCAAAACGTATATAGAGCAAGACCAATCATTTGTTGTTTATTTGTAAATACACGTTTGGAAAGTCCAAGCTTTGAACTTGAAGCTGAACTTTGAATTACGCCGCAAGGATAATGGTATGAGGTATGTACGGCCAATAAGGAAAACGTCACTATATCCAAAGCTTTCAAGGATAAAACCCACCTCACCACATAACACACCATGGGGGATTTGCATTTATGGTATATTTAGTCCTTCGTGGCCAGGGTGAGCAATGTACGAGGCCCTAACAGAAAGCTTGGCTGTTTTCTCATAAGGGCCATACCTTGCCATGACCAGCAGCTCGATCACTCTCCAACTCATTTTTGCGTTACAGGTCTGGAGCGCCAAATTCAAAATTCCATTAAGAATTCTATTTTAAGATTGCAAGGTTTTTTTATTTCCTAAAAGTTAGTTATATAAAAACATTGCTAAGGCCACGATTAGTTTACAACGAATTAAACATTAAGAAAAACGTACATACAAGTATTGCATTGAAATTGTGAGTCTTATCAGTTGGTTAGGCTCGGACGTGGACCGAAGGTAGCTTAAACGTTAAGAATCGGGCACACCATTATGGCCACTTGACAACAATTAGAATAGTTAGCTTTTTTATACAGAACAAAAACAAAAACAGCGAGCAATTTGCACGCGTCTATGACCAACCGCCTGTTAGTTTGTGGAAGAGTTCCTCATTCAGGGTTTGGTTATTGTCCTTGGAGCGCATCGACATGAAAATGTAGCCGCCAATGAACTCATGGACAACCTTGCAGTCCGCCGAGTGGCAGGAGAAGACCACATTCTCGTCCTGGAACTGAATCATCATGCACTTGATGTTCCAGTTGACATTCCAGGCCTTCATGTTGTTGTAGCGCCAGGTCTTGATGTGATCCCCAGAGCTCAGGTCCATGCGCATAATTCGATTCTGGGCCACGCCCAGCAGCTCCTCCTTCTTGTGGCCATCAAACTTGATGATGAAGAGAGTGACGCCAAAGTCAGGCAGCGACTGCCAGGCCTGTATGTACTTCAGCTTCGACTCGAGCAGATTCAGCTCCCGCACATTGGCATGGGCCTCCAGTATACGCTGCACCGCCTTGCCGGACAGCTTGCGATTCATTTTGGGGCAGAGATAGTCCACCGGCTCGACGGAGCGCGGATCAATGTTGACATGCACGCCATGCACTGGACGCTGCATCTGTAGCAGCGAGAGTATGCTGTCGACCTCACTCTCGTAAGAGCTGTCGGCCAGGGAACGGCCCTTGGCCGCCAGGCGGCAGGCAGCCATCCATTTGGCATACTGCTGCTCGTTCTCGCATCGCACCCACACCTCGCTGTTGGGACCGTTTCTGCCCTCCGGGGAGACCTCCAGCCGTATGGCGTACTTCCCCTGTGAAAGGTTGACGTCAGGTGTTACCTCGCATCCCTTCAAATTGATGCTGATGGCCGGGGCCTGGCGACGGGACTCCTCGGCACTCTTGTACAGATGCAAATGCAGATCCCGGTAGGTGAAGAAGTAACGCTTGAAGCCCCTCAGCGTGAAGCGCTGTGGCTTCAGATAACGCAAATAGTCCGATAGTTCCGGTATGCGAGTAATGTTGCCAGCATCGCCACCGGCATTCGGTCCCTCCAGCGTGATCTGCAGCTCCTTGAGGGCCGAGTCTATCTCATCGTCATCGTTCTCCTGGCTGGACGTCTCAATGCCCGAGTCTACGGCGCTCGGAGGCAGCGCATCCACATGATGGTTAACCTGAAACTGCAGGGCAGCGAACATCAGACTCTCCTCCTCGGTGCAGTCCAGCTCCTCGTTCAGAATGCTCCACTTGGCCTGCTCGTACAGCTGATTGATGCGCACCTGGTCGTACTTCGGGTTCAGATCGAAGAACGTGAAGTACTTGAAGCGCAGGCGCAGCGTGTCGTACTCGCGTATGCCCTGCTCCATGATGGACAGCGAAGAGTCCAGCCAGCCGACATTGAGGCGCGCCTTCTCCACCAGCGACTTGGGACGCAGTAACTGGGCCCGCACCTCGGCACAGGGCGTCGGTGGAGAGCTGGCCAAATTCTCCTGGAAGTCCCCCAAGCTTGAGGAGGAAGAATCGTAGGTGGCATAGCCAATCTGGCTCTGCTTCCATGTTCCAGGCGATGGCGAGGCCATGGGCGAGCGTCGGCTGTGATTGTGCGGCGAGAGTGGGGCGCAGAAGAACATGCCCGGTGAAGAGGGCTTGTCCAGGCTGCCAGTGCTTCCTCCATCCCCATGGAAGGCAGCATTGATGGGCACAAACGAGTTGGTGTCCGCAGCAGGATGCAGATATGTGGTTCCGTCTGGCTCGGCGATGGGCACCCGCTTCTGATGCCCGACCTGCGCAAAGTTCTTCTTCAGATGCTCCGCCTCCAGGGGCTTGCAGAGCGACAGCTCCTCCGGGTAACGAATCTCAAGTTGCTTGCAGAGATTAACCACAGCAGCAAAGGTTTTCACGGAATAGTCCACGCGGCAGTCCAAATACCGCAGATCCGGCAGCTGCACCCGCAGAATCTTGTGCATTGGGGTGAAGTGGAGCAGGCTGTCCGCTTGGACGCCGCACTGGTCCAGCGTGGCGCGTGTCCGGTTAAGCCAAATATTCCTGGCCGGCCACCACAGGGCATGGTCGGACCAGTCCTTGGGATTCTCGGGATCCACAAGCTGCAGCATTATGCCCCCGATGTGCTGATCCCCGCGCACGCGCATTGTGCGCTCCAGCGACAGATCCGTGATGAATATGCGCAGGTTCCATGAGTTTTCCCCGACATGGATCATTTTGCAAACGAATTTTTCGCACAATGACGTCAGATGGTCGCCCTAAATGCGCTTGTGCTCAATTTTTCCGTCTGTCTGCGTCCTAGTGGGGGCTGCTGCCGCCTACGAGCAAGAGCCAATTTTCGATTCGGGGCTACTAGAAAGAGAATCACGACACAGATGTTCACTTAATTGGCATTTTTCGGGTGGTGATGCAATATACGGGCACTAACTTCAATGCGGGCACGTTGTATGCAACGGCATATGTGCCGTAATACTTCCGGATGCGAGTAATTGATTGATTTCACTTGAATCTCGATTAAATTGGAGCAAATGAAAATGGAAAATTCAAAAAAGAAAGCGAACAGTGTGACTGACCTCCAGAAATATACCGAAATAAACGCTTTTATTTTACAAATATACCGTAAATATACCGAAGACAAAAAAAAACGACTTAGCCCACTTAACCCCCCGGTATTTAAACAGTGAAAAACATTTAATTAAGCCTCAGAAAAAAAAAACCATTTGTATTTTTTTCTTGTAGATTCATTCTTCCTCTTTACTAACAAAAAAAATATTACCACGATATCTTTCACCTGAAATGCGTAAAAATGTTGAAAGTTTCATAATATTCGTGCAAAAATTGAAATACCCACTGGTCGACAATGGGCTAATCGGTCTCTGTCCGTGGTCGGAAATCATATTCCTCGATTTTGAAATTCGACTTCATATTACTAGTCAGCTATGAGTCTCAGCACTGAACATATAATTTTATCCAATTCATGAATCAATTTTTTAAAAGATTGGCTAGTTTTCAGAACTCCCTTTCATTGGATTTTTTTCATAATAAGGTTCAACGTCAAAATTTCCCGAAAAGATCCTCCAATTCGCTGAAACTGCCAACTCGTTTTTAATGGTGGCACTTATTTGGTATTTTATTTGGGGCGACACTTAACGGACAAAATTTGCTTAAAATTTATGAAATTATTAAAAAACAGAAAATAAACAGAGTGTGTGCAATTTTAAATTGTTAATAAATGATTCTTGGAATGCTGTGATAAATGGATGCGATGCTCACTTTGCCCATCGATAGGCAACCACTGATTGCCTTGCCATGGCAACCTTTTCGACAGGACCCCCAGAGCAGGACCCGGCCATCCACCAAACAACAGAGCAGTCGACGAGACGATTCGAGGCATGAAGCAAACAATAAACAAACATTGAATTCGTAACCAGAGCAGCAGCCGTTCAGTTTTCTGAAACATTTTAACATTGCTTTGACTCGGCACCGGCTTCCCAACTTCACACAAAATATATATAGTATAGCATTTTATATATTACAGCCAGCCGCAGTCATCTCCACAGAGTGCTGCACCGGCATTAAATGGTATCGCCGCGCAAGTCGGCATTTTCGGTTCACCCAGCACGCCGGCAGTCGGCAAACAAACTGATGGCGTGAGTAGACAACTACTACCCTCATCCGCTCCTTCTCATTCGTGGTGTGTTGCAGTTCCTCGGCCAAGAGCTGCGAGAGCCTGTTCTCGGCCAGCTCCCGGGAGTCGGCCAGCCTCATCTACCAGAGCAAGCCGAACCCACGTGTGGGCATGAAGAACTCTAGCAACACCAGCATGCGCCCAGTCAACAACAGTGAGATCCACCAGCGTGTGATGTCCGCGCGGAATTTGCGGGTCAAGACGTTCCAGAATCAATTGGCCGATGCCCACACAGAGATTGCCAATCTGGCGCACGAGAATCGCATGCTGCGCACACTTCACAAGAGGCAGACATCGGCTTTGAACAAATACGAGTCGAACAATGCGGAGCTGCCGCAGCTGCTGCACTCGCATGCGGAGGAGCTGCGCGTCTGGCAGACCAAGCATCGCAATCTGCAGGCCATCAACAAGGATCTCGAGCAGAAGCTCAAGCAGAAGGAGGCCCAAATCCTCACGCTGAGTGACCAGAACAAGCACTACAGCCAACTCAACAAAGACAGGTAGGACGGGGTCCACTTTGATTCTGTTTCGTTTCGCTCTGATCTCTCCCAATTTTGTGTGTCTTGCAGGAACCTCGATGAACGGCAAAAGCTGCAGGAGAAGGTGCTGTACTTGGAACAGCGCATAGAGGAAAAGGACAATGACATAAAGCTGATGGCGCGCAAGGTGCAGCTGGAGTCGAAGAACTTCCGCCAGCAGCTGCTCAATGAGCAGAAAAAGTGCAAGGAGATGATGTTGAAGCTGGAAAAGTCCAAGCTGGAGATCAGTGGCTACCGAAAGCTGGAAGAGTACACTGTGAGTCCAACGCTGATGCATTTCCATAGATCTATGCCTCATCTGGTCGCCCGCACACAGCTCGGCACTGATAAGGTCAATCCCATGTCCTCCGGACGTCGCAGCAAATTGAGTGGAGTCGCCGGGGAGCCGGACAAGATTGACAAGCTGGAGAAATCGCTGGAAATGCTGGACATGGCCATTGAGAAGAATAACCACAGCGAGTACCACGCCCTCACGGATGTCCTAGAGTCGGAATCGCTGTACGACTTTGAGAAGGATGACAACGAGATTGGCCCCAAGAGTGCGCCAGTGACGCCCAACAAGGAGCAGCACACCAAGATTCCAGGTGCACGCCCCAGAGCTGGCGTTGGGTTGTCCAAGCTGACGCTGCCGCCAGCCACCAGCCCATCCAAGCTGGCCGCCACAACCAGCACTCGCTCCACCCTCAGCCATCTGGTGTCAGCCCAGAGAAAGTCTCCACTGACGGGCAATCCGTCCAACAGTCGAATGCGAGCGGGAGCGGCCGCGGGAACCGGCGCGGGAGTGGGCGTCAAGAATGGCAATATGGGAGCGGGCGGATCGGCCCTCAAGCGTCGTGAGCAGGCTGCCATGATTCCCAGGTTGTCGTCCGCCGAGGTACGGCAGCAGAAGGGCAAACAGCCGGCATTAAAGTCCCTGGATTACGACTATGATGATGAATTTGAGCACGCTTTGGATGATAATGAGGAGGATACGGATACCTATGCCATGATGTCCAAGATATGTGCCGTGGACGACGAGGATCCCGATCATGATGGCGAGGAGAATGCCAACGAGATTAGTCTGGTGCAGTACGGCTCGTACTTGGACCCAAAAGACACGCCCGACGCCATGCTGGACGATATGCTGGAAGATGATGAGTACGTCGAGGGCAAGACTTCACTGGGCAGCGATGAAGATGTGAGCATACCCACCTATACGCTTCCTTTCAGTTAGTTCTCATCCAATTCCTTAGACAAGTGCACGTGCAACGCGTGTCAAGGAGAGCATGTCCAGCTTACGCAAACAGATGTCGGACGACTGCAAGGACCGAGAGAGTTTCCTGAAGACCTTCTGCCGCCAGGCATCGGGCAACAATATGCGCGACGATCCACAGATGAAGAAGCGCAACAACATGGTCGCCAGTCGCAAGCATGCTCTTCTCGCTAGCCTCAAGGGTATCGATGATAACAAGAGCCAGGACTAGGAAAAATACACACTAGACATGCACGCACGCACACACAGTCCCTCCCCCCGCAGTTGATTTAGTTTCCAGTTCGAGTTACGCCCCCTAAGCGGGTGTTGAGTTATATCTACCATATATATTTTTGTCAGAGTAAAATTTTGCATTGATCCAGCAGCTGGTGCAGCTGCAGCAGCTGGCGCTGTGCAAAGCAGGCTAGGCCCCGGGGCAAATGAGAACATCCACACACACCAGTTGCTGGAGCTGCTGCAGTCGGACACGACGCTGTAAATTGTGAGCAAAATTCGTTTCAATCAGTCCACAGCCGAGTGGGGGAGCGGGCTATCTTTATATTTCTCGAAACAGTCCTATCTATTGTACATCTGTCTGGATCTCATTTCGTTGGCTTGCCGCGCACTTTGCTGATGGCCCTGGAGACCTTTTTGCGCAGCTCCTTCTGTCGCTTCATCTTGGATGCCTCCTCGGACTTTTTCTTCTCGCGGAACTTCTTCATACGCTGCCTGGTCTCCAGGCGATCCCGATTCTTCTTGTCCTTGTAGTTTGTTGTGATCATCTTCATCATTTTGGCCACCTTCTGCTCGTACGGCGAGTTGATGACCGCCACCCGTTCCAGCGACTTTTTGGCATGTTCCGGCGCCATCTTGGGCTTGTCCTTGTAGGGCAGTGCGCGCTGCAGAGCCTTGGGTATGGTCAGGGGACGGAAGATCTTCTCCTTGCGTGTGATCTCCTTGTACATGCTGTCCGGCTGAGCCTCGTTCTTCAGGGCGCGCTCCCGCTTCAGTGTTCCCAGGGTCTTCATGCCCTGCCAGTGGCTCTTCTGCTCCGGCGGCAGTAGCAGTGACGTGACGGGCGCATAGAAGCGGGGCACCTCCACCCGGAACCAGGTGCGGCAAAAGACAATGTCGCTCAGCAGTATCTTGTCCTCGAAGGTGGCTCGGTAGGAGCCCTCGGGCGTGTGGTGGGCCTTCTTGATCTGTCCGCGAATGCCGGACACCGTCTTGATTTTGGCTCCCTCAAACTTGGCAACTTCCAGTGACGAGTTGAACATGTCCTTGACGAAGGCGGTCTTCTTGAAGATCTTGAACGGATGCCCCACCAGCTTGAGCTTCTTCATGATCTGCGAGGACTTGTCCAGCTCGGTGACACAGCCCGTGGCCGCTATCCGGAAGCCCAGGCGCTTCATCTCATCCTGATCCTGACGCACCGTCTGCAGGGCGAGAAAACCTGTATTTTGTGGCGTAATCGGACCCCAGAAGGTCATGCTGCAGGTGACATGGTTGGGCGTGTACTTTAGATAGCGATGCCGGAAATTGTCCTCCACCTTGGCGTAAATGGCGACCGTCTGGAAGCGGCGCCAGCCCATCGATACGATTAGGGGATCTCCCGTCTTGAGGATCTTCTTGTACCAGCGATGCTTCTTCACCTTGCAGTTGACGAAGCCGACGTTCTCCTCGGTCATGTTGAGGGCACCCACCAGCACCGGGTAGCTGGCATCGAAGTGCTCCACAAATTCAGCTGGAATCGTTTTGAAGCCCAGCCGGACATACATCCCGGGCCGATAGCCCTCGATTTGGATGCGAAACTCGTTGTCCAGGTGGGCAAATTCACTCTTGTTGAGCTCGCTCTGTTTCTGGGCCTCCGCCTTGAGGTCCTCGTAGAAGGAGTGATCGCCGGTGATGCGGCCAGTATCCTCTTCGCCACCCTTCTCCCCCGTGGTGTCGTACTCTGCATCGAATTTCGCCTTTAGCTTCAGTTTCTTGGCCATCAGATCGGCCTTTGTCAGGTTCTCCTCCTCCACGCGGGTCATCTTTCGCTTGACGCTGCTGGCTGATTCCTCTGGCTTGGCTTTCTCTTTGTCAGAGTCGCCTGCATCTTCTGGCTTGGGCTTGCCGCTGTGCTGTTCGCCAGTTTCCAGATCCTCAAAGTCGCCGTACACCTCGCTGTCGGCATCGCTCATGTCGTCCATCTTCAGAAGGTTCTCTGCATCCTCGGAGGCCTTCCATTTGCCCGTCACGAAGCAGTTCTTGATCAGCTGCTTGTTCTCCTCGCTCAGCCAATCGCGAGTGGCATCTGAAAAGTGAAAATAGTGGCCATGAAAGTGGGTTCCAATTCTCTGTGGAGAGTAGATCTCTTACCACCCTGATACTCGAAGAAGCAGCGCTCATCCTTGTCCCGTATGTCCTTGTCCTTTAGCTGTTCGCTTTGCTTCTTGGCGGCCACACGGAACAGGCCGCCCAGCTCTTCATCAGAGTCGTTGGCATCCTCCTGTTCCTCTCTGCTCCTCTCACTCTGGTTGTAGACACCATAGACGAGGCGCATCAGATTCTTGGACTCCGAGTGACGCTGCAGGAAGGCATCGCGTGCCTTTTGGGCCAGATTCGTTTTCCAGCTCATGTTGCTGGCCAGAACGCGTGCCTCTTCATCGTCGTCCGACTCGGATTCAGAGCCAGCGGGGACAGCGCCCAGACTCTGGTACTCTTCGTCGCCAGAGGAGCCAGCATCGTCACTGTCTGCTGCCTGCCCATCTGAATCCTCATCCCGATCGCTGTTCTCCCCGCGCCAGTCATTGGAATTAAACTCTTCCTCCTCCTCCTCATCATCATCAGAAGCAGCTGCCTCCAGGCCGGAATCGTCACCCGCATCGTCTTCGTCTTCGCTGCTCTCCGTCGCCTCATCGTCGCTGCGGAAATCCTTCGATTTGATGGGCGCACCATCCGAGAAGAGCCGGAACTCCTGCTGCTCCATCTGCTGGTCCATGGTGGCCTTCTTGTCGATCAGCCGGTTGACCAGCTCTTCCTGCTCGGTGGCCTCGGCTGTCTTCTCCTTGTGCGAGTGCGAATGCGAGCCCTGCAGCTCAATATAGACGGCATCCTTGTCGTAGACAATGCCACCCACACCAGACATGGGTGCATAGAGCAGACGTTCCTTCTCCAGCAGACTGCGCTTCTTTTCGGTGCCCGGCAGTGGGCAGGGATCGGGTATCACGCTCAGCTCATCGATGCGGGCATCCCCCAGGCCGGCAATGTGCACCATGTGCTCCTGCTTGAGCGGCACACCGCGCACATAGCCATAGAGCACCACCTCGCGATCGCATTTGGGATTGCGACGCACCTGATCCGTGTTGGTGACATCCTCCATGCGGTCCACCAGCAGATAGCTGTGGGCGCCACGCCACTGCAGGGGTCGGAACTTCATAACGGATATGAAACGGCCCAGATTCTTGATCTCATTGCGTAAATACTCGCCGTGCAGCAGGCCAGAGAGATAGAAGAGCTTGGCCCCGTCATACACCTCCGTCCAGAAGCGATGCTTCAGCTCCTTCTTGCGCTTGCGCAGCTGCTTGGGATTCTTGATCATGTCCAGGTGGGTGAGCACGCCCATTATCTTGGGCATGCCGTGCACCTGGCAGATGTTTAGGAACTCGAAGATCTCCATTTCGAAGCCGTAGCTGGCATCGCAGAGCAGCAGCACCAGATCCGCGCACTTGGCCACATCGATCATTGAGTTGACGTCGTTGTTGCACTCCAGCAGGGTGATCCGACGCTTCTTCGACGTCACAATGGTGATGGGACCCTTGATTTCGGTCACATTGGTGCGTGTGAAGGTCTTGATCAGGTCCTTGATCACCGTCGTTTTTCCCACTTTTGGTGGACCCACGATGGCAATCAGCACCGGCGGCGGCTCATCCGGCGTCTGGTCCACCACCGGTATGTGCTGCTTTTTGGCTGTTAGATCCTCCTTGCGTCGAAAGTTGCGCTCTGCACGCTGCGCCGAATTGATGGCAAACGCCTTTGGATTCCGCTGCCTGGCCGTCAGCTCGGGCTCCTTTTGATTTGAGTCCCGTTTGGCCTTCACCTTCTTCTTGTCCGCCTTCACGCCAGATTGGCGGGCGCGGTGCTGCTTGCGCTTGTCCTGGCCGGCGTCGTCGGCCATCGTTAAAGCGGGAGAAAACTAAAAAAAAATTTAACTATTTGCTGTTTACGCGCTGCACGTGTTGTCAGAAATATACCGAAATATACCTTTTGATTTTTTAAATATACCGTAAATATACCGAAGAAAAAAGAACTTAGCCCACTAAAGCCACCGCTATTTAAACTGGTGACACTAACCACACAGTATATAGATGTGTTAGTTCATAGCTGTCCTGACGCAACATAAATGAGGAATGGGCAAAGTGGGTTGGGGTGGGAAATAAATACAATATGTAAACAAAAAAATATATTAATTGTTTGATTTTTTTGAAATTGCATACATACATATGCATTTCCCTATTTTAGGCAGAATTAGAAAAAATGTAAAAATGTAATAAAAATTTAAAAAACAAACAAAATAAATGTTTTTATTGCTCATTGACAAAAGCTGACTGATATGAAAAAAATGTAATTGTTCGCTGACAAAAGCTGACTGATGTGAAAGGAAAAATTGTAAATGCTCTCTGACAAAAGCCGACTGATATGAAACGAAAAATTATAATTGCCCGCTGACAAAAGCTGACTGATATGAAAAGAACAAATTGAATTGCTCGCTGACAAAAGCTGACTGATATGACACGAACAAATTAGAATTGCTCGCTGACAAAAACTGGCTGATATGAAACGGAAAATTATAATTGCTCGCTGACAAAAGCGGACTGATATGAAAATTATAATTGATCGCTGAGAAAAGCTGACTGATATGAAACGAAAAATTCTAGGTGCTCGCTGACAAAAGCTGACTGCTATGAAATTTTGAAATTCGATTTCATTTTACTAGTCAGCCATGAGTCTCAGCAGTGAACGTATATTTTAATTCAACTCATGAATCAATTTTTTACAAGATTGGCTAGTTTTCAGAACTCTCTTTTATTGTGTTGTTTATATAAGAAGAGAGTTGAGAGTTTGCGCCCCCAATCTGAATTTGAAATTAAAACAACTCAATTTCTTGGTTTCTGTTTTTTAACCACATTCAATGTAAATATGTATTTGTTGTTTATGGTATAGACATTCCGTCTGCTTGGATATAACGCTGTTTAGCTGCTAGTTTGCGACCCGCATATGATATATGTAGTATGCATGCGTCGGTTGCCGCTGCGGTCTGTTTTGTGGGAGATTATAGTTATAACTTTGATTATTTGTAACCCTTCGCTTGCTCCTCCTTCTGCTATGGCTTGCTCTATGGTGTGGCATGTGTGGGGCTTAAATAGAGAGGCGTTAACTAACTTAATTGCAAGGGGTATTCATTAGTGTCTCGTGTAAATAATTTCAATGCCTTCAAACATTCTTTGGGTTTGGTTTTGTCGTGGATCTTAAAACTTAACGATAGGCCATAACAATTAAGATTTAACAATAGAGAACCAAAAAATGTTTGGTAATAGGTATATAATCGTCTTTGTTTGTTTGATGTTGTTTGTTTATAGTTTATAGGTAAATTGAGTGATTGTATTTGACTTGACTAGGATTTGGTTCCTTCCATCCAGCGATCATCTCTCTTTGGTTGCTGCTGCTGCTGCTGCTCTCCCATGGTTAATATATATATATATTTATGGAGCTAATGCTGTTGCACGCTGGGTTCTCCGTTCTTCCGTTCCTGCCCATGGGCGTGCTGGACAAATCTCAATGTTGCATGATTTTGCTGCGATTACGAATTACGATTCCAATTCCAATTCCTAATCCGGATTGGAGAGTAGAGTGTTTCTCTGCTTAGTTGAGGACTCCATGTGGGTTGCCTCTTTTTAATAAAGTACATTTATGCAACATGCAGTTGTATATGTGGATATATCATATCTGTATCTGTATATATATATCTATATATTGTTCAATATTTTATGCACGCACCCCCCGTTACCCAAAAATTCCAATTTACATACAAAATGCTAACCATACCGCACATACCATGAGTACTCTACTCTCTACGCCCCCACCCACCCATACTATCCGCTACCTTCCCGCTAGGGTCTTAAAAAATTGGTGCCAACATACATATGTTATCCTGTCTGTAGGTGTATCTGTGGGTCGTGTTTTACTCTGTGTGTATCTGTGTATTCTGTGTGCGTATCTTTTTGTGTGTGTTTTATTAAATGCAGAAGTTCGACTTTTGCCCAGCTCCTGCCATACCCATCGACCTTTTTCCCATTTTCCCTTTGATCTGTCTGCTGGTTTAGTGTTTTTTGTTTTTCCCCCCGCTGGCCCTCTTTGGCGGGGGTTTTTCCTGCTCTTTCTGGCATTCTTTTGTGCACGGGATAGGGACGATGTGGCCAGGGAAAAATTACATGTTCCTGCACTGGGCACAGACGGAGCGCGCCTTTGTATTGTCACGCACAAAATCATGCACATTGAATTTTCCATCATCGCCGTGGTCGTATCCGCGACTCTTAAGCTGCCTGCAGGCGACAACAGATGTGAGTGGGTGGAAATCAGTATCATAAATGAATGAAATTCCCAGAAGAAACTTATTGCCACAGAGACCAAGGGGAAGAAGACTTACCTAGCCACCGCTGTAAAGGCCAGCTCCACATTGAGTCCCGTCTTGGCTGATGTCTCCATGAATGGTACATTGTGCTCCCTGCCCAGGCGCTCGCCATCCTCCCTCTTCACCTGTCGCTCACTGCCACTGCAATCGGCCTTGTTGCCTTGAAAAACAAAAGTGAATTTGATTCGAAACTCATAAGTGGATTAAATCGTTACAGCTGGGGAAAAGCTTTCAGCTTTTAGCTGCAGCATCCGTGGCATGGCAGGCTCACCTATTAAAACGATGACCACGTCCTCCTGGGCATACTCCCGTATCTCACCGAGCCAGGCGCGTATGTTGTCGTAGGTGGTCTTGTTGGTCACATCGTACAGCAGCAGCAGAGCTTCGGTTTTGGGTTTGGTTTCGGTGTCCATGTCGATGTCCGTGTTGATTGCCGGTTCGCATGCAGATTTCAGATAAATTCAATTAGCATCAAAGGCAGGGGATAATTGCAAAAGGATATAGTTGGGCGTTTGGGCTCCCTCACCGTGTGCATCCCGGTAGTAAGCGTGTGTAACGCTGCGAAAACGCTCCTGTCCGGCCGTGTCCCAGATCTGTAGCTTCACGCGTGTGCCATCGACGACGACCACTTTGTTCTGGATTGTGCAACACGATTTTGTAAATGCAATTAATTATTGTTTTAAATGCACACCAGGTTTCGACCGAGAAAATCCAATTGTTATGTAAAATGCAATTAATTTACGAAAATGTTCATGCATAACAACCGTGCCCAGAATTATTACACAGAGAGAGACAGAGAGGGAGAGAGAGAATCGAAACACGTTGCGTATGCTTAATGCATTTCGCATACGCAGCTTGTTCCATTTATGAAGACCCAAAAAAAAAATACAAACATGCAGGCGAAGGGGGGGGCATGGGAATGGTATACATATTCATAAGTAAGTAAGGGGCAGACGCAGCAATTTCCATGATGAAAGCAGAGCCACTGCCACTCCCGTAATGAGTGGCAGACATTCGGCCATTGCCATTGCCATTGCCAATGCCACTCCCCCTACCTACTGACTACTCAGACAGTCAGTCAATAGCATAAAAGATACACAGTTGCACAGATGAATATGGAACATGGAACATGGCTGGGCTACTACACGAAAAAGGTACGAGCATAAAGATAAATGGATGGATGTTTATTGCCGAATGTGTGTGAGGGTTGCCTTGATTTGATTTCAATTTCTCCTTTGGTAGACAGTAAGAAGACTAAAAGATAAACCAAAAATGTTTCTGGCTGAGTAAACAAAATGTCAATGCACTGGCAGAATTCGGTTGAGATTTGTTGGTGATGGGGGCAATATAGACACAGGAAATATTTGGGGAAAAATGAAATGAAAAACGAAAACAACAATTCAAATAACACACATTCTCCACACATATTCATATTCATATTCGTATACAATATTCATTTACTTTATATGTTGTATGCTGTACTTAGAACCAATTTACAAGTTGGCCAAGAATCAGCCGAGCTGAAAAATCAACATGAACGAACCACTCCCCAGCGAATCTCATTTTAAGTTCAGGTTCAGGTCATTCCCCAATGCCTACTCAACCTTCTCTAAAAGTTAGACAATGCCCCTGGATCGACATATATTTAATATAGGGAAAACATGGAAACAATTTAAAGTCAAGGAAACCTAGCCAGGACCTAGCTACAGCACCCCCAGCATCAGGCAGGCACTTGTAAAATTTCATTGGAGTATAAGTAAGAGACAGAGAGCGAGAGAGAGAGAGGATAGCTTGAGCAAGTGAAGATGATAGAGATAGAGAAATTGTTAAAGGCAAGTCCCGCTTGTAATTTAATAAATTTATGAGCCATGGAACAGAGACAGAGACAGACACAGAGAGGGAGCCTCGGGGGCAGCAGAACCTCTAAGCCACTAAATGTTGCACCGCACAAAAACCACACAATAATAAGCATAATAAAATTACAACAACTTAAACGAGCACACAGATAAAGATACATTTAGAGAACTGCTACAGGTACACACAGCACAGACACAGACGCACACACAGGCAGACCGAAGGAGAGGAAAAACATCAACAAGTCCTTTTCAAGTTCACATGCTTTTTAATAAATAGTCCCCCAAGGATCTTTAGCAACAGGACCCCCCGGCCTGCAGCACACACAAACACACACAGAAAGCAGACAACAAGCAGAGGGTTACTGGGAATACTGGGATTGGGACTGGAATGAGGATGGGGGGATGAGGATTCTGTGGTACTGAAAGATAAGGTTTGAACAAGAACTAAACGTAAAGAGGACAACCGCAGGCAGTACTACGAAATCAGGAAAACCGCAACTCATAGAGGAGGTCACACAGACAGAGAGACAGAGAGAGAGAGAGAGAGAGGCGAACAGAGAGAGGCGGAGGGTAAATATACACAGAGTGAGTGAGAGGTAAGCAGGTGAAAATCGCATTGAAAGCCTTGACAACTGTTGACAGGAGACACACACACAGAGACACAGACACAAACAGAAAGTGGAACACAGAGAAAGAGCCAGGAGAAAGACATAAGAGTAGGATGATGTATGGATGGATAGATATATGGATGTTTAACACAGAGTAACACAGTAGGACAGTGAGACAGAGAGACAGAAAGAGACAGTCAGAGAGAGAGAGAGAGAGACAACACTTAGAAAGAACAACAATTACAACAACGAGAACGAGAAAAAGAACATCTAAAGACTTTTTGGGTATAAAGCGCCTCTTACCCTAAAATCAATGCCAACGGTGCTCAGGAAATAGCTGGGCACATAGCGACCATCGCGGAATCGTATCAACAGCGATGTCTTGCCCACTCCCGAATCGCCCAGCATAATGACCTATGCCGTGCCGCATTCAACAACCAAAGAACCAAAGAGCATGATATGATATGTGTCAGAGGTAGCAGTAGCATTTAAATGATTATTTATGTACATGGGACTGATGATATGAATGCCTTTTTCTGTGGTTTTCATTTGCTTTACTTATGCTAAATATTATATGCGATGAGCTGGCTGCTTATGAGTACATAGAAACATACGAAATGGGGGCCCTACTCTACGCTCCCCCAAACCAACAGCATATCCAAAATCCTCTTCTTGTTGACTTTAACGTTTTGGGGCAAAGTGAATGTCTGAATGTTAGCTTAGTTATCTAAACATTGCAATTCCTGGAATTTGCCTGGGAAAAATAATATTTGCCACCGGCGGCTGGCTCTTGCTATGCCTTTCGTTGAAAACGAAACTATCCACAGAGAATTTTCTGGAATAGCTGGGAAATTAAATGCTGATTTCTATGTAACTTCTAGCTCTCCTTTAGCACAATTTAAATGAGGCTTACAGCTGCCCTTGGAGAAATTATATGCTCCCCAGTCGCTAACGAGCATTTGCGCAAATAAATGAACATTTTCTATGCAGCTTTCTCTTATTTTGTTATACATATACATATGTATGTAAAGTATATATTTTTTATTCCCGTGACACTGCTTGGCAGCTGTGTGACAGGAAGTTGCCGCGAGGAATTCTATCATAATTCTCTTGAATCACTCTAATCAACAGCAGCGGCAGATGAAACTTTCTGTCGGCAACTCAGCGACTGGCCTGTTTGCTTTAACAACTTTTCGTTTTCTGCGTTTAATTTCCTTTGTCACTTGGCACTTTATTGAGTTTTATGACTTTATTTTGCTGCCTGCTTATGTAAATCACATTGTAAATCAGGGCCCAAAAGCCGATCAGAGCCAGAACGAATATAAAAGCCAGCCCCTCGTAAAAGAGCCGACAGTCAGACAGCCAGCAAAGGAGCTGCTGCTGCTGCTTCTGCTGTTGCTGTCAAATAAAAAGGTATAATACATAAATCAAATTGTGGCTGGGGCTCCTTGAACTCGTCCTTTGTTGTCGCCCGTTTTTTGTGCATGCAAATTGGCATTTGTCGCATTGAATCGAAAGAAAAGAAAGGATTCTGGGATGCAGAATTCCATTTGGCTTTTCACCACAATTTTGATGGATAAATGTCGTTTGGCTAATTCCCCAATTAGGGTTTGGGGTTTTGGATCTCCCTTACGCCCCTATTCACCTTGCCCATGATGTCGAAGTCCTCGTCATCATCCGGTCCATTGCCGGATGAAATCATGCGTATGAGTGCCCGTCCGGCGTTCTTGCAGAGCGTGGCACTGGCTCCCTCGGTGCCAGGTCCTGGAGCTGGTGGCGCCACAGTAGTGGCTCTACCTGCAGCAGCAGCAGCTGCAGCATTACCATTGCCACCAGCATTCACGCCGCCACCACCGCCGCCAGTGTCCAGAAGCGGCTGCTGCTCGGGGGCCGAGGTCAATCGAACGCTGCTCAGACGAGCCATGAAACCATTGCCACTGGAGAGATGTGGCGACTGCTGGGCCTGGAACAGGGACGATGCGGTCATAAATTCGGGCAGCAGCGGCTGCTGGGAGATCGACTGCTGTCGCTGGTGGACAATCACGCTGGGCCGGCGCTTCGGGTAGCCATCGTCATCGGAGTCGTCCGAGTTGATGCCATTGATCTTGTCCAGCGTCTTGGGGGGCAGTTGGCCCGGTGTGATGTGCTGCCAGGTGGGCTTCACCAGCGATTCGCGTCGTGTGGGCGAGGCGTTGGCCAGGGGCGAGGGCGGGGCGGCACTGGCTGCCGATATCGAGGGCTTCCTGCCGCCCGATGGTGAGGGGCTGGCAATGGAATCGCTGCGGTAACGGGTCTGCTGACGACGCATCTTTGAAACCTTACTGGAGAGCAGCGGAAGTCCTTCCTTGTCGATTGAGTGGCTTGATTCTATATTTAACACACGCACAGAAATCAATAATCTGGGTTCAACTTTCCGAGATGCGGATACATCTTCATTATTGAGAGCAGATGGGGAGGGGCAAAACGAAACCAACCCCCAAGAGGGAATCCCCCAAAGAACCCTTCGAGTTTGTTTAGGTCTCAACACACACACACACACACACAGCACACAATTCTCTATATATTACATAGTAAATATGTACAATATTCTTGTATCTTTTGAAGGATCCAACAAAGTCATTAAAACTCATTAAAAACCATAAACAAGCAAAGAGCAAACTTTCATTATCCTCCGCGCAGAAATAATAATTTTAAAAAATAAATTAACATTCAAATTCCCGTTCTACTTTACACTCCCCCCCCCCCACAGTCCCCCGGAATAAAACAATGAACGAACAGGTGCAAATTGAATGTAATTTGTTTGTGCCCCCCACTCGTCTCTGTGGCACCTCGGACGCACACACAAAATGAAATGAAAACCGAAACCCAGAAATGCTTCAGGGCACCACACAACTCAACTGTCGTTGACAACAAGTCGGCAAGGGTGTATGGGTGTATGGGTGTAGGTGGCACTGGTCAAAGGTGCGGGTGGCTGTTGTGGTTTTAGTCGCTAAATCAACAGTTGGCAAGCAAAACCGCTACCCAACAACCAGGCGGGAAAACCACAGATGACTATGAAGGCAAAACAGTACGCAACAGAATGGACCAGGAACGCATCGAAGCGTGGCCGTGGCCAACTAAATTTTCAACTAATTATGCGTTGTAGCAGCCACAAAAGGGGCGGTAGCTGTGGCCGGGCCAAGAGAGGTGGGCCTTGAGCGTGGGAGTACAGTGCTGCCTTGTGATTAACTGGCGCTCATTAACACCCGAGAAATGGTCTGTCAATAAACTGATTTTATTTTCGCTCATTTTTCACAGCATACTCTTTGGGGCAGCGAAATGTTTACAAAATTCTATGAAATTTTAGTAATTCAATTTTGAGGGAAAATATTAAATCAAATTACACTGCACTCCTCTGCACCCACCAAAAATTCAGTTGAAAATATTAAGCAGAAATATAATTTCGCAAGGGTAAAGTTCACAGAACTTTTATTTGCTTTGACATTTCGGTGTGCTGAGGCAGCAGTAGCAGCGGCAGCTGCAAAACAAATTCCAATCCGAACTTTATTTTAATTTGCTGCCAAACAAATGTTCCAAATGCCAATACATTTACTATATGTGTGTGTATATCAATTGAAAAACCCTTTTGAAAATCCTCAGACGGTTATTCCGTGCGAAATTACTGGACCCATTGTGCACGGCTGTCTGCGTCCTGTCGCTTTACCTGGGATTCAGAAGGCCGCCTGTCGAGCCGGGGGTTTGCTTTTATCCCACTTTGGCAGCTCCTTAAAATGTTTTTTATGGCGCTGGATCGGTGGTTGAGGGGGTGGAGTCCTTAAATGCAGGTCAACGGCAGCGTCGAACACGTGCGAAACGTTAACTACTTTCTGAAGGCGCATAAAGGCGCGTTCATCGTCGTCCATCCTCCAGGAGTGGTTGGAAGTGAAGTGCCCAAGATGGAATGACAATGAAATCGGATAGCTCTGGAGTGCGACTCCCCCGTGTGTGGGGAAGGAACCAAACATTTATTAAAGCAGAAAAAGTATACATTTACCAATTAGGCTACACAGCAAACTCACAATTCCTGGAAACACACAACAACTCACATTCGAGCATCTTAAATTAGATCCGAAATTCCAAATAAATTGAGTGACTACACAATGTCCTGCCAGTATGTATTTGCCCTTGTCCAGAGTTTCAGTTGCCTTTTCATACTTCTCCTTTCATACTTTTTTTTTCCGTGTTGTTGTTTTTATGCAAATATGGCAAATGATATTTGAAAAGTTTACCCTTTTTCCTCCTACCCTGGGTAGTAGGTGTCGATCCATGAAATAACCTCTCGGGCAACCGAACCGAACGAACCATCCAGCAATTTACTTTAATCAACTTAAACGCAATGTTGATAACAAAAGTTTTTAATTGGGTTGTCGCTGTTCTGCTGCTCTTCGACTCCGCCGCCGCCGCCGCTTCCTATCTCCTGACCTGCTGTTGACAACAGCCAAAAAAAATATTTAAAAAAAACGGAAATGAAAAAAAAAAGGAAAAGTAAAATTTCCTTTCTCTGAGTACACGAAATTTCTGTTCAAAGCTAAAAGTTAAAAGAATTTGTTCTCTTTTCCCTTTCATAAATTGAGTGCGCAGGAGACAGTGGAGAAAGTGCGAGGGAGAGTGAAGAGTGGAGCGAAGAATGCCGAAAAATTGTAAACTGTTTGGGACATTCGTCGTGCAATTATACAAAGCTAAAGCGAAAACATAAGTGACAAAGTCCCAAGGACGGTTCATTGCACACACAGCAAGCGGTGGGCGGCACACGGACCACGGCCCACTGGCCACGCAGGACACAATACTCATGTAAGCGTATGTCCTGCAACACCCACACACAATCAGGGACACGCTCAATCACGCAGCTTAACGCGGCAGCGAAGGAGCAAGCAGCAGCAGGAGCAGCAGTAGACAGGAATGCCAGACAATAGTTTCCTGATTGCATGAGCAGCTTTAAGGAAATGAAAAGCGTGAAGGCAGGACCGGACAGGACAGGACAGGACAGTCCTCCCTCCCACATACGCACACAGATTTTGAAGGGGAAAAAACTTCAAGTTGATGCGAGCGTAAAGCCAATCGACAGGACAAAAGCAAAACGTTTTCGCGTAAAACATTTTCAAGATCTTTCAAGTCCCTAGCATCATCCGCTTACATCCGCATGACCATAATTCACTCCCATTGCATCTTGTGGTAGAGAGAGAGAGCGAGAGAGAGAAAGGTGCAAATCTCCCCCAGAGATTTGTGCTAGTAATCGGCTTAAAAGGCGATTCAAGTGACTGCCACCACGTCCTCGTCCTCAGAGTGAATCCCTGTGGAAATTTCGAAACGACAAGAAACAGGACAGGGGACACCTGTGGAAATGGTTTGCTTTTAATTGCGAAATCGATGCACACCATTGAAAGTCGCACACAGCCTCCATACCCCATACGCTACCCCATGCCATGCCCCATGGGAGAAGCCTTGAACTGAAGCCACAAGCTGCTTAAAAAGTTTCCTCAAATTGCAGCCAGACAAACAGATAGTTGGGTGGCGGGACAGGAGTGACCTTCGGACGGCTGGCATTGATGCGCATTTTATGGCCCGTTCGCATAATTAGTGCGCATCTAAAAGAAAGAACAATGGATTCGTATTTGAACTCGAACTCGGACTCGGACTGAACATCCCAGACAGTCGGTCCATGAATCAAACGTGAGGCCAAACTCGATTATAATCCAATGCGTAGCTGCAATTTCTATTTGATTGCAGACAAAAGAGAGAGAGCTGGGAATCCGATCAACTGTATGTACGTAGGAACAAAGATTGATTAGTTTCTGTGATGAGCAGAGTTTTGTATGGGGGCTATAATTGATAGTGGGAAGTGGTGAGAATACATATGTGCACAAAATTTAATTAGAAATATTCCCAATTCGCGTATAATTACTGGAACTTCCACTTTGGCCCATGTCATCCATCACACATCATTGGAGATTCCCTTTGATCTCTCGAACATCAAACAGATTAACAAATTAGATGCCAAAACCAACAATTATTTACCACTGCATTTTAATTATTTATATAAAAAAGGGCTTTGTGTTTTTTTTGTATAACATCATAAATGTTTGTCTATCATAAATGGTTTTCATTTCATTTATTTTTAAACACGCGCAGGACCTTGTACCCCCACAAACACCACACAACACACTCTCGCAGAGACACACACACACAGGGACGGCGGGGAAGTAAGCGCCAAAAATAACTGGGAATTTGGTTTGTGGCGCGCAACAATGAAATGCAAATGTGCAATGTTTTGGCTCCCCCCCAGCCTTCTGCCAATTGGTTGTTGAGACAACCAAAATGTCTACTTTTACTTGTTCACTTTTACTTTACTTAAAGTTGTTTTCCTCCTTTAGCTAAATGTATTTTTGGCTGAAGCGTAGCAGCTGAAGCTGAATGGAGAGAAAGGAAGAGAGCTTGGGATTGCGCGCCCGTTGATGACTATCGAAGCGTCCGTTCGCAGCAGAGCTCCAAGCTAGACTGAATGGAGCCCGACGAGCCAAAAAAAAGGAGCCCAAAGCTGGGTAGGTAGCCCGCAACCAAAGTGTGTGAAACGAAGGTGCTGCGAAGCCCAGCGAGCGCTCTCTGGAAGGTGCGCATTTGTTTTCCTAGGCAGAGCACACGCAGAGCAGGGCCGGGCGAGTGAGAGCGTGGCCATGGCAACGTTTCACCTCATTTCAATACACACCTTGACCGAGACCTTCGCCCGCTTCGGCTGACTTCGGGTTTGGCTTTGGCTTTGGCTTTGAAGCAGCAGCAGCAGCAGTAGCCCTGGCCTAGAAACGTGATGCGAGCGGGGGTCGGAGTGGGCGTGGAGCGCCCTGCAATGAAAGTGAGCTGCAACCTCAAAAAGGAGGGAGTGAGAGCCGAGCCGAGCCAGGGCAAATGAAACGGTTGCACTTGAACTTCATTGGCGGCCATTGTGGCAGGTAGCCAGGCTGCTGGCTGCTGTTCGTGTAATGTGCTCGTGCGTGTCGCTGTCGTCTGTGTGTTTGTTCTGCGCGTCTGTGTTTGGAGTGAAAGTGAAAGGCAGCAACAGGTTCTTTGTGTGTGTGCGTGTGGGTGAACGGGTGCCAGCTGCACCCACTTATTAAGCAGAAGGGCAATCAACGTGTCAACAACATGGAAGGGGCTGCCTGGGAGTTTATAAAAATATTTACATGCCTTTGGAACAAAACAAAAAATCAATTTGAGGGATTTACGCACGCCTAAGAGTACTGTACTCCTGTACGTGGTGGGCATGCCTAAAAATAGAAAATCCCCGGCGATTACAAAAGACAATATGTTGCCTATTTAGCCGCGAAATGCTCGCATCGTATTTGTACACTGCCCGAAAGGTCAGAGCAGGTATATGCTTCACTCAAGTGTTGGGCATTGTAATTTCTCGCAGTGTGAATGGGAGGGTGGAGCGGGGATTCTTTGGGGTGTAACGGCTCTGGGCAGCTGTTGTCCAATTACACACACACACAGCAAGCAAACACAGACAAAGACAGAGACAGACACTGAGAGGACTTCTACGTTGGGTACAAAAGCGAGCCGAACGGAACCCATTCGAATGTGCGTCAATAAGTACATGGGGCGGCAGGGTAGGGGTAGGGGAGGGAAGCTTCGACTCGGGTTTTGGGGTCAGGTTTTTGTTGGTTATGGTTTACGGGTGGATGGGTGGTTGCTTCATGCAGCAGGCAGCGCTACGGAGAGTTGCCTTAAGGCTAAGGCTAAGCGCAGCACTCGTGCTGTGCTCGATTTCCACTCACCGTCAGAGCAATGCCCACCGTCGCCGAGAAGGAGCCCAGCCGAAATTCGCCCGTATTGTATTTGACCAGGAAGGATGTCTTGCCCACGCCAGAGTCCCCCAGCAGTATCGTCTTGTGATTGACCGTGTCGTCGAAGGGTTGCAAATTGGCCGTCGGCTGTGCCTGATGCATGTCCACCTCATCGTAACGATATGAACGCCAGCCATCGTCGTAATCGTCGTAGTCATCTCCAGTGCCGTAGGCGTACATCTGGAGAGCTTCTCGTGAGGGTCGGTAGCCCGGATATCCTGTGGCCGTCCGCTGCACGGGCGCCATTATGGCGTCGTCATGGAAGTGATGGCTGCTGCCCGTCAGGCTCTGCTGGCTTTGATGATGATGCGGATACTGGTGATGGTGATAATGATGATGCTGTTGCTGCTGCTGCTGCTGCTGCGTCGTTGTTGCTGCGGATGCGGAAGCCGCCACCGTGGCTGATATTGATACGGGTGCGGCGGGGGGATTGTAACAGCCATCTCCAAAGGGCCGGCGACGCAGCTCCTCGATGCGGGCCTGTGTGGTCTCTGCATCCTCGAAGACGTCGTCGCTCATGCTGCTGGCATCGTCGTGGTGGTGCGTTGTTGTTCCCGTTCCAGTACCAGTGCCAGTTCCCGTTATCCCCGTTGCTGCTGTTGCGGCCATTTTGGACTGGGGGCTTGTGTCTTGGGACGAGCTTTTATCCTGCGCTTTCCTCGATGTCCTTATGGTTTTAACATTTGAATTCTGTTTTTGAGCTTTTTTACATTCCGTTGTGCTTTCCCTCTCTCTCTTGCTGTGCTCTCTCTCTTTTGCGTGTACTCCCGCTCTTTATGACTTTGACATTTGCCTATCCGGCTGTTTGTGTGGCACGTTTTCTGAATGAAATTTTTGGTTCTCGGGCTTTTAGAGCACGGTGAAGGGAGTAGGGGGGCGTTGCTATTATTATTTTCTATTTGCAAATAAGCTTAATATTTTCGCTATCCTTATCAGTAGTGTGTCCAGATTCCCTAATCGTTATTCGTTAGTTATAGTTATATTCGTTCTATACAATTGAACTGCATAAGTATTGGTTTTTCCTTGCGGTTTGGTTTGGTTTGGTGTTTCGTTTAAAGCCACTAATTAGTAGTATCTATGTATGTATATAAATGGTAACTAGCTAAACATATTGACTATCATTTATAGGTTATGCGCTAATTGGTGCTTGGTTTTCACTATTCATTTATGTTTTATCATTAATAATTATTTGCAATGTCTTGCTTGGTGTTTTTTTATTCGGTTAAAGCTTTTAGGTTTGGTTTTACTAGTTTAATTTATTTCATTTAATTGGTTAATTGGTTTTCTCTCCTCTCTGCGAAAATATTGCGTTTGATTCGTGACTTTGGTGTTGTTCTTGTTCTTGTTGTTGGTGTTGGTATTTCACTATCACAGCATAAATAAAATAATGTCATCGTCGTTGCCGTTTGCCGTCCATGTCGCGCTCTTGCCCCCGCCACGCGAACCCGAACCCCAAAAACCCCAACACAATAGTAAAAGAATATCTGCAGTCTCCAGTTACAGTTCCTTATTTCGACTGCTGTCCTGAGCTTTTGCTTTCATTCTCTCTGTCTCTCTCTCTTGTTAGCTCTGCTCTCTTTATTGCTTTGACATTTGAAAATAGAACGTTCTGAACCGAACTGGTTCTTTGTTAATTTTATTCACATAGTGGCGGCAAATTCTGTTGGAACACACTTACGTTTAATGCTTTGGACGTATCTATTTTTGTTTGTTTATTTTATAGATAATCCAATAAAAAGAGTCCTATAAGTTAGCCAATATCACTAACGAATATCCAAATCAAGCTTTATGACTCAAATATAGCGTAATTAAGAGGGCTAAGTTTGTTCTTATCCTCGGTATATTACGGTATATTTTTAAAATGAGTATGTGTGTTCAGGTATATTTCTGTGGATCAGGCTGTTCATAGTTTTGAATGTTTTGAAAAAACAATCGATACTATCGTACTAGTATCGGGCTCAAATAATTATTAAAAAACCATGGAAACCTTTTAGGAACTTGTCCATTGTAAAAATTAGATGCCACCTGTCGATTTGTTTACAAATTTGTCTTAGTATTTTATAGCAGCCAATCCAAACATATCCAAAAACGCAACGACTGTAGCTCGATACTATCATATCATATCATATACTATGATAGTCTCAAAACCATCGATAGTAGAGGCTAGCAGCAAAAATATCGATAGTATCGATAGTGCCCTCTTTGGTTTGACACCTCTATGCGGAGTAGAAAATAAAAAATAAAAACATTTTTTGAATAAAACGCATGTAAAAGTCAAACAATTTCCAGTAGCACCACACGTGAAACGAGCAAAGTGTAAACTAAGGAAAAATGACTGGCCGCGGAAAGGGAGCCAAGGGAAAAGTGGTGCGCGAAAATGTCCAGGATGATATGGACGATTTTCTCGTCTACGCTGCCGAGAAAATTATCCAAAAACGCACTAAAAAGGTGAGAGCGTGTAAACAAATAGCAATCTATGGGCAACTAAATGCAGATGCAGGACGCAATATGCGCAGCACACAAATTACAAGGTCACATGTCCTTCGGATATTTGAGGCAGAGGACATCACATCTGCTGCAGCAACCACCATTTGCGCGTTGCATGTGTTTGTGCGTGAGTGTGTGCGAACTGTGTTAGTGTGGGGCATGTGGCTCGTGCTGTTGTTGTTGTTGTTGCGCTTCATTGATGGAAAATCAATTAGTTGTCTTAAGACACTGCAGCTGAAAATGAAATTAGGATAAAATCCCTCCATTTCCCATTTTCATTTTTGTAGGGCAATGTTGAGTACCGTGTGAAATGGAAGGGCTGGAACCAACGTTACAATACCTGGGAGCCGGAGGTGAACATTCTAGACCGTCGCCTCATCGACATATACGAGCAGAGCAACAAATCGTCTGGAACGCCATCGAAGCGCGGCCTCAAGAAGAAGGAAAAGGAGCCCGATCCGGAGCCAGAGTCCGAGGAGGATGAGTACACATTCACCGGTGATGATGGGGACACACCCCAGGCCACCACCTCGAGTGCTATCCACGATTCTGACAAGAAGGACAAGGAGAAGAAGCACCATCACCACCATCATCACCATCACATCAAGTCCGAACGTAGCAGTAGTCGACGGTCCGAGTCGCCGTTGACACACCACCACCACCATCATCATGAGTCCAAGCGCCAGCGCATGGATCATAGTTCCTCCTCGAACAGCAGTTCCACACACAACTCGTTCGTGCCCGAGGCAGACACTAATTCATCCAGCTCGGAGGATCAGCCCCTGATCGGAACCAAGCGCAAGGCAGAGGTGCTCAAGGAATCTGGAAAAATAGGCGTAACCATCAAGACCTCTCCGGATGGACCTACACCAAAACCTCAGCCTCAAACCCATTCACACGACCAGCAGGCACAGAAAACGACGTCCGATTCATCTGCTCCTCTGAAGTCCGAACTCCAGAGCACACCCCTGGGCACTGAGGTGTCATCGACGCCAGCCGAATCGGGCGCAGAGGAGGAGGAAGTGGAGGAATCTGGCGCGCAGCCGGATAACAACAATATACCAAAACTGGGCAACACTCTGGCCCTATCACAAAAGCAGCCCTTGACTCCATTGTCGCCAAGGGCTTTACCTCCGCGCTTCTGGCTACCGGCCAAGTGCAACATATCCAACCGGGTGGTTATCACCGATGTCACAGTCAACCTGGAGACGGTCACCATACGCGAGTGCAAAACGGAACGTGGATTCTTTCGGGAGCGCGATATGAAGGGTGACTCTTCGCCTGTGGCTTGAGGTACACCCAAACATAGGAAGAAGAGGAACAAACAATTGTAAATAGGGGAAACCACAAACAAAAATCCATACTAGATGTTGCTAAGCATTTTATTTAAAATATTAATTTATTTATTGTATTTATTTATAGCGTAGACGTTAGTTTGTTATTTTATTACAATGTTTACAGTGCAGAGTGCAATTTGAGCAGTGGCCATACCCCACTCTTGCAACTGCTTGAGTTGCTATTGCAACAGATTTTACATCCTCATCATAGATTGTCATATATATATACATACATATATATATATTTATTTACCACATATTGTATATTTTTCTATAACAATTTGAATCTGATCGAAATGACACTCATATGCAACAGAAACCGAACTCCATGCGACACCGAAGCAATTGTTAATTACGCTTGATATAAATGTATACATACATACAAAAGAGCATATATTCATATATACATATATATATATTCGAGTATGCCACAGTGTTTGCTCCGTTGGCTATCCCAATGTTTTATTTGTCTTATGTTGTATTCTATATATTTCCTGGCGCTGACTGATTTATACAAAAGGAACCCCAAAAAGATATATTTACACTTAGTTTAATGAATATTTTTAGAAATTAGCTAACACCAATCTCTGTTTAAATATTTATTTTAATGTTTTTCACTCGTCCAATGTCCAAGTGCTGCCTTCATGGGTTCTGTACGGTGCAGGTGCAGTGCACAAGATAATTCCATAAGGGAACCCATAGATGCAATACTTATCCATAGGATTTTAATTATTTAACCGGCTTATCAATCCCGCACAAATGTATCCTTTGCGAGAGCTATTGGAAATTGCAATATCGTTGCTAGTTTCTCATAGTTCTTATCAGCGAATCCCTCTGCATGCCCCTTTTGTTTGATCTATTTGTTGCGTAGTTTCCCTCGCGACGCTGATTCCAGAAAAACCATTCAAACCATTACACTTGAAGATTGTAATTTAGTCTTTAACTTTAATGTTATTGTCGGTATCGATTGTACATAATAAATTAAATAGAAGCAAGCCAAATGTTCTTCAATGGGGAATTATAAAACTAAAATTGATTTGTGTCACAAATATCCTTAAATCAATATCATCGGAAAACTTTAAACATAAGAGGTTCGCTCTAGTCTCTGCTGGGCTCGGTCAACAACCAAAGTTTGTATGTACAGGTATCCAGATATTTAGATATCGAAGTCCAAGGCATCTCATAAGGGACGGTACTTGTTGATGAACGAATTGATGATTGGCGCCACTTTCTCTGGCTCGTTGAGATGAACGTGATGTGTGCCATCGAGTTCGTTGTATTCGAATAGTGGATTCTTCCGCAGCTCCACCAAGGTAGCATCGTAGTATTCCTTTCGTTCGTAGTACGGAGCCTGCAATGCTTTAATGAATAAGTGCGGGCATTTGATGCGTCTCGCCATCTCCAGAGGCACTTCGTTGTGAAGGGTGTAGAAGAGCGAGCTCTTCAGTCGATTGTCGCGGGAGAAATAATACTTGTGTGGCTCGTGAGTAGATGGTTTACAATTTCGCTGCAGCAGGTACTTGCAAGATTCCATTGAAACGGATTTGTTAGATCCCTCGTGCAGTCGCGTCTCCAATTCATCCCATGCATAGCAAGGCGGCTCGGAGCCGCTGCGTAAGCGTCGCTCAAGTTTCAGTGTAGCCTCCAGACGCTCGCTCAATCCATCCACAATGTGACGGGCACTCCGAACGGGCGGTTTCAATACGTCCAATCCAATAAACATATCCACTTTCTCCGGAAACAGAGCGCAGAACACAAATCCATTGATGGAACTCATCGAGTGAGCCATTATGGAAATCTTATCCCAGTTGTACTCTTCCATGAGACGTCGAGTGACGAGGACGTAGTCAATGGAGTGGTAGGATATGCCTGGCGGGAGCCAGGAAGACAGCCCGTGGCCAGGCATATCGATGCTTAGAAAGGAGATGTGGTTGGGGAGCATCGGTGCGATGGTGTCAAATGTTCCAGCATTGTCCTGCCATCCATGCATTCCCACAAGAGGACGGACATGCTTTGGCCCATACCATTTACCCGCAATGTGGCCCCATGGTACGGGTATCGAAATTTCGTCATACTGAAAGTGAAAGTCATAATGAATAATGAATGAATAAATAAATAGCCGGAAACCTACATGTTTTGTGAGGATCTTCAAGGGTCTGGTTGCTCCACTGCTGGCGTGACGGACACTAGTTAGCTGTGTTAGCAGGCGTAGATTCTTGAGTACCTTCATTTCAAGGTGCGTATGAATCTTAAGTTTTCTTTGAATAACGTTTAATCACACAGACAGTTGCACGTTCTTTCAGCTCGCTAAACTGTGATGTTCTGATTGCGATTTCACCACTCATTGACTTGCGAAGAGACAGCGCACGCTTGGATGATGAACTTTGATCTCTTGGCCGACGTAGTACGTAATATCTCTGAAGAATTATGTTTAGCAAGAATTTAAAGTTGTCATCCGTATGCTGCTGCGGCTGCAGTGAAACGATTAACAGCACTGAACATGTGCTGATTATCTTTTGCAACACTGTCGCTTGGTTTATGCGCATATCATTCGCGAATCTAATTTAATTTTTAAATTTTCAATTGAATTTATAAAACATAAAACAGCAGAAAACTTATAGAATTAGTGAATTTGAGTCGTATCCAATATGAGATTCTCCAGCCAAGATCAGTTGGCCATCGAACTAATGATCAGCATTATGAGCCTGCATAAACGTTGTGTCTCACTCTGATTCTCGTTCAACAGCTGTAGATAATACCTAATTTTTTATCTTTTTGTACTTTCCACCTTTGTTAAAGTTCATTTTTCACAAAAAAATTATTTAAAGCAGTGCAAAAACGTGAGCGCATCGAATTAGCATCAAGTCCAGGTCCCCAAAGTCGACCATGGCAACAAGGAAAGGTGAGGTTTGTTGGATTCCATGTTGCTGGCAAGGAGAGCACCTTGACCTTGGAGACAATCGACGCGACGCCGGCATTGAGTTTTGGACCCAAAATGCAAACCCCCTGCCAATGCACACATGCAATTAATTTATGTTCAAGCATTGCCCTTTATTGTTTACTTTGCCAGCGTGCCAGTTTCTGTTTTTATTTGTTTTTTCGATTCCCTTTTGCCTTTTCCGCTGGCTAACTAATCGCGTCTAATCTTGAGCGGCGCGCTGATAAGCGCCGATACTCGCTAAACTTTGGAATTAAACCTCATTCTTCATCTCGATTTCGGTGAATTCAGTGCACAACATGGACTTCCAAGAAGATAGCTCAAGTGGCACCGCTGGCAATGATCTGGGCCAACGCTATCGACATGCTGGGGACTTAACCGGCGAGCCGCCAACCAGGCCAGTAAGTGCACTTTGACCCTTTCGTGTGTAGCTAGCATTTTTCAATAAAATTTTCGCTTTCAGTTCGCAGAGATCAGCATTACTGTACCCTGGGGCCACATTTCTGGCAAATGGTACGGCCCTCAGAATGTGCAACCAATTCTGGGCCTGCACGGGTGGCAAGATAATGCGGGGACCTATGATCTTCTGATGCCGCTGCTCTCCCCGGACGTGGCCTTTCTGTCGATTGATCTGCCCGGACATGGATTGTCTTCACGCCTGCCCGATGGCTGCTACTACAACTCTGTGGATAACCTCTATGTGATACGCCTGATCATGAAGCAATACAAGTGGGAGAAGGTGTCGCTGGTGGGACACTCCATGTCCTCCATCATTTGCTTTGTGTTTGCTGCCGTCTTTCCCGACAAGGTGGATATGATTATTGGGATCGATGCTTTAAAGCCGCACCAGCGCCCATATCCCTCGGTCATTCGAACCATGGAGACGCGTCTGGACGAGTTTCTGCGGGAGGATGAGCGCAACCGCAGCAAGAATGAGCCCCCAAGCTACACCTATGATGACCTCATTGAGCGCGTCTACCTCGGCACATTCCATTCGGTGAACAAGGAGCACTGCAAACACATAATGGCACGCAACATCCAGAAGTCGGAGAAGTACCCAGACAAGTTTTTCTTCTGCCGCGATCGACGGCTAAAGTTCTATAACTATGCCATTGGCTCCCAGGAGCTGTGCGTGGAGATGGCCCATCGGATCAAGTGCCCGTATATGTTCATCAAGGCCACTCAGTCCTCGTACTTTGAGGACAAGAAATACTACGACGAGGTGCTCGAGGTTCTGTTAAAGAAGTCAAACTTTGAGTACGTCGAGGCCAATGGCTCGCACCATGTGCATATGAACAGTCCAGAGGCCATCATTGAACCGGTCAATAACTTCATTCAACGCTTTGGACCGGCGGCAGCAGCAGCGGAGCGCCAAAAGGCCAAGGAGGCGAAGGAGAGCAAGCTCTAGAGTATCAGTATCAGGCCATACGCCCATAGCGCACACACACACACACACACACGCACAACTCCAAACGGGTCAAATGGGGCTTATTTATCGTTGCACAGATTGCACAGGTTTTTATACTTAATTGTTGATTATGTGATCGAAGCAAAAGGCTCAGAGCACAGCTCTGCTCTGCTCTGCACTCTGCTATAAATATACAATGTACATATGCCGAAAGGTTGTTCGCTTCCACTCGCCTCCGAATTATGGGGAAGTTGTGAAGGATACTGTGGAACTGGTTATGCCAATGGGTGCTTCGTTACAAGACATTATGTGTGTCCTCCCTTTGTGGTCTAAAGCTCTTGATACCAATACCAATTGGTACTGCCTATTGGTGTTTATCGATCAATTAAGCTTAGGCAACCTTTGTGTGTCTACCATCTTGCATGCGGACTGTGCAACGCCACCAGATGACCTACATTTCGTTGATAGCCACTGTAGTAGAATCCATGCAGCGAAAGTGTTAATAACCCGCAAACCAGTTTCCCAGCCAGCAGTTGCATCATTTTCTAGACTCTTTCTTGGGTCTGCTCTGGAGGTCAAGCGTCGGATTTACATTGAAATTGGTTTTTTTTTTGTTTTCCTTCAATATATATATTTATTTTTTGTGATAAATGGTAAATGAAACGTAAAAAACGATTCCGAGTAACTTGTTGGCCCTGCGGCTTCCACATTTGTCTGCATACATTTCGGTCTCTTGCTACTTTTTTGCTCTTGCCCCGATATGGATGCTCGAGACAGTTCCTGAGTCTGTTTTTGCACTTTGATAAATGAACATGGACAGCCATTTAATTTAACTAATATTGGCTATAACACATGTTATACAAAGTGTGGAACTAGCAAGGTTTCAGTTCGATATGAGGGTTTGCAGTGATGGCTTCTCGGACCAATTCCATAATTGAAACATACTTCATTCGGTTTAAATGATCAGCATAGCTGTTGGTTTATTTTTTGTGGAGTTTTGTAGGGGGTTTTCTTGTCTTTAATTATGTACAAAGTTGCTAAAACTAGATGTAACGCATCTTTAGCCACAAGAGCACTGACTAGGCCTTTAAACGGGTATCCAATCTAACATATGTGTATCTATTCCTGTGCTGGTGGATGGGCGGCAATGTACTCCAGGGCGCGGATGATGGCCTCTGGGATTGGTGGTGGTGTCGGCAAATGGGCACCGCTGGGCTGGAAACCGTTCTCATCGGCCACATAGGTCACGACAATTGGCTCGCCTTCGGGTGAGGTGTACGAATAGCTGCCGGTGGCTCCATTGGCATTGCCAGCCTCCTGCACTTGGATGCCGTTGCTGGTATCGAAGGAGTTGGCATAGTTGCCCTCCGCATCGGCGGGATCGTTCTTCTCACTCAGGATGGTGGCATCTTTGTCGATGTGGTCTGCGTGGACATATGCCACGAGCAGGGCAGCGAGCAGGCAGATCGTCTGAAATATATAAAGTCGATTAGCTCTCGGGGCGGGCCTTGGTCTCCGATATACTCACAAGCTTGAACATCTTGTCGGAATTGTATAATCCACACTGTTTGGGTGATCTTCAGAGGCGGAGGCTTTTATAGCCACCATCGTTTCGTATCGCATCGCATCGCCAACGCAGCGTTGCCTTTCGGCGTCTGCGTCGACGTCCACGACGGCGTCGCTGTCGTCTCTAATCTGGCTCGGAGACGGGGACGTGCCGCTTTAAGCCAAATATCAAGCTTAATATGTTTGTATATATATATTTCGAGCCAAGCGCAAAATACCCATCGAATTGAACCAAATTTAACGCAACAAAAAAAAAGCAGCAAATACGAATATGTGGTAGCATTTGAACCCATTCAGAGTGGATGGTCCCACATCACATCTAGCTGATGATGGTAATCTATGGCTGAACCTGAATCGCTGCACTTAATAGTTAATAGTTTCGGTTGGGTTTTGAGGTTTCTTACGATAATGGGCCTGTGCGACATTCACCATCACTCGAGTGTGGTGTAGGCGCGGGTGACTTCAGAGACGGGCCTGGGCTCGACTCGTGTGCGAATAAATTGATTTTAAGCCCATTTATCATCCATTCCATTTCGATTTCATTGGCTATTTAGTTTGGGATGCGCGCAGGCGTAGAACCAGTTAAGTGGCTTCATCAAGGAATTCTTAAGTCTCCCCCTAAAACTCGACAAGTTCAACACATTAGCATACAAATTTGTAGTCCAATAATTAAATTAGGCATCTCGCATAAATTGTCTAGGCCTAAACGCACATAGCACTCGGACTAATAAAATGCCCATCGATCGCGTAGCCCAACAAACCCATCTAAATCACCACAAACATCTACTCCATGACGTATTCACTCAAATTTGAATTGGTAAAAAGCCATAACCACTCCATAGAACATTTCGCCAGTTAGCTTCGAATTTCACAGCAAACTGGGGATACTTTATGGATCTATATATTATTATCAGAAGCAAAATTCCACTAATTTAAATAGTTATGAGTTCATTATAACAGTTTCAGTATATGTAGATCCAAATAACCAGGATCCAGAATCTATAAATACATATCTCTTTTACTCGACCATACAAACCTATGACTGTGCGACTTCTACTCAATTATTATGAAAGGAAGTCAGTTCTGATCATGTTTATGGGTCAAACAGTGTGTGATCCGCTTCCCTATTGATCAAACATATTCCCAGTAATTAACACCAACTTCAAAAGATGTTTGCGCAGCTAATTGTGAAAAGAAAACAAAAGACTTTAGGCGAGACGACAAAATATTCGTATAAATAAATATGTTCAGCCTTATCGACTAGTTCATGGCAATTAATCAAATCGACGAATTTCAAAGTTGTAAATTAATTAAAGTCATAAATGTAGGGTATCTGATGATCACACACATTTCATACTCGTTCAGTTTGTAGATCAACTGAAGACAGATGTTCGGCGATGGCGGCGCTCCAGGTGACAAACCGATCCGACCTTGCCCATCTCAAACTCCGACTCCAAATCTGAGTCCAAATCTGAAACGATTTCAACAGCTTTCCACCTGCCACTCATCTGAGGCCCAGGGCGCCTTCAGCAGCACCCATAGACTTCCAATTGAAAGTTGTAACAATGAAACAGAGTCTGTGCGGAGGGGAATTTCCGAGCGCCTCGTGAATGAGTTTTGGGACCGCATTAAACAACAATTTTTATTTGTTAGCAATTTAACATTTAGGTGGTGGGGGATATGGATATTCGTACAGAGACGATGATGATCACTAAATGCGAAACTGAAACCGAATTAAAGCATACAATATAAATTGCTGGCAAATGACTCATGTATTTTAAGCGCAAAAGGCACGATTATAGTTGGCGAGTATTGTCTCCATTATTGGTATATGATAATACAAGTTTTTTCCCTTTTTTTTTTTTTGGCAATTATTGCTACCCCTGCCCTGCTGCCATTGCCATCCCGATCGACAGCATGGATGCGGCATGAAACCCGTTTGGCGCCTGTGAACCCGGCAACCCAAGCCCAAGGGTCCCCATCCATATAAAAGACGCACTTGAGCTGATCGAATTAAACAGTTGCACCCCAAGCAGCCTCTCCATAACATACGAGTATTCTCCCAAGCGAATCCAACATGTACAAATACGTAAGTTACCTTTGGGATATTCGGGATGGCAGAAGACTGCAGTGACCAATAACCATGACCGTTGCTCCTACAGCTGTTCTGCCTTGCTCTCATCGGCTGCGCTTGCGCCGACAACATCAACAAGGACGCCCAGATCCGAAGCTTCCAGAACGACGCCTCTGATGCGGAGGGCAACTATCAGTTCGCCTACGAGACGAGCAACGGCATCCAGTACCAGGAGGCCGGCAATCCCAATGGAGTGCGCGGTGCCCTGGCCTATGTGTCGCCCGAAGGTGAGAAAATCTCCCTGAGCTACACCGCCGACGAGGAGGGATATCACCCTGTGGGCGATCACTTGCCCACTCCACCGCCAGTGCCCGCCTATGTGATGCGCGCCCTGGAGTACATTCGCACGCATCCCCCAGTATCCGCTCAGAAGGATCAGTAAATACGCTGGGAGCCCCATAAAGCACCGCCAGCACTAGCACCACCACCACCACCACCGGACTCCAAGCTGCGGCCAGTCATTGTTATTTAGAGACATACATACATACATACATTCGTACGTTATTTTAGTAGTTATCGTTAATAAAGCCCGTCAATACAGGAATTCCCTTTGATTCCCTTTCTGAGTGCAAGAGAGTAAAGGCAACGCTTCGTACCATCTCTCGCTCTCTTTCTTTATCGGAGTCATTTTGTTTACCTATCTCGGTCTTTCTCTCTCTTCTTCTGTCACAGAGATAAACGTCCGCAAGGTGAATTTACTAATAAGGTGACGTCGTTCATCCACTTTCAACACGCTCTTTTGGCTTTCAGACAGACAAGCAAACGTACTGCACTCTTCATTTGTTATTGCTCGAAAGAGAGTTATTTTTATGCTCTTTCGCTCTCCACGCAAAGGGAAAAACTACAACAGCTAATCGACAACAGCTTAACAGGGTAACAACAGTGCGAGTCCCACTTACTACTCACTTTGGTAGTAAATACTATCATTCAAATAACTTCATTCGGTTCAAACGAAACAATCAGCTTTGCTGTTGGTTTATTGTGTGGCATTTTTCAACGGATTTTCTTCTATTTAATTATGTACAACGTGCTTAAAACTAAGCAACTGACTAGGCCGCCTGCAAACGGGCATTCAATCCATATGTATCTATTCGCTGGATGGATGAGCGGCATTGTACTCCAGAGAACGGAGGATGGCCTCTGGAATTGGTGGTGGAACCGGCAGACTTTCACCTGACGGCTGGTATCCATTCTCATCGGCCACATAGTTCAGTGCAATATTCTCGCCCTCCGGTGAGGTCCAGGAGAAGCTCCCAGTGGCTCCATTGGCATTGCCAGCCTCCTGCACTTGGATGCCGTTGCTCGTATCGAAGGAGTAGGCGTAGTTGCCCTCGGCATCGGCGGGATCGTTCTTCTGACTGAGGATTTCGGCATTTTTGTCAATGTGGTCTGCGTGGACAAATGCCACGAGCAGGGCAGCGATCAGGCAGATCGTCTGAAATATATTTTCCATACATTAATTATTTATTCCTTTTGCTTCCTTTCGGTCTCCGTTTTGGTTCCACGCCACCCGATATACTCACAAACTTGAACATCTTGTTGGAATTGTCTAGTCCACACTGTTTGGGTGATCTTCAGAGGCGAAGGCTTTTATAGCCACCATCGCATCGGCTGAAATTAAATATGCTTGCATATTTTAAACAAAGCGCCAAATACCGAATATTAAATGTAGATTTAGTTAGCTTTTGAACCTATTCAATGGAGCTGTGTTAGTTGGACCCACATCTGAACCTGAATCGCGGCCCCTAATATTCGCTAATTTCGCTAATTCAATCGACATTCGACTTCAGAGATGGGTCCAGGGCTTGTTTGACGTCATATTCAAGTAATATTTTTTAAAATTAAAATTAGCATTTACAGGTTCTGGGTCAGTAAGACGTAACACGACCTAAAATATCAATAGATGCAAATAAATTCTGAATCAGAATGCATACGAAATTATGATTGTGGAAATCAAGCAAAGTCGGTTCAGTTATTCCCAGCCTGTACTTGGAATAAATTCCAACAGGTGATTATGATGTATCTATGTATTCCATATTTTTCCATACCCCTTTTTAAATGTATCAATTTAATACCCTAAAAACACACAAAAAAACTATTTCTCAATTTGCATTTTTTATTTGGATCGCTTAAGAGTTATTTGTAAATGTTATTTAAGTTCGAACCCGCCGAACTTGTTTCAACACAATGTTGTGGCAAATGTTTCTCTGGCCCTCTGGTTGAGAGAGGAGTGGAGTTGTTACCCGGAAAGAAAATCCCGCCTATTATCAAGTTATCGAAAGCTATCCAAATAGAATCGCATTCTATTTCCATCCAGTTTTCAAATTCCGACATCTGAGAATAGACATAAATATTAATAATCAGACGCTAAAAGATAAATAAAATAAAGATGTTTGCAGACAACAACAAAAAATGAATATAGAATTCGTTAGGGTCATTCTATGCGGACATCAAATATCATATTTGGGCTTGGCTTTGTTTGCTCGTTTTGGGTGTAAACACAATAACTTATGGGATTGGATGGTGCGGAAGAATCAATGGATGATTTGATTTATACCCCCGAGCCGAACGACAGAACAGAACAGAACAGACAAAACATTTGCGCAGTTTGGAATGGCTTACAAGATCTAGCAACAACTTAGCCTACGCCTAGTGCTGAATTATATTATAGTTACAGCTATAGTTAGTTTGTTGGAGTTTATTACTACTACATGCTATGGTATGATCAGCCTTCTTCTTGGATGTGGATGGGTATGCGGGCGGCAGGAACTTTAGAACACATTCGGCTTCAGCTTGCCATCCTCCGTGTGGGTGCGAATGTATTCGAGGGATCGCAGGATGTAGTCCGGAATAGGTGGCGGCTGGGGCAGGTGACGGCCCACCACATGGAAGCCCAGCTCATCGGCTATGTAGCGCGTTTCGATGGTCTCGCCCTCGGGCGAGATGTATGTGTAGATGCCGATGGTCTCCAGGGCAGTGCCCGCCGCCTGGACATCGATGCCATTGCTGGTCTTAAACGCGTACTTGAAGACCCCCTCCTCGTCCAGCGGCGAGACCCGGTAATCCGTGATCTGGGCATCTCGCTCGCTGGAGCCCACCAGCCGACGAATGCGGCGTATCCGCACCAACTTGGCATCCAATTCGGCCCAAAGAAGGGCCAGTCCAAGCAGAGCTATGATCTGCAGAAACGAAGAGATCTTATCAGCAAGTAGATAACACAGATCGATGCAGATCGGGAACACAGATGGGGCTCAAGGCCTATGCTTACAAAATATCGCATGTTTCCCTTTGTTTTATATTTTCGCACTCGGCACAAGCACACACTTAAAGGTGGATTCCCTCAATCAAATTGATTAATTTCGATATTTATCTGCGTTAAACGATCTTTGTCCGAACGAACCCCAAAGACGTCTGCGAGGTTCAAAGTTAGCCACCGTACTGCCTATCCGGCGAGCGTGTGTTTTCAAATTTATATGAGGAAAACATGGTGGCAAAGCGAAAGCAAAAACGAACCGAAAAATCTAATAAGCATAACCAAATGCCAATAATCGTTGGCTCCATCTTTGTGTCTGTATCTCTGGCGTCTGTCGTTGTGGATGTGGATGTGGCTGGGTCTGGGGCTGAGGATGGGGCTACTACTAGGGCTGAGGGAGGCTACCCAACGATTCTTGCTTGATAACAGGTCACGCTGACTCAGTAAAGTCATTCATTTCCGTTCATCTTTCGGCCAAGCCAATATCTGTTTATTCATATTTTATGATCCCATACGTCAGCGGTAGTTTCTGCAGACAGACTCTTGAGTATTCAGATGTGCTAAGTAGCTCGAGTTCTCGAAGATCCGTACCCAATTTCGATTCAAATTTATTATGGCATAAAGTTCCGATTTCGTATTGTTATGATTATTCTGCTGCGGAAGACTTGATGACAAAATGAAGCTAATAGACTCAATGGTATGGCAAATACAAGTTCTTGTTTGGTACGAGTATTCTTGCATTTCTCTACGTTTAGTTACTTTGGTTTGTTTAATTAAGTTTTTACTAATTAATCACCAAACACGTTCTACCACAAATTTGATTGAAACTGAAAATGAAAGTCAAAATACCATTTGTGTAGGATAGAACGGGCCACCTGGGGTTCCAACACGGAAGATTATTTGCCCCCGGCATGTTCTAATTTATTCACATTATTAATATTATTATTATAAAAAAAAAACATACATTTTTTTAAGCATTTTCTTGTTTAGTTTTGGTTTTGGTAAAGTTGAATGCAAATTCTGAACATAAAAATCACAGCAAATGCGATAAAATCACAGAAAATAGGCCATCAAATAATAAGTAGCAAACAAGATGGGCTTAGATTAACAATCTTTAACGATCTCAGAAGCAGATACAATTGGCGGAATCAGTTCCGTGTCGATTGGTTCTGCTACAGCTCAGAAAAGCCAATTACAGACTGATTCTGATTCTGATTGAGTCGTTGTTTGAGTTCGTTGCCTGAGTCTGTTGTTTGAGCTCTCTTAAGGGTGTGTGTGTGTGTGTGTGAGTGAGTGCCATTAATTATGCCAGTATTCTTAGAACAGAACCCACAATCGAAAAGAACTTCAACATAAGCATATATAGTTTATGCTCACATTTACATACTACTATGCCTTAATTAATGTTCTCATAGTGCCCAAAAACTATTTAATAGTCCAGGCACGCACCGCACCGCTCAGGTGCCAACCAAAGAAGATGATAATGCGAAAGATGAAGAACTGGAAAAGGCAGTTCAGTTCAGTTCGTCTCTAGCTTTAGGTTTTCAGTTTTCTAGTTTTTCGTGTTTTTTGTTAAAAGTTTCGCAATCGGTTCTAAGGCTAAACTATTTGGCGTCGATTTGTGTTACTTAATTAATGTTGTCCGCGAAAAGATCTCAGCCGACGACTTGTTCGACTTGAAGATTTATGTCTGAAAATCAGCCATAGATTATTTTCGGCGCAATCTTTCTCTTTATAAATCTTTTGCTACGTATGTAAATTGTCATAAACGCTGGTGTTGATTATTAATTAGTTAATAATTTTTAAAGCAAATGACTTCTGCTATTCTTTGGGACCACAACGAAAATGAAATAATGCAAATGTCATTCAAATAAACATGTATATTCTGATTGATGGACTGATTGATTTTGTTAGCCGACACCTTGAGAGTCGGCTTGAGTGTCGGCAAGTTGTAAGATCGAGCTATGCAAATGCGTGCAAGGTCTAGGTCTGCATGGCATCCATCCAACGCACAGTGGAACCAATTAGCTGTGCTGCCAATTGTGCTGTCAGCGGCTCCAGTAACAAGTACTGACAGCACAGAATTAATGTCGAATTTCCCAGTGTAATTTCAATCAAAGAAATCTCTGATTGGCGCTGATAAATTATTGTATATTAGACCTCTAACACTTCCAGTTTGGCTTTAGCTTCAAACTTGACGGATCTTACCAAACGAAATCCAATTAAAATATTTTGTATTGGCTTTTTAGTTGAGTGTGTGGAGTGTTGAGTTTCTTCAACCATGACCTTTTCCAACGTAGCCAAAATGTAGAATTAAATTATAATAAATTACTGATAACATGCGACCATTTTAGTCCATATGGCAGAGCCACTGTGTCTGGGCTACCCATCGTCGCCGAACCACTGTGCATAGCTCTCTGTGATTGATGTTAGTTTGATATGCAGGCACACCCAATCAACTAAACCAAAACAACTTCATTGTCAGGCGATAATGGTCAGGCACATTAGCACAAATTCAACATAAATCAAGCCAAACGCGATCCTCCAAACTCGTACACGGATAGATGCTGCGGCTAATGCTGTTGTTGCATTGATCTGAGCTGACAATTTATGCATCGGTTCATCATGCTCATGTTCCGTCAGAGCTTGGGCCGGAGATCTCTTCCTCTTCGAATTCGGTTCTGAGAACTCTTTCCAGAGAGCGGCCGACAAACACAATTAGCAAGCTTGAAAGCTTCCTTATGCACCGGACCACATGGCTGGTTTTTTTTTTTGGCAGTTTCAATCTAACATTCGGGGACAGCAGATCGCGTCGCAGTTGATGTTTCAAACGTATTTAACGGTTAATATTTCGGTTAATTCTGATTCTGATTCGGTTTCAGATTCAGATTCAGGTTTAGGTTAAAGACCGAGTCAAGTCGAGACTGTAAACGATACATTTGGAATATATATTTAATTAGGAGATGATGTGGTCGTTTGGCAAGGTTTGTGCGTCGTTTTGCAATATCCCTGATTACTCAGCCGCTAATCCAATCCCGCCCAGCTTCTGCTGGCCTTCGCAGTTGCATCCGCCACCGCCACTGCCACCGCCAATGCCGCAACGTTGTTCGATCGCACCATTTACTACCACAACACGCCGCCCAATGCCGCGGGCCACTATCAATTCGAGTTTCAGACCACCAACGGCATCACCACCAAGGCGGCTGGCAACGAGAATGGGGCCGTGGGCGTAGTCCAATTTGTGTCCCTCGAGGGCATACCCATAACCTTCACATATGTGGCCGATGCCAATGGGTATCACCCGGAGGGCGAGCACATTCCCGCCGTGCCGCTGCATGTGCTCCGACAGCTGGAATACATTCGCACGCATCCAGCGGTGGATGAGCGCAGGTCGAGGCGCTGGTAAGGCTAGAAAGCAGCCATAAACATTATTATATACTGGCTTTTAAATATCTGTCAATTGCCTGTAGAGTCGGAGATAAGCGGAGAATGCCGTTGCACATGAGAAATATTTAAATTTTGTATTTATCGCTTATCGTTTTCACATGCAAATGGCACAGACGCACAAACAACAGCGGCAACAGAATCATACCAAAATATATAGCAAGCAAATAAATAAATGTATTCTATAAACATATACATACATATGAAATACAATTTTAATTGAGTTGTGGCCCAGAGAGTCTGGGCGGAATTCGATGCAGTAAATAACAATTAAAGATGTTACACAGTCATAAAGTATGGCAAACACGGACACAAATATTCAGGAAATTCTATGGATAGGTAAAACCAATGGAAAAGATTCATTCTTTTCATCGCTTGTCGGAATCATGTTTTTTCTTCGTTTGTATGCTAATCGTGGCATGGCACTTATTCGCACTCAAATGTCAGCTTTCTATCAGCTCAGTTTATGCCATTCCGACTACGCTATGCTATGCCATTCCAAAGACCTTGGACTCGGAGATCTCTAAGAACGACTTTCGCTTTTGCGACAATCGAGAAGATGATTGTGGCATGTCGCCTGTCGTCGGTCGCCTGACTCATTTGCATGTGGGCGCCTAATTAAGGTCGTTGCATACTATTGACCGACTGACGGACGCTTCAAGACCGAGAGCCGACCGCACTTATGTAACCAGACTAATAAAACAAATTGAGTCGACACCAACGTTGGCCGCATTTAATGTCACCGAAAACAAGTTGCTGATTGATGCACGGCTCGGAATAATCCCTCCGCCAATCAGTTCCGGCCTTGGAACCACACAGCCCCAAACAATTTATATTGAATGTAATTTTCGGAGGAGCATTTACGGGAGCCATCCAAATGCCATCACAAGTTAGTGGAAAGAATATCCCATTAGCATGCACACCATAGAAAGCAATTATGAATTATTCATAACCAGTTTTTTTTTTATCGATCCTCTTTCAACGCAGCCGTTAAACGCTCTAACCGACACTTAACAGGCACTCGGATGGATATCACCACCAATTTATCACTGGACCACAACTATCCAGCAGCATATTAGTTTTCTAAATCTCTATTTAAGTATATTCCCCGAAATTTATGAATAATCTTCCACGTGCCAATCCGGTTGGAAAATTCTGTTTTGCGGTTGCTAATCAGCGGCGGCGATTCCAGAGTTAAATATCAGCTGCCACAGATTTATGGGTCGGAACGGGCTATAATGACTGTTTTAATGGCATAAATGTCACCGCTAGAAGTTTAGCATGTACTTGGGTATTAAATCTTATTAATCAAGTGCATAAAAGTTTAAATATGTATACATCTATAGTCAACAGGTGTTGTGAACGAGCTGAAAGTTTTCCCATAAGAATATGAACTTTCATAGAGCTTAAAACGAAGATTCATTCATCCAGAGGCCAATGGCCTGGTTGAACTTGATAAATCCAAACATACATATATAATATGTATCTTTCCATTCATGTTGGGGTTACTGGCTGACTTATGGGGCTATATATATTCATGGAGACAAACCTGGCAACATCCCATTAGCATCATCGCCATCTGATGTTCGAATACGTTATCTAAATCGATTTACATGCATAACGAATTCCACAACTTTGCTTTTGTTTTTTGCACATCTTTACAATAATATATTTCAAGTTTCTTGACATATATATACTTCTATGGGTGTATTGTGTGTATGTGTGGGGGGGGATCCAAAGTGGTTTGTTTACATGTAACACTCATTTATCATTAGGTCTTTATGGGAGGGGGTTAGCTTGATCACAATGATCAACAAATCATGCCAATTGTCAATTGTTTTGGTTTTAATCGATTTTATTGTTTTTGTTTAATTGTATTTGTGTTGTGGTGTATGCATACTTTTGTTAAAATAATAATTCAAGTATCTCATGATAATCTAGTATGTTTATACATTTTAGGGTATTGCGGATGATGCCTCCCTTTTTTTTCCACCGTATGTAGTTTACTTTTTTCTATAATTAAACTAATCCTAAAACACCTACCAAGTCCGGGACATGAACGCGTAGCATACCAATCGAATGCCAAATGGGATCTGAGATGAGATCTCTGGCAGCGGAGCAGCAGAGTGCGAAATGGAACGAAAATGGGCCGAATGAACAATTTGATTGATTGAATTATTTAGATTAGTATTCCTGGTTTTTGCCTGCTCGGCCCCGGACGCATACAATGGCAGCGACCAGGCGCAGGAGGGAGAATAAGAAATTGTATAGTTTACTGGAGTGTAAATACATATGCTAAATGTAAATATATTGAATAGGTGTGGTTCGTATTTGTGTGTTCTCTCTGTCGTCTGTAAAATAGGGTTTTGGTTGGACATGTTGGATGTGTATGTCTCGCTTTTCTGTGTGCGAAAGTCCTCCAGAGACCTTGAGCCGCTCATTAAACATTCTAAGCGCGCGCACAGCGTGTGAATCTGTTAAGTCCTGCAAGGCATCAAAGGTAATAATTCGTTAGTGAAATCACAGATGGGAGCAGCGTGCAAATCCAATCCACTTACCAGTCCTCATCGCATGCCAGTATTCTGTAGTGTTCACGGCCCCGCCTCTAGAGCCAACCCTAGTCCGCTTTCGTCTCCGTAAACTCCTCCAGGCCAAAGAAGCTGCCGCCGGAGGCGCCCGCAGTGCTGCTTGCCGTGCTGGTGGCCACCACAGTGGTGGATGCAACGCTAGTGGCTTCCGATACTTGCACTTCCTCGCCGGCAGATGTTTCCGCTGCCTCCTTGTGGTCAGGACTCTCACCGCCGGCGCCCCGTTGGGCAGCCTCCAACACCTGCTGCTGCACGTGGACAATGGGCTGGCCATCTTCGGTGTACGACACGGACACGGGTATGCGTGTGCCATCCTCGCTGATGACATGAGCTCCCTCTTCTCCATCCTGGCCCTGCTGGATGATCAACTGACCCTCGGAATTCAGCAGAGAGGCGTCTATCAGCTGCTGTTCATTGTTATCGCCATGGACCAGCACCATCTGGCCACTGCCGTCGTTCATCATTTGCAGGGTTTCGCCTTCTAGGCCCTCGCCGGACTGCAAGACACCCACGCTCTGCAACAACTGCTGGATCTGCTCGGGATCCTGTACAATGATCTGGTTGCCGTCCGCATCGGTTAGAATGTGGTTGTCCAGCTGCAACAAATGGCCGTTCTCGTTGACAATGAACTTAATCTGGCCTCCATCCACTTGCGCCTGCATGGCCTCGTCCAGTTCCATGGCCACCTGCTGCTCCCCGCCCGAACCCTCACCGGCCTCTCCCTCGCCCTCTGCAGAGGCGGCATGTTCGCCATCGGCCGATTCGCTGGCTTCTGTGGTGACCGCTGCAGCCTCCGACTCGGTGGTGGGCGTGTCTGTGGCTTCCCGCTTCTCTACGGTCTCGCCTTCCTCGGAGGGATGGACTTCTTCTGTGCCGGCAGCCTCCTTCTCCTTTGCGCTCTCCTCTGTCTTGATCTTATTGCTGGCTTTTCCACCTGCTTTGCCCTCTTCCGCGTTCTCTTCTGCAGCGGCTGCCTCGTTGTCATCGTCGAGGCTGGGCATGGAAACGGGAGCAGCGGCATGGGACTTGCCGTCAGCCGAGGAGGCATTGGCGCCGCTGCTGGCCTTGGCGTCAACGCTGCTCTGTGACTGGGATTCGTCTTCGGCCTGGTCTAGATTAGGCATATCAATGGGCATACTAGGGGCACTGGCATTCGCCGAGTCCTGCGATTGGTCGCCATCCGGCTGAGGGATGGTTATGTTGAAGGTGATGCCCCCGCTGCCCTCCTGGGAGGTGATGACCATTTCTCCGGTCTTGCTGCTCTTGGGAGCATCACCGCTCTCGTTCTTGTCTGAATGTAGCTTCTCGAACAGGCTCTCAATATCGGCCTCGGCATTCTGCTCGCTGCCATCATCGGCCTTGCCGCTGGTCTCGCCTGGCTCGTCGCTGAGCAGAGCGGTGGCAGCCGAATTGAGGGCCGCGGCTCCGCCAGCTCCGGCGCCCTTCTTGTCCCTTCTGTGGGTCTCCATATGATGATTGTAGTATGTCTCCTGGATGAAGGTCAACGAGCAGATGCTGCACGAGAAGAATCGAATGTTGTTCTCACCCTCGCCGCCAGCCACAACAGCGGCAGCAGCTCCCGAGGCTGGCACACTGTCACTCAATGCCTCATCGATGGTTTCCTGGAGCAGTTTCTGAGTGTTCAGGTTGGGGCTGCTGACAGCCGACAGCTTTGAGGACGCGCCACCGCCGCCCTGATTCTGGTGCACTTCAAAGTGCTTCACGAGCAGCTCACGCTTGGGGAAGGTCATCGAGCAAGTGCCGCACTTAAAATAATTTGTCTGATGCTGCTTGGCATGGGTAGTGGCAGCCTCACGCGTCTCGAATCGCTGCGAGCACAGACGGCACTTGAACGGCTTCGGTTTGGCATGCTTGCGCATATGCTCGTCGAAGACTCCCTTATCGGTGGACTTGAACTGGCAATGATTGCATGTATACAGAGCCGAGCCGGCCGCGCCTAGGCTCTCGGAGGCAGCGGCGGCGGCAGCAGCTGCCGCTGCAGCGGCCACGGGTGCAGCAGCTGCGGGTATGGTTGTGGTGCTGGTAACCAGGACATTGGTGGCATGATTGGTCTCCATGTGCTTGCGCAGGCTCGTCTCGTTCACGAAATTTATATGGCACATGGCACAGGTATTGTCCATGGCGGTGCTGTGGTCACGCACCATATGCTGCTTCATGGCCCCGAAATGGGGGAAGATCTTGCGGCATGTCTTGCACTGGAACGTCTGCTGTTTGCAGGTCTCATAGTGGGTGTTGAACAGCCTCATGTCGGAGGTCTTGTAGTCGCACGAGGTGCACTTGTAGATCTTGGTGGCCTTGCGCTGAACCTGTGTCTGTGTGCCCGGCGTGCTGGTCTGCGGCGTGAGGGGTGCCAGCTTTGGCTGACCTGGAGGAATGAGCGTTATATAAGGTCAACACTGAAGCTATAGTAGATTCAAGAAATGGCGTACCTGGCGATCCTTGGACAAGCTTGCGCGGTCGTAACAAATCTCCGCCAGGACTCTCTTCCAGTGACCGGGCGGCACCGCCCGTGGCCAGCTTTTGCATCTTCAGAGGCGGGCTGGACTCCGCGCCGACAGCTTCATCGTTGATTGCATACTTTTTGTTCAGCAAGCTAATCAAATTGGTCTTCACACGCTCCACATCGTTCTCCAAGCGGTCGTAGTAGTTCACCAGGTTTGTACATCTCGAGCAGACATAGTCCTCGCCGCAGACAATCACCAAGAAGCCCTCGCCGACGAGCTGAGCCAATTTATTGGGGAACTTGGTGGCCGTGTGAGTGGTACACATCTCGGTGAGCGACGTCTGGGCATCGCATCGTTCGTCGCAAATGTAACACCGTGTGCCGCCCGCATCAGAATCGCTTGCAGATTGCTGGGCTGCAGTTGTGCCCACAGCAATGTTGCCGCCACCGCTGGACGCAGCGGCCCCGCCTCCACCGCTCGAGCCAACGAGTCGCGTTGTCTTTAGAATGCGCGGTTGGCTGGGACCAGTGACGGTGACGGCTCCGCTGTTCAGCAAATTGTTAAATTTGCGATAGGTGACCGGATTCAGTTGGTTGTTCATTGTGTGGGACACAATTGTCTGCCGTGGCGTGGCCGTATTGGGGTCTTTAAAAATTGAGCGCAACACGCGCAACTGCAAGCCGCTTCTTTTTTATTATTCGGCGATTACGACGAACGGCGATTTTCAGCACTGCGCTAATGCGGTCTTGTCGATACTATATTGCTACAAACGTACGGATTGTTTTTATTTTTTCTGCAGCCACAAAACAATATTGTGCACCAGGAACAACAGTTTTTTGTAACTTAATTCTTGTTCTGATGTCGCGGCGTCACTTTGACTGTACTAAAGACTCGGTGCTGTATTTTTTAGGGTTAAAAATGCGTATGTTTTCTGCAGCACTGCTCGCTGACCAGCTAGTTGTCTCGCTCTCCAGCACGCACGCTGCCCTGGCTGTGCGCTGCTGTGCACTGTTGTTGTCTCGCTCTTGCTATACGGAAATGGCGGCTTGCCTAGGTGGTCAGGCACGTTCAGACACGGAAAAAGTATGACAGCGTTGCAGTTTGGTATTATCCATATGTGTTGTTATAGTGGATATTGCGTTAATAAATTTTGCTGTAGATCTATTTAATATTTGCATTCAAAAGTAATTTGATATTGCTAGAGAGGAATATATTTGTGTGCACTCGCGGTATTTGTATGCGTCGTATCGTGTATGTCATACAACAACATGCGCTAGTAGTTCGCAGACCAGCCGCAAGAGGTCGCCTTTGCGCGGTTCTTTTAAATTTTTGAATAGGTGCAAAAGAACTAATTAAGACACTTGAGCAGTGAGGCAAGCGTCGCATTCCACTCAGACAACAGCAAGCATTTAACCAACGATAACAAAGGTACTACATCACTAATGGGCTAAAACCGAATACCGATAAGATTCCGCTATGCCATTGCCGTTTTTAGCCTTTCGATTTAGTTGAGTTCGTGTTGGGTTGAACTTGTTCCATACAGCTACAGGGCGGTAAATGCTTGCTGATATTTGGGGGTGGTGGTGCGGCCAGGCCAGCAGACACCGTCGCTTATCAGTAGCACCGATAATTTTTTATTTACCAACCGAACGCCAATTGCCGAACAAAAGTAAAGGTTCATATGTATTTTGTATCTGAACGGACTTCGCATTTCAGTTGGCGAACGAAACGAACAGCGAACGGATATCAGCGAAAAAGTCGAACCGAACCGAACCGAAACGAAATAAAAGCCTTGTCTGCTACTTTACTGGCCCATTGGCCCATTGGCTCATTCCAATACCCATATCATTGCATTGTTGCTAGTATTCAAAGTGAGCTGTGCTACCCCCACACTATCGCAAAAGCGGCGCAAAAATTAATTGGCGCATGTTACGGGCCAATTCAGTTGTCCAACGTTCGTCCGTCGCGAACTACAAAAGCGCACTCAACCCGATCCGAACCCCGCTTCGAACTCGGGGGCGTGAGAATCAAACAACAGTGTCTACCACAGTGTCTACAGCATGTATCCGCGCAGCATCAAGAATTTTCCCTCCCTCAAGACGGCCGTCGTATGGGCCGGTCTACTCGGTGTGGTATGTAATCAAATGTGTCATAAATATGTTGCAGGAGTGGGGTATGGAGTATGGAGCATGCGGCGACCCCATTCACATTGATAAGCCCATAGACTGGAGATATTGAAATTGACATTGGAGTACAACAGAACCACTAACTGAAATTGGCTTCTCCCTGCTATCGCTCTCCAGGGCTCTCAGTAGACTCCAACTGATCAGTTTTGTGCTAATCATGATATAATCAGAGCTGACGCATACAATGGAAAGGGATCCACAATCCACAGTCGACAGATAACCGTTAACAGTGGCCCCTTCGACGTGTGTAAACAAACCAACTAGAGGGGATTCCATTATCTACCCATCTCTCTCTCTGAGGGTCTATAGCTAACTCTCTCTCTCTCTCTTCTCTTGTTTTTGGTTCTTTTGTGCAGGTGCAGTCCATCATCTGGATTGGATTGACCATTACAGCGATATGCGCCTACAATTGTCTCCTCTATGTAACCGATGACCTCAGCTTTGGCACCATGATCAAAACGGTGTTCTTCGATGTGTATTTCAGGGGTAGCTGTAAAATGAGCACCGCCGACTATCAGAACTACGACTATGGCATTCTGAAAACGGTCGTTACCGTATTCGATCCTTCGCAGGTATTGATTTGGGACTGCTTCTACCTGGGCGTTTCCGTTTGCTGGCTCATCGTTTCCATTGTGCTCTTACTGTGTAAGTAAACGGAAATTAAATGCATATGTCTACAATTAATATCGCAACGCCTCCATGCTATGATTCACTCTAGGAATTTATATTTATCAAGCAACTACAAAAATTTAAGATAAAAAAAAAATAAAATAAAACTAAAGCTCTAAAACGATTAGATAACTTTCATTGATGATTGTTTCCCGGCACTAGCTCAATGATTGATGCAACTCATTACCTTTGTCACTTGTTCTTCCAGGTGTGCGCAAAGATAATGCCAAGCTATCCCTGATCGCCATCGCACACTGGGCCTTCTTTGTGGCCGTCATCTGCTGCATGGATGTGGCCTCTGGCGTGATCTTTGGCATTGACTATGGACGCTTCCAGGCGAAGGCGCTGACCTACAATGCCAACACCATCAACGCAGCTCCCGTGTTGCCCATGGCATCCACTCTGATTGCCGGCGGTGTGGCGGCCATTTCGATGATGATCATTTCGTTCAAGGGCTTCATTCTGTGGTTCATCAACGTGGGACTGCTCATCTATCTCTCGATCCGAGCCACGCGCATTGTCACCGATAAGGACAGTGTGGTAAGATTCCCAAGTGGTTTACCTCATCGGGCACTCATGTATGTATGCTGACATTGTCTATGCCGGCGTTATAAATTTGGGGACAGCGTTTAAGCCCAAGAGAGCAATGGCCAAGGTGCTGTGGGGTGGAGTGGGCTCAGCTCACCGAAAATAAAACATTTCGACAACGCAGAAAGAGAAATTCCTGCGACAGCGACTACGACACGGCTAAACATAGCAGTGGCAAGGCAACCCACTGATAAGCCTCCGACGACGGCCCGGCCCATTGGCTCTCGATAATGGTTCGAAGATTTTCAGGCTGCTTGTGTCGGAATTGATTGTAAACCAAAGTATAGCTGCCATATACATACGATAAATGGGGTGAACTTTTGCGTTTGATTTCTTGAAGTAATCTTTGCTTTTTCTCGCCACAGGATACTTTGTTCAATCCCCGCAAGGATTCCAATGATATTCTGGCCACCCGCACACCCATTCGTGCCTACGAAGAAGAAAAGTAAGTAGCTAAAATCTCCACTAATTCGGCTCCCCATTAATGCTTGAGCTTTGTCCCACCCACAGAGTGGAATTTCAGGCCTACAACAATGCCGGTTACATGGCGGATAATCGATCGTCGGCCGAGACCATCGAGGTGAACGAGCAGGCGATTGTCCGAGCGGCTCACATGTCGCTCGATTCGAATCTGATGGATCGCCGGTTCCGCGACATCAATGCCTTCCAGCAGTATCCGGCTCCGAATCCGAACGACAGCCGTCCCCTGCGACAGCTGTCGATGACTCCGTTGCAGGAGACGGTGGTTGTGGCCACGTCCGGCTTCCCCATGCCGGACTACACCCCACAGCCGAGTCCGAGCGGCATTCTGCGCCATCCCCAGTATTAAGTATTAATGGCGGCAAGCAAACCAACCAAAGTACCCAAAAGCTAACTTGCATAATATAATTCTCAAATAATCCCCATCCCCAAAAGCCGCCCCAGTACGAGTGCGAGTAGTAGCGCCGCCCGCAAATGAAATAGGAAATCAGCTAAAGATTAGTTCAAATGTTTATCAGTATGTTTTGTGCATGTTATTTATATTTATTTGCATGTTAATATAACAATATATAAGTGTATGCAGTTGTAAATATATAATATACAATCCAGTTCTATATAGTTATAGCTGTTTGCAAACTCGGTGGAATTTTATTTGTTTATAATGCTCATTTCTGATAAGGCTTAGGTCGGCCTAGGTCGTCTGATTGAAGACGGCCCCCAGCAACGATTTAATTGCGACGCGATTATCGCGGAATTTTGAGTGGACAAAAATAGAATTGAAAAATAAGCATGCTAATGGCTAGCTAATGATTACCTAACTATTTATAATAGTTATATTTCAAATGCGCGCCCAATCGAACCATTTACAGTGTTGATTTCAACCGCTATCGACCTCAACCCTGACGCGTTTTGGCGTGTGTTTTGACAGAAAACGCTTAACCCATTGTCGACCAGTGGGTATTTCAGTTTATGCACGAATAGTTATTATGAAACTTGAACATTTTGTACGCATCTCAAAAGATATCGTGGTCATTTACTCTTGTATGTAACGAGAAATGATGAACCTACAAAAAGCATTTACAAACAGTATTCTTTTTTACCATTAAACTCGATCTCTTCACCTGTTTAAAGAGAGCGGGGCTAAGTGGGTTAAGTTCGTTTTTATCGATAAATCCTAAGTCAAACGGGTCAAAAATTGTATTAAAAATTTTTCGATTCGTGATAAGCCGGAAAAGATTCGACTTTAAACAGTATAGCCGGGCGTGAAACGTAGCTTGGGCTCGTGTGTTTTATATTTTAGTCATTTGTCATCGAAACACACCGGGGAACGGATCGAATCTCTTCTCAAGCGTCAGCCGACTTAGCTAACTTTTTGTTTTTGACTTGAAAAAAATGGTTTTCATAACAAAATTCGCTCGGATCGGTGTGCAGGTGGCCCACCAATTGCGTGCCACGCCCCTAGCCACAGCTCAGTGGCGTAGTTTCCACATAACAAGCATGCTGGACAAGGGTAAGGACTTTATGCAATAACATATACAGTTGGCGAGTCACTGTGTATCTAAAACTGATAATGTTGCATGTGGATTTCTTGCAGAGCGCCGCTACACAGACAAACACGAGTGGGTGGAGCTATTGGACGCCACCAAGGCCATCGTTGGCATTTCAAACTATGCCCAGGAGGCATTGGGCGATGTGGTCTTTGCCCAGCTGCCGGAGCCAGGCACAGAGCTCAAGCAGGATGACGAATGTGGTGCCCTGGAGAGTGTGAAGGCTGCCAGCGAGGTGTATTCGCCCGTGAGCGGCAAGGTGAGCGAGAAGAATGCTCAAGTAGAGGACACGCCGGCTCTGGTCAACAGCAGCTGTTATGACAAAGGTGAGCACGGGCATGACGAGTACTTTGAGATATTTCTAACACCTTTTTTGTATATTTTCCCCAATAGGCTGGCTCTTTAAGGTTGATCTGAAGAATCCCACCGAATACGAGAAACTTATGACTGAAGAGCAATACAGCGCCTTTGTGAAAAGCAGCGAAGAACACTAAACACATGGAACACATGGCATGGAAACTGCCCCCAAAACTTGAGTCTAGCCTTCAGACACAAACAACGTTCACGCATTTGTTATCTCTCGCACACCAAAAACTCACCCCAAAACTCATCCACACATCCCTCCATGCCCACGTTGTTGTAGCACTTGAAAATTGTTACGAATAAGAATCGACAGTAAAGCCAAACATAATATTTGAAAAGGGCAATCGCCGTCTCTGGTATTGACCTGCGGCAGCCAATGTCTGCTCCCCCATGGAAACCTAGCGATAAGAGACTTAAGAGAAGGCGTCGGCAATCGCTCGAAGATTGCTCAAACGATTGAGTGAAACCCAGAGAGGAAGAGTCCAAAGAGAGAGTCTTAATGTGTCAAAGCTGAGATCAGCTTTGTGCGGCGTGGTATGCACAATGGAATCAGCCGCGTCGCGTGTAGAATACTGTGGCCGAGACGACCGATGGCACACGCCAATCGTCAGAGTTCAAGTGTCTGGCATCACCTGATTAATGTGCAGCTAGGAGCCGCAACGGAAGCCGGGAACTGGACGGAGACCGTACACACCTACTTCTCTGGAAAGTTACGCCGTCGTGATTCCGATAAGGATCGACGACGGCGGTGGTGTCTGTCAGACCATAGTAGGGATGGGATGCTGATAAGACCCAGCACTCTGTCTCTTTGAACTTGAAAAACTAGCACGGCACAGCAGAAGCTTTTGCTCTCGCCAAAGCTCGCGAATGCCAAAAAGCTTCGTTGTGTCGCGGCCAAGCAGTCATTCCGTCACTCAAACTCACTCCGTGCGGTGCGAGAAAGCGCGTGCTGCTCGAGAACCAGTCCGTAATAACAATAAGCACAGACACACAACACAACACACACCCCACGGCCACGGCAGCTCCCGCTGAGCAAAGGATAATCAAAGGAAGGACAACACAAGTGAAACAGCGAACAAAGGCTAAAAGGAAGCAAATCAATTCTGCCACAGAATAACACCAAAAGACACACACAAAAAAACAGACAAAATGCCAGCGGAAAAATCAATATACGATCCCAATCCGGCCATCAGCCAAAACGCTTACATATCCAGCTTCGAGGAGTACAAGAAGTTCTACCAGGAGTCCCTCGACAATCCCGCAGAGTTCTGGTCCCGTGTGGCCAAGCAGTTCCACTGGGAGACGCCCGCCGATCAGGAAAAGTTTCTGCAATACAATTTCAACATCTCGAAGGGACCCATTTACATCAAGTGGATGGAGGGTGCCTCGACCAATATCTGCTACAATCTCCTCGATCGCAATGTCCGCAATGGATTGGGCGATCAGATCGCCTACTATTGGTAAGTCCCAGAGCTGTCCAAAACAGTCCTTACGCACAATTGGCATTCGGTTGCGTAGGTTGTGCATGAAAACAAAAGTTTCAAGGGACACTCACGTTCTGAAAAGGACAACAGTATTGATTTTTCTCTTGTGTGGTTACGAAACTCTCGCCTCGTGACGTAGATAGGTACGGTGCGGGAAATATCTAGGTGATTTACTGCGCAGGCACAAAACCGACAGGCCGACAGACAGACAGAACAGAACAGATGTTTCCAGTTACTTTTTCTTGAATTTTCTTGGGGGCCAAGGACACGGGCATACTGCCATTGATTTTGGCAGGAAAAAAAACGAACTTTACTATTCAGACGAATGTCAGCATTATTTTGTGTGTGTTTTGATTGCTCCCAATTGTAATTGGTTGGTAAATGATTTGCATGCCAAATGTGACATCGACACAAATGACTTTTAATTTAATCAATTTTGGATGCTTAACCGTGCAACAAAACTACCTTTGGAGCGCAGCACTTTGGGTCAATGTCAGGGTCGACGTTCCTCAAGCCTCGATACGATACGTCCCTGACTTGCTTGATCTTCGATGCTACGGTGCGACCTGCCTAAAAGAGCTTTGTGTTTGTTATATTTGTTTTCTTTTCCACACACGCCATGCAAATACTCGACGTAAAGCTAACAAATAATAGCAAATATTATAGAGGCATTCTTCCACCCATACCCAAGCAGTACACCCCCAGGTTGAAGTGCGAATCTATTTGTAATCAGAATATTGTTTAGAGATGGGCCAGGCCCTTCCCTGATTAGTGCAGCACGGAATGGTGCCTCCTTGAGAGGCAACGGCAACTCACAACGCAATAGCACCCGGCATGAGTACTTTGTTTTGGATGATGGAGAGATTTGGTGTTTTGCAGCCCAAAGTTCATCTTCATCATCGAGAGCAGTTTGTCAGAAAAAAAAAAAAACAATGAGCAATGTTCAACAAATGTTAATGCTAATGAGCTTATCTCGGGGTTATCACCAACAGGAGGGTTCGAACAGTTTAGAGTGCTCGTGTGCCCAAGGAAATGTAAATGAAAGTCAGGTAATTGAAAGGCAATTACAAGGTCATTAGTAGGAGGTTCCCAATCCATATACTCGGAGTATACATATGTGTATGTGTTGTGTATATACATATATATTAGTTTAAGACTACTCATCACTATTGGGTTCTCTTTTCATTTCTTTCACATAAACTATTCAATTTCGTGGCACAATCAGAGCCGCTGCCCTCGCTACCCTACCCTTAGATAAGATAAAATATAATAAAAATGAAATGAAATAAAAGCTGGCGCGTAATGAGCAATAATTAGCGCTTTTCGAACGGAATGTCCCAGATAATTTTGTTGCAAAACCAAAGCCAAAGCAAAACAACATCTTAAACTTTTTATTTAGCCCACACATTTTTTATTGAAAGATAGCACTGGGAGTAGTCCACATATAAACATAGGAATAAAGTGGTTCCAAAACCAATGTCCGCACAAAAAACTTAATTTAAATGAAATACATTAAATGAAAACCTAGCACGAGCGAAAGCTGTAGGGCGGGCATTATGTAAGCGATTTGACAATTCGCGCAAATTGTTTATTCAAATTGATTTAAGCGCGTCTATTCGTCGCGCCAAATTGCGTTAAACGCTTTGCGGGTTTTTGTGTGTCAGCTGGAGGGGTGCTTAGTGTGTGGTGTCTGGGCAAAAGGTGGTGAAAATTGTGGGAAACACTTGTAGAATGCAGACACCTTGACATTAACAGACGGACAGAGTAGTTCATGTCCGTTAACTAACAGTTTGAGCGGCCCTAATAGTTTTGAAGGCGCTGTTTGAGTGCTGCTGAAGAATCACGCGATCACATCGCCTGATTACTCACAACCAATTAGAGAGCGATTTACGCACACACACAGACAGAGGTGGACAAACAGACAGACTGAGAAAGATAGAGAGTGGAGAGAGATAGAGAGAGGGTGGGCATAAAAGAAGCCGTCAAAAAAAAAAAGAACAGAATGTGTGGAGGAAATGTCGTGTACCTGTGATTTTTGCGGGAGACAGCCAAAAAGAACCGTATAAATGCTGTGTGGGCACTTCTTTTCTTGTTTCATGTGTTATCATTTTTGCAGTCTGTTGATTATGTAAGCTGGCGTTTATACATATGCTAATATGAAACACACCCAAAATTGTAAAGGTGTTCAACACAAAAGCAGCAGCAGGCAGCAGCATCATACGATTATGGCTGTCAAACTGTAGGGCCGGCTAGACGCCGCGACGCTCCGATAGGGAAAGACAGAGAGGGAGAGAGAGAGAGAAACGAAAACATTCGATGGGATTTATTCGACACGCGAATCAACAGCTGTTTCTGCTGCTACTTAGATAAGTCCGTGTTGTAGTTATTGCTTGTGTTTTATTCCATTATTAACAAGAAGAAGGGTTGTCGAAACTGTTGATACCCATTCACAAAGATCGGTACTCAACTGCCATAGCCGATAAAGAAGACTTCAAAACGGAGACTATCTTGCTTAGAAACAGACAGACGTACTGAAGGACACGTTGCATTGAGACTCGTACTAATCTATAGCTAATTTATTTAGTCGGAAATACTTCCTTTACTGGTGTTTTGCAAACACATGATTATCAACATAATAAATACCCTCCACAAGGTTATATTAATAATCTTTTGAGAGAGGGGAGACGTTCTCCTGTTTTGGTTGTATTTGTTGCCATTTCTTTTGGTAGCATATAATTTTAGTGATTTCTGATAAGAGCAAGTACCGCCGCCACGCGTCTGGCTGTGATCAAGCAATCATCGAGACGAGGCAGGCGCTCACGAGGTGTTTCCAAGGCAGCATGGAAAATTTCTTGTCTACCGATGGGTCCGTGTGATTAGGGACAGGCCAGTGAGTGGGTCGATTATGCCTCCAAATTGAAAATTAATACACTTGAATCGGCAGGGATTGGCGCGTCGCGCCACTTTTTCTTCCACTTACTAAAATTAGTCATAATTGTGGCACGCACATAAATAGTGTTGCTTGATAAGCATTATGGGATGTCCGTTCTCAGCAGAAGGAGATTTGAAGGTGGTACATACATAGCTGTAAGTTCACTTTGGAAAGAGCTTTTCTACCGAAAAGAAAAGGTTGCGAGTTCGATGCGTATTTTGTTTATTTTGGACGCCTCTTACTAATTGACAAGTACGCGTGTATGTCGGTTGTATAAACAAGTATTTCGCTCAAGTGGGATAACATTTCATGAGTATTGGCCAACTCACAGCCTTACCTCACCAATCAAACCATCCCACCACCCTCCGCCACCACATCGCTGCAAACAATGAACGAACTTTGGTCGCCGCCCCGCCGATCAGTCAGCATTTCCAAAATAAACCTGAGGGACGTCACGATCAGTGCTAATGCTGTTCAGTGCTGTATTCTTCCTGCTTTCTTTTTGTGACATATAAAAAAATTACTAACCGTTTTATAGACGGTTAATTCTTATCAGGTGACGGACACTACACAATGATTTATACGAGTGCTCCCTTCAGACAGTTTTATACTTATAATGATTGCATTTTGTCTACACCTGTGCTTTTTACAGCTTAGACAACGTTTACAATTGTTTTTGGTAAACAAATCTCCCACACGCCTTGACCTCCAAAAGTTCTACGGTAATTCGCTTTCTCTATTAGAATTGTTTGTCCATTGCGTGTTTTCCGTGAACAGATCGAGTAGCGCTTATATCCGTTTTGGTCGCTGAAATCAAACACGATCTGAACAGTCACGATTTCTGTTCCCCTATTGTAGCTTTCCCAAGCTTTGAAAGTCTTACATTTAATGTTAAATGCATACGTTTAATTGTAACAATCATACTGTTTAGCACACTCAGAGAAATTGGGGTATAAATTAGCGAAATTAGAGAGTTTTTGGATGCCTTGAACTTATGGTATTTACGGAATCCAACCCCTTCCAGCGATGATTCCTTTATTATATTATACTGTAGACACTTTTGTCTGCATTTTTTGGGGAATTAATTTCATCTGTTGCCAAGTTCAAAATGAAAAGGGGAAAGCAAAAGATCTCGTACTCTCGCATTCTGTCTGCCACTGGTAGAAAAATTTAAATTATGATTTTAGAAAATCGAATTAAGTTTCCTCCGGCAATTAGGAAGCTCCAAATTACAGCAAGTGATCCAATTGAGGCGCTGGGTGGGCGTAATTGTGGATAATTACGAAACACCCTGTATACGATCCATCCGTTGGTTGGGAACGTTGCCAGCGATCGCTGGATATGCATGATATGTTTCCTCATGGCTGTTCTGTTCTTTCTTTGCAGGGAGGGCAACCACCCCGACGACTACTCGCGCGGTCTCACCTACCGCAAGCTGTTGGAGGAGGTCTGCCGATTCGCGAACGTGCTGAAGGACCATGGCATTAGGAAGGGCGATCGCGTGTCCATCTACATGCCCATGATCTTGGAGCTGCCGATTGCCATGCTGGCCTGCGCCCGCATCGGGGCGGTGCACTCGATTGTGTTTGCCGGCTTCTCGCCGGACTCCCTGGCGGAGCGGATAGTCGATTGCAAGGCCAAGCTGCTGATCACGGCCGATGGGGCATGGCGCGGGGAGAAGCCGCTGTACCTGAAGGCCCTCTGCGACACGGCGCTGGAGAAGGTCGAGGAGATGGGCCACTCCGTGGAGAAGTGCATTGTGGTGTCGCACCTGAAGCGGGTGACGCCCTGCCAGGAAGACCATGTGGAGGAGGAGATACCATGGACCGATGATCGCGACTACTGGTGGCACGAGGAGATGGAAGACAAGGAGCCGGCCTGCTATCCCGAGTGGATGGACGCCGAGGATCCCCTCTTCATGCTCTACACAAGCGGCTCCACCGGCAAGCCCAAGGGTGTTCTCCACACCACCGCCGGCTATCTGCTGTACGCAGCCACCACATTCAAGATCGTCTTCGACTACAAGCCGGGCGATATCTACTGGTGCACTGCCGACGTGGGCTGGATCACCGGACACACCTACGTCGTGTACGGGCCCCTGGCCAACGGTGCCACTTCAGTTATTGTAAGTGCTCTGATTAGCCCCAGTCATGGGACGCAGTAACTAACACATGCTTGGCATGGCTTTTGGCTATTCCAGTTCGAGGGCACTCCATTCTTTCCCGGAAACGATCGCTACTGGAGCGTCATTGACAAGTACAAGGTCACCCAGTTCTATACCGCCCCCACGGCCATCCGTGCGCTGATGAAGTTCGGCGAGGCACCGGTCCTCAAGCACAACCTTAGTGGTCTCAAGTAGGTTTCGAATTGGAATCCATGGATCCCCGAATCTGTGTGCTAAATCCTCATTTGCTTGCAGAGTTTTGGGCAGCGTTGGGGAGCCCATCAATCCGGAGGCCTGGCTCTGGTATTATCGCGTCGTTGGCAAGGAGCAGTGCTCCATTGTGGACACCTTCTGGCAGACGGAAACTGGCGGTCATGTCATCACACCTTTGCCAGGTGCCACGCCCATGAAGCCGGGATCAGCTGTAAGTGAAAAAAAAGGCTAAGGAATCGAATCCCTGAGTAATCTTTGTACCATTCATTCCTTAGTCGTTCCCATTCTTTGGTGTTAAGCCCACTTTGCTGGATGAGTGTGGCATTGAGATCAAAGGCGAGGGCGAGGGCTACTTGGTGTTCTCCCAGCCCTGGCCAGGCATGATGCGCACTCTGTACAACAACCACGAGCGCTTCGAGGACACTTACTTCTCGAAATTCCCTGGCTACTATTGCACTGGCGATGGTGAGTGCTGGAACTCAATTTCTTTGGCATTCAGCTGATTGCATTTTACCCCCCGAACAGGTGCTCGTCGCGATGCTGATGACTATCTATGGATCACTGGCCGCGTGGATGACATGTTGAACGTGTCGGGACATCTCATGTCCACCGCCGAGGTGGAGTCCGTGCTCACCGAGCATCCGCGCGTGGCCGAGTCCGCTGTGGTCTCGCGTCCGCATCCGGTGAAGGGCGAATGCCTCTACTGTTTCATCACGCCCAATGAGAACGAACCCTTCGACCAGAAGCTCATCTCGGATCTGAAAAGGATGGTGCGCGAGCGCATTGGACCGTTTGCCCAGCCCGATGTTATCCAGAATGCCCCTGGCTTGCCCAAGACGCGCTCCGGCAAGATAATGCGCCGCGTGCTCCGCAAGATAGCCGTAAACGATCGCAATGTGGGCGACACTTCGACCCTGGCCGATGAGCAGATTGTGGAGCAGCTGTTTGCCAATCGTCCGGTGGAGGCCAAGTAGATGGCCAAGATATCGTGTACCTCCCATCCCAGGCTTGTCCTCTACATTGGCCATTTTCCAACGCGGACGCATTTGAACCCCTGTTCCTGGCCCTGGCTCTGGCCCCGGACCCTAGTCCAGTGCTTATACGTATCCCGATTACGTGTCCTGTAAATCTCGCTCCCTACACATGCCTACCTATATATATATATATATGTATGTAGTGTATATCTAATGCTAAATGTTGGTCCCGTTCCGGGTTTCGTTCCGGGTTACGACGTGGTTAACTCTTTATAAATTCTATTTAGTTCTTAAGCCGTGTGCGTAAGTAAAACGTTGGCAGGCGGCTGACGACAGACGGAATAGAGATGCTGCTGGATCCACCTGCCTGCCCCAATCACCGTAGTTAAACCCATGCTCAGCACGCACACACATACATTTTTTCCAGTTCTTTTGTTTCTTTGTTGTAGTCGTAGCCTAAGTTCTTGCTAATTCGTTGTGATACAAATTTAATTATATATCTTTACACTTATGTATGTATGTTTAGTAGAATTGATATGATACAAAATATATACACGACTCCAGTTATAGCCACAAATTCACACCAGTATCACCACCCACTTTTCAGTTGTATGCTCTTATGCTTTGTAGTATTCCTTCCTTCCTTTCGTTCGATCTCCACACATTTTCAGCCACGTTGCAGCCACGACACGTAAGTCCGGAACTTGTCCCTGCGCCCCCCCTCCCGTTTTTATATAATATAAGATTGTGAACGATACATATCAGTGTGGGCACATAAGCTTGATATTATTCCTACATAGAATCTACGATACTTACAAGACATAAATTATTTTAGAGAACCACTACTGGGATAATCCACGTACATACTCGTACTCGAACATATATGTGTATACTATGTGTCTGTTATATGGTCTGAAGACTTACTGCAACGAAACATATCATTGACGTTACTGCTGCAAAAACCTAAAAATATTATACTGATTATTATTGTTGTTAATTGAGATCTACATACCTGGAGGAGGATCGATCGCTAGTGGATGGTTCATCAATGAGAACTATGGATGGGGAGTGTAAAAAGTGTGTTAGTTTTACAGAGTGTTGGCAAGGTCTATATACACATATATATATTTATTTAAATAGGTACATACATATATCTGAATGTGTATATCTACGTATATGTACGTGTATAATAAAGTTTATTGTTTCAATACTCGCATGTTGGTACTCGCATGTAGATGCGGATGAAAGATCATTTAATCGATTCAGTTTGGTTTTTTAGCGATACGAAATTCAGATCGCATTGGCCTGGCAAAGACACTTCCAGCATGATTATTCCAGTCTAAATTTCCAAAACAAACGAGAACAAAATTTTCGGCTTTGCTCGGGCGTGCGACTTCTTGGTGGCAGTGGGGCGATAATTAGGGAGCAGAATGCCTGACCAGGACGAGAAGAAAGACGAGAGTAAGGAACCCACACGGCCCACGAATGCAGCCTTAGAATTTGGTCTGGAGGACCATGAAGCCACACAGGAGGATCCGCGGGTAGCGGCTCTGAAGAAGGCGGACGATGCGCGCCGTCTATCGACGCAGAGTGGCAATACGGTCAAGCGCACCGTGTCTCAGTATAGAGCTCAAATCGTGACTCCGCCTCCGGATAAGTCACCTGAGCCAGATTCTGTGGCTGCGAGCCCACCCGATACGCCCTCTGAACTTCCTCAATATGAAACCAGGACAGAACAACAGGCCCACTCCGAGGACCACCCATACAATGCTGCCACGGATTTTGGCTTGGAGGAAACTAAAGCCACAGCCCAAGATCCCAGGGTGACGCGCATCATGATCTCCGAGCGAAAACCAAAGGTAAGCTCATCACGTTTACTCTACTGCCGAGTACTTTGTCCACCTTGTCCACTTTGTCCGGGAAGCAGACACCAACTGCGGAGTTATCGAAATCTCAGCTGCCAACACAGGAGAGTTCAAAGACGCAATTACCGGAGAAAACTGCGGAGGTGAAGCCACAAGAGGCAAGTCCAACACAGGAGAGTTCAAAAACGCAATTGCCGGAGAAACCTAAGGAGGTGCAGCCACAAGATGCAAGTCCAAAAGAAGTTCTGTTACCGCCAGCACCACCGAGGCCCGAAGAGCCGAGGACTGCCCCAAAGCCAGTGGATACCGATAAGATACCTCCACCACCTCCGAGACCGGAGGACGTGCGAATGCCGCCGCCCACAATGTACAGTAGTGGGTGTGTTACGGGTGCTTGTCCTGTGCCAGCAAGGCCAGGACATGGACGCGGTAAAGATGGGGCTTGCAACGAGGCATGCGGCATGCCCTGTAAGAATCCCAATCAGACAGACGTTTGGAAGGACCCAGAAGAGGATACGGGCAACACAAAGAGGATCAACACCGACTACACGATCGACCCGGCGAAGGAGTTTACTCGGACACGGACAAGCACTGAAAAAATTGCTCATTATGATGTGCCCATGCGGCCCACAGATGAGAGTGAAAAGAGTGAAAAGGTTGCCACCGTAAGCACCAGAGAGGCTACTGAAGCAGAAGCTAGTGCAAGTGATGAGCCGGATAAAAAGAAATCGCTAATGGAGTATAGTAGCAGTGAAAGTGATATACCATCGGAAATACCACCCCATATGGTTGATGCAGCAACCAGTGGAACTGCTGTACCGATATCGTCAAAGGAGCCACCTACTGTGGAGGAGCTCTTCACTGTGGCCAGCAAACAGGTGAAGGCGGCGGGTGCCATTGCTCTGGCAGCTAACCAGGGGAAGCAGGAGTACACCACCAAAGAGCATGAGCACGATATCCTGACCCGCACCGATAACGAGGTGGAGGAGAAATTCATACGAGAGATGAGCGCGCTGTATCCGACCCACAAGTAAGTTTCGGTTTCGGCCCACAACTCTTGCACGAGATCAACTGTGGATCCCTCTTCGCAGATTCATTGGTGAGGAGGCCATTTCCAAGTCAGAGACAGGTCAGGTGGAGCTGACAGATGCGCCCACTTGGATCATCGACCCCATTGATGGTACGATGAACTACGTGCACCACTTTCCCTACTACTGCATCTCAGTGGCTCTGGTAATCAATCAGCGGCCCGAGTTCGGCATCGTTTACAATCCACCCATGGACGAAATGTACACGGCCCGACGGGGAAAGGGCGCTTTCCTCAATGGCACGCCCATCAAGACCAGCGGGCAGCAGAGTCTGGAGCATGCCCTCGTCCTGCAGGAGTACAGCACTGGAATGAACGAAGACCGCAATACGGTTGTTCTTGGCAATACCAAGCGTCTGCTCAAGAAGACCCATGCGTGAGTAGGATCGGATCCAACCGACAAGGTCAAAGATCACCTCGAATCTCTTTGATTGCAGAATGCGTTCCATTGGCTCCTCGGCCATGGGTTTGGCTATGGTTGCCTCAGGCGTTGCCGATGCATTCTACTACTTTGGCCTGCATATCTGGGATATGGCAGCGGGCGTGATCCTGGTCCAGGAGGCCGGTGGAGTCGTTATCGATCCTGCCGGCGGTGAACTGGACCTCATGTCCCGGCGCTGTCTGGCAGCCGCATCCATGCCCTTGGCCACGGAATTGTCCGATCAGTTGGACCAAAACTATCCCTCACCACGCGATGACCAGCCAAATTCCCAAACTCCGAAAGTCGAGACGAAAGATTTCTTCGCACAAACTGACTTTACCGACTCAAACGAATCCCTAACCACGGATAATAGTGCAACGCCAAACAAACAAAAACCACCAGTGCATGCTAACCAAGAAGTCTAAGCCACTAAATTATTTAATTATCAACTAAGTATAAATAAAATGCAAGTAAATCGCATATCAAACCGTTAAGTATCAAGAGCATAGCGGAGTTCGCATTTTCGTGACTTTTTTGTTCAAAGGAAGTGCGTAAAATTAGCTAAACTTTTAAAAAATTAATTTATCTATCGGATAAAGTTAGACGTTCAGGGCTGAGGCTCCTAGTTAGTAATATTAAACCGAATCGAGGAATATGACATCCGATCAACAACAAAAAGAACGTTAGCCCATTGTCGACCAGGGGGGTATTTAATACTCCGACGGAAATAAGAAAACTTGAAATATTGTAGTACACTTCAGCCGCAAGATATCGTGATCATTTATTTTTGTTAGTAAAGGAACATTAAGGAACATTCTCAAATATAATTATTTTCCGCGGCTTAGCTCATGTTGTTCTCTTGTTTAAATAGAGGGGGGTTAGGTGGGTTAATTTCGTTGAATCACTCACGATATCGGTATATCGGTATATCGGTATGTTCCTAATTAAATTACAACGATTTTGCACATCAAAATCAGCACCATTCTGTTTCTACAACGCGAACGCAACGAAAATCCACACAATGGGCGACAACGTGGACTTGGAGAAGTGCTTTGAGGTCATCAGCAACCTCTTGACAGAGGCTGGACGCGTAAGTGGTGGAAAGTACACTTGAAACTTTCCTGCGATGGAATTTTCCCTTGCAGTTGATTTCCCTTAACAATGAGACACGCCAAGATTTTGTGTGCAAGAGTGGGGACATTGACTTGGTCACACAGACGGACAAGGATGTGGAGAAGCTCCTGATGGATGGCGTTCGTCGGCACTTCCCCGACCACAAGTAGGCACAAACAGGTAGTGGAGCAGGAGAACAAAAATGACTGTTTTGATACTTGAAGGTTCATTGGCGAGGAGGAGAGCAGCACTGGGGCCGGTGTTAACAAGCTCACCGATGCGCCCACCTGGATCATCGATCCTGTGGATGGTACCATGAATTTTGTTCATGCTTTTCCCCATTCTTGCATCTCGGTCGGCCTGAAGGTTAACAAGGTCACGGAGATCGGCATGGTGTACAATCCCATACTGGAGCAGCGCTTCACAGCCCGTCGCGGCCATGGCGCCTTCTACAACGGTCGCCGGATCCAAGTGAGTGGCCAGCAGGAGGTGGGCAAGGCTCTGGTGACCAGCGAATTTGGAACAACTCGTGACGAGGCCAAAATGGAGGTGGTTAACGAGAATTTCGCCAAGATGGCCAAGCATGTGCACGGGTAAGTTCTTATGGGACGTTATAGTCTTTTCATTCACTATTCCTTCAAATAGTTTGCGCGTCCTGGGCTCCGCCGCCCTCAACATGTCCATGGTGGCCTTGGGCGCCGCAGATGCCAACTACGAGTTTGGCATCCATGCCTGGGATGTGTGTGCCGGCGACTTGATAGTGCGCGAGGCGGGCGGTGTTGTCATTGATCCGTCTGGCGGGGAGTTTGACATAATGTCACGCCGTGTTTTGGCCGCCGCCACGCCCAAGCTGGCCCAGGACATCTCGAAGCTGCTGACGCAGTTCCATCCCCAGCCTCGCGACGATTAGGCAATCTACTCACAAATGGCAAATCCATTCCGTACATAACGTACTTACTGAAATGCATTTGAATTTAGCCCGACCATGTACCTAAAAACCAAATGGCCAACCAATTACTCATGGAAAATTCCAAATAAAACTCGTGTATAGAGTATGTATTCTATATTATCAACATACATACATCGTATCGTCTGATCTGAGTGGATGATATTTTGCAGCTGTTTATCAATTTATTCAAAGACATTTGCCTGCTTGTTTGTTTACTTTTTTTGTAATTGTATTACAATCTGCGTATTTGTGTGTGTGTTTTTCATTCTAATTAGTTTTCGCAGTGTTCTTATCGTCTTTTGCTTATTTGTTGTTGTAATTTGTTTGCGGCTTAGTGTGATGAATATTGTTTTGCCTATTTCTTAGTATGTTAGTAAAGCGAGCTTGCCTTATATCTTTATGGAGCTCATGCCCTGTACTCCAGACCACAAATGGAATAGGTTTTCAGGTTGAATTGGAGCGTTCTCTAGCATGGTCGAATGGTTTCCGACTCATTTACGGATGTGTAATTCTAAGCAATGTTTTTTCTATGTCTTGATATTGATATATGTATGTTCGGTAAACATACGAGTATATCTGGTTTATTTTTTGCACTGTATTTGCTTTCGAGTAGAGCGATGAGCGAGAACTTTTGTTCGTTCGTAGGAAGTCGGCGTTTGTTCTTTGTCAATTTGTATCTTTCTTTATTTATGCGCTGTAGTTGTAGTTGTAGTAAGTTCGAGTATTATGGACTATCGTTAATACCATTTAAAATTTGACACATCATTGAAAAATGTAATCAAAGCTACAGTAGGTAAAAAATTGTATCTATATATTTATTATAATATATATGTGTATGTATGTATGCATATGTATATCATATATATTATGTATAAGTTAATTAGGTAATTTAAAAATCTGTTTTTCTTGTTCGGTTGTTTTTGTTGTTGTTATTGTTGTTAATGCTAGTTGTTAATTCACAAAGTTCCATTATGCGCACTGGTTTACAAAATTAACACAGAGATTTGTTGGGTTTGGGCTTGGGTTTGGATTTGGTTTGAAATCATAATTGTAGAGTCCTAGAAGCAGGAAGAGGAGAGGCTTAACAGAATGTGTGCTAGCATATTAAGTGGTGTGTGTGTGTGTAAGTGTGTGTCTTCTAAGATATTGCAAGTCATAGTCTATATATGTATAGTATATTGATTCTCGATATTCTAATTCAATAAGCGAAAGGTACACATGGAGCATAAAATGGTCGCTACGCCCAGTCGAGTGTCGAGGGTTTGTGTTCGAACCGGTTCGATCTGGATCGTAGCTACCTCTACATTTAATATTTTCTTTGTCACACTAATAAAATGTACAAAAATTTTCTGTATAAATTCAACAATCAATGCAGAGCTTTAGAGAGAAGAATCCATTTTTGATTTTTTTTTTTACATACATATATTTGATATATGGATAGATTTTATGTGTATATATTTAGTTTAGTTTTGTTTCATTTCTGTCTGTGTTTTTTTTATATTTTTATTTGTATTTTTTTAATTAGATTTCAATGTAAACGTAACACACAAATTTAGCACCAATCTATTCAAAAATTGATCAAACAATTTGATTGTTCCAAGTTATACAAACGAAGCCTTAAAGCACTTAAACTAGGGGTACTCTAACCGAAAGATCTTAATCGTAGGTATGTATGTATGTCAAAAGTTTTGATCTTAAGTGATTAACTGAACACTTTCAATGGAGGCTGTTGCCGGAGACGATCTATCCGAGATTGCGTCTGGAGAGATCATCGAGCAACTGATTGGAGGGTGGGGGCGGGGGCGGTAGGTTTGGATAAATAATAATCAAGTCGCAGCAAGTTAATGTTAGAAGTTAATTTAGATTTATTTACACGCAGATACAATAAACGCATCGATCATCATAGGTATAGATTTATCAGATTTATCATCAAGTTATCATTATATGTGTATGTATGTACTCGTATTCATATATCGATTCAATCCTCCAACTTATTCAAGCAAACAAAATGGGTCTTTTTGCTTTCAGACTATTCTACGTCCGTATCTCTAGGTGTACACACATACAGTACTATACGTATATATCTCATATCCGATTAATAGTAATTTTAAGATTCTTAATAAAAAAAACCAGTGTTTATCGAACTTTAACGCTCGCTCTTCAGTCGAGTTCCGTATAGATAGATGCCTTGGGATAGCTGGCCAATGATTGGGGTGATCCTCCAGTCAGTGCTTAGAGCGGGGTCTGGGATTGCTCGAGGAGGGTGCCGCCGGATGGGATGATGTGATGTTCGGAGTGGAGCTTAGCTTGATGATGGTTTTATGGTTTAACAATGAAATAAATAATTTATGTTTGCGCATGGATATGTTCAGCGGGGAGTTCTAGTCCATCTTCCATCTAATTTCAATCGCTGCGAACGCCTTTAACATTGCTAATATGCCTTTAAGCTTAGTTAACTACTCGTGTTTTTCCAGTTAATGTTGATGCTACCTCTTCGTATCCTCTTCGTCTATGCTCTGTTAACGCTAAGTTCTTAAGCCTACAAGTTGTAGAATATTTGTTGCGGTTGCTTTGCACGGCCCTGGGCGTCTCCGGGAATCTTCCTACAGCTCGTCGTCGGCCTTGGGTATGTCGAAGATCTCCGCAAAGAGGGGCGGCAGTCGCAGCTTGGTCCAGTTCATCCGCAGCCAGTCTAGGTGTGAGAAGTGCTTGGCTCCCAGCGAGCGCAGTTCGGGTATCTTAGCCTCCAGGGCGGGCATCAGTTGCAGCGCCTGCGGGGATCCGGCCCGGGAGCGCAGGATCTGTACCCGTAGCGCCTCGGCCACCAGCTCCCGAGCCCGGGCAATCACCTTCGGCTCACTGAGTCCGGTCCGGTCCGAGGCCAGCAGCACCATGGCCGAGAAGAGGCCGATCTCGGTGTCGCTCAGCCCGTAGGCGTTCAGCGTATTGGCAAAGTTCAGCAAGGCATTGACAAAGTCGGTCTGAAAGTCACAGTGGAAACATTAGAGATCTGCAGTGCATAGCCAGTAGGATGTCATTACATCATAGAGTATCTCCAGCTGTTGGCGTGTCAGATAGGCGCCATCGTCCAGCGTCAGCGTCGTGTCATTGATGAGACGCGCCACATGGGTGAGCCACACCTCGAAGAAGCCCAGTTTGATCAGGATCAGCTGGTCATCTTGGGTGAAATCACAGAAGCCAGGTACGCGTTTCGCAAACTCCACAATCCGCTGGACGCCGGGCGTCACCCTGGCCGAGAATTGCTGCCAGAGCCAGATCTTCTGAAACTCCAGGCTCTCCGCTACTGTGGTGGCAATCTATACAGAGATGGGGGGTAGAATCAATATCATTAGCAGGATGCCAAAGCTAACAGAGGAGAGCTTCTTAAAGTACTTACGCCATTCTGTGGCACCGTCACTGGACGTCGCATCAGTTCCCGCGTCAACTCCTCCGTGTAGGAGCAGTTGAGGCGATGCGCCTGCGAGACGCACACGATCACATCGTAGACGGTTAGCTCGTTGGCCGTGCCGGCCATGCCGTCGTGGCACATGGTCACCTGATGGCCACCGACCTCGCTGTGGGAACCAACACCCATGCCGTTGCCCACGCCCACCATTTGCTGGTGTCCGTGTCCGCCCACAACTACAACGCCCACGCCGCTACCCCCACTGGCATTGCTGCCGTTGTTGTTGTTATTGTTGTTGGTGGCACTATTGCAACCGCCCAGCTCCGATGGCGAGGAGGCAATCGAACACATTTGTGGCGTTTGTGGTGTACTCGGTGTCTTCACACGGACGCTGTTCACGTGCGGCGGCGGCGGCTGCTGCTGCTGCTGTAATTGCTGTATTTGTTGCTGTTGCTGCAGTTGATTTGTATGCAAATTATTGGCGGTGGAATCATCCACATTTAGAGGCGCACCGGCCAACAAGGGGCAGGCAGATGTAGAGGTGGCTCCAGAACCTCCTGCTGTGGACCCAGTGCCGTTCAGCTCACGGGATCGCTTGGGAACGCGACCATAACGTACAGCTGCAACCAAAAGGGAGAGGGAGAGGACTGGTTAATTATGAACTTTTCAGTTTCCCATCCCCACATATAACGAACAAATAATTGTGTCCGATATATTTTAATTCATTTTCTAAAAGATTAGTTAATGTTTAAAAGACCTTTCTTTTTATTGGATTACTTAAAAAAAAATGCCCCAAGCTATGCTATATTTTCTATGCAATAATTCGTGTAGAATTCGTGTAAGATTCATGTAGAAATGCCAGTTTTGACGCGTACCTGACTCCAATCGAATACCAATTGGTGAATCGGATTAAAATACGGAATTTTTGAGAAAATAAAACACCTTTTCTTCCCAAGAAAACAAAATAATAAAATTGCCAAAAATGCCTAAAGGAGCAGCTAGGCTAGGTTTTTCCCCCGGACATTGTAACTTTTGGTTCCGCGGTTTACAATTTTTTTTTTAAAGAATATACAAAAAGTAATTTTAGAAAAAATTAAAAAAGTAAAATGGTTTCCCTCAAAGTAGAATATGAACATAATTTCTTTCATTTCTGTTTCTCCTTCTGCAAATTAGTCACAAAACTATTTCCCATTTAAACATATAGTTTTATGTACAAAACAGTCAATTAATATTAACATGATAGCACTTCTGGCATCCTCTACAGATTTATATATGTATAAGATTAGTCAAATACCCAGCAATGAATATAGATAGTATGTAGTGGGAGAAAAAGAAGAACTGGCACACGCATAAATCTTATAAAATGCGTCACACACTAGTGGATACATATATACATACATATGTACATATGTATGTTCTTTGGCGTTGTAGCAAATTGCCAACATTGCGATGCTATCAACTAGAAAATTTCGGTGTCCTACAACTTGTTGAAATGGAAAGGCAAACAGACTTGTGTCGGGGCCAAAATAATTCAATTTATATTTCGCATTTTGAAGTGATGCTCATTAGCCTCAGGTTTTTTGGCTATTCGAATTTTCTTCTTTGTAAATTGCACAACATGACATTTCCTTTGTGCAACCAAATACTCGCACTCGCGTTTGAGCATATTTTATTAATTAAAATCGCATTTGGCTGGCAGACAGACAAGAGGCAAAAGCAGACGCAGCTGCTCCAGTTGCTGGCTTTCAGCTGGCGCTGTGGCTGTGGCTGCGGCTGTTACTGTCTGTGGCTGTGGCTGGACGGCAGTCGGCGGGCACCACCACGCTCACTTTATCAGTGGGACATTGACCCACTGCGCTCAATATGAAAACGGAGGCAAGTGATTTTGTTGTTGCTGCTGTTGCTGCTTCTTTCGCCTTATATGTGTATTTCTGTGTGTATTTCTTCAGCTTTGTCTTGTTATTGTGGTTCGTTCGGTAGCCGGCGGCATCCGCGGCGATGGTTTCCAAATGACGAAAGCCTGCCCCTGCCGCTGCCTCTGCCCCCGCCGCTATCTCTGCTTCACAGTGTTGTGGTGTGGCCAGCAATGCGTCAGCAATCAAGACAAAATAATATCGTAAAATAAAGCAGCTAAAGTGAAAGAAACTTCGCATGCATTGCGCATACGCAGCGTTGCCGTTGCCGTGGCTGTTGCCGGAAAAGTCTTGAACACGCAAGTGTTCAGCTGCCTTGGGGCACAGCATCATGCAAAGTGAAAGATGGCCATTACCCGATGCTGGCCAGCAACAGCACACTGACCCACATACTTCCACACACGAATGAAGGATCACAGAGGTCATTAGCGGACAGCAGGGGCGTGTCTGGGCCAGAGTTTTCCCCTGGCCACGCACCAACCTTGTCACAGTTACACTTTGGCGATGTTATTGTGCCCGAGAGTCACGCTTTTCAACGCCCACTCACCCCCGCCCCACAAAAGCCATAAAGAGTTGGCGTTAATTGTCACAGCTCGTAAATTAATTATGGCATAATATAACTATGGCACACACACACCTCCACTCCACTGCCCCGTCAATCCCCTCGTAGTGGCTGTCCAGCATTGGATGTGCATTATGGGGCAGACGTGGATGTGGATGTGGCTGCCACCTTCAAATCGCAGTCTTCGCTAATTGCTTGTGGCGGGCACTCGGCGTTCTTGCTCTGTTTCTTTTGAGGTGCTTTCAATTAGCGGCTCATTGCCCATCGCACCATACTTGTGCCCATTGATTTTGCAGATTTCAAAGACGAATCTCTGGAGTCTGCCCTCGAAAAGTGTGAGGCTTGAGGAGCGGTTCGAGCTGAGCAGAAGTGGAGCAGCTCAATGGATCAATGGCTTTGCGTGTGAATCCATAATGGAGAAGTATCTCCAGATTGGAAGTACATTCGAGGGAGGGAAGCCAAAGCCTCTTACTTGTTAGAGAATTAACCCACATTACTCTTTTTCCACCCATAATCTCCCCCATCATTACTTATTCGATCCTTGTGGAGCGGAGCCTGGCCAGCAGTGGCAGCAGCAGCTCCACAATCGCCTGTCACCTGTCACCACCCACAGACCCATCGCCCACACCCATCGTACGCCTTGGCACGATGGGTTCCTTGGTTCAGGTCAACATCATCCATTACACACGTTCCATGTCCGGACCAGGCCCATTCAGGGGAGCCAACATAAATAAGGGGAGCATTGCTGGCCTAAGCTCAAACTTTTTTCCCATCGTTGCTGCCAGCTAAAAGCATCTTAAGTGATTTAGTGCAGCCAAATGACGAGCAGAGTGCTGTACAGGGGAGTAGAAGAGGGCGGCAGAGGGCCAAGAGTGGGCCAACAAAGAGAAAATGAGGTGGTGTGGAGGGGTTGAGGCGGGGGGATGGAACAAACTCGTTTAGGCCATAGCCAGGGCATCCGCATACAAGTGCGGTTCAAGCCAAGTCGAGCTCCCACTTCTGGCCAGGGGGAAAAGGATTTGGGTCACCAAAATCTGTGGCAGCAGCATCAGCAGCAGCATCAGCAGCAGCCGTAAAGTGGCCAAATTTTGCCCGCATTTAGCTTACTTTCCCCCCCATACCCACATCTTCGTCTCGGACTGGAGCAGCGGCCATTAGCATGCAACACACAGCAACACACCCATACATACATATGCATTTATGTATGTATGTATGTACGTTTATGTGGATGGATATATAATGTATAGTTGATATTTTTTGGGCTTTAGCGTGCGCATGAATGGCCCTGCCCTGCCCTGTCCCCGACCCCGTATTGCTGTTGGTGTTGCTGCTGCTGCTGCTGCCTGACCTCGTTTGAGGTCGTTCGTTCACCTGTCGTCGCTGCCTGCACTTTATGCACTCTACATTTGCATGACTGCATGGGTGCATGTGTGTGTGTGTGTCTCTGAGAGCTGCAGAGTGTGTGTGTGTGTTTACCCAGTTACGAAAGGTCCAAAATGCTGCGGCTTACTGCTGGGTGAAAGTTTGTTGTTTGTTTGCCGCTCACCGTTCGACAAAAAAAAAAACAACAAAAAACAAAGAAAAAGAATTTCAGAGCTTAAGAGACTTTCGTAGATACCCTTATGGGTGGGGGAGTAAGCTCCGTTTTGATCAGCTATAAAACTCCACAAAGAATTATATTTTGAAATACCCAAAAAATGCATCGATTTTCCGATACTTGAAGTCAGAAACAGAAGCAACAAGTGCGAGTTGTTCTCTGCGAACTTTCCGAAAAGATCTTCGTAGTACCAACAACACTTCCTTTATCAGAATTTCCATTAGTTGTAATCAAAAAGTGTATTTTAATTTCGTTGTGTCGAATGGCTCTGGCCGCTTCTTTTGTTTGCTTTTCTATTTGTTCCATATGCACCTGGGTGTGCCTGTGGCTGTGTGCCTGTGTGTGTGTGTGAGTCGGAGTATCTGGAACAGCTAAAATTGTTAGTTGCGTGCTAAATTTGTTGCTTTATGCCGGCGGCAGCAGCAGCAACAGCAACAGCAACAACAACAAGTCACACGCAGCAACCGCCCACCCTCTTCGGCGAAACCAGCAACAACTAAAACTAACAACCAACAAAATTGTGTCATGCAATTTGCGTAAATTATCGCAATGCTGTTTGCTGTTGCCTCTGCTGTTGCCTCTGCTGCTGTTTCTGCTGCTGCTTGTTGGCTGTTGATTGTTGCCAGTGCATGAGGACAATTGCAGTCTAATGACCGTTGAAATGAGTTGAAATGTTCAACTTCGATTTGCCATGACACATATTTATTTGATTTGATTGGACTCCCAAATGGGATTTACAGTGAAGTAAACCTAATCCTGATTGGCCGGACAGTTCCTGACATTAACCGGGTAATCGCAAACGAATTTTTCGCGGTTGAACCACATTCCCAGCTCGCAGAATCCCAGCATGGGACAGTTCTGCACGCAGGTCCAGAAGAAGCGACAGTGCTGGGCATGTGGAATGATCTGACCATGGAAGCTGCACTGCACCTCATTATTGGTACAGTGGGAGGGTGTCCCTGGGTCCACTGGGTCCCCTGGGTCCCCTGGGTCCACTGGGTCCCCTGGGTCCACTGGGTCCCCTGGGTCTCCTGGACTCGGTGTGTTTTTACAATCGCTGCGCGGACACTGTCCAGGCACACAGGCATTGAGACTGCTGTCGAAGATCTCCCCCTGGCTGCATTTCACCCGCTGTATGACATCCTGGCCGCATTGGAAGTAGCCCGAGCAGTCATCGCAGTCGGGCAGCAGATCGCCGACTTGATGGTTCTTGCAAATACAAAAAGTATCCAAATTGACGCCGTCCTTGTTGGGACACTTTGAGTGTGCTTCTGATTTGTTGCAATCGCTGCGAGGACACTGTCCAGGCACACAAGCCTTGAGCCTGTTGTCGAAGATCTCGCCTTGTTGGCATTTCAGTTTCTGTATGACGTCCAGGCCGCATTGGAAGTACCCTGAACAGTCATCGCAGTTGGGCAACAGATCGCCCACCTGATGATTCTTGCAAATGCAAAACGAATCCGAATTGCAGGAAGAATACTCCTGCTTCTGGTTCGGGTTCTGGTTCTGGTCCTGGCCCTGTACCATGGAAATCGACAGAAGCAGGAGCCACAAGTTTACTCCAACTGCAAAGGATATTCCCAGTAAAGAATATGACTGAGGCAGATGCCCAACCGGCTGATGCTTACCCAACGTCATGGTGTCTTTAAAGCGTTAGAATCCGCACTGATTGGCAGTCGGTGGAACCAACGACATTTTATATGTTTAGGTGTTATGTAATTGCTACTTTGTTGCCACTTGTGGACAGTGCAATTGACCCGACTTCTAATGGTTAGTGCCACTGCGTATCAGACATTCACTTGCGATAATCTTTCCACTTCAGTTGATGTTTGTCTTATAATATTATCAAGCGATAGATACAAGACGTTAAAGAGAGCGACCCACTGCATAAAATAAACAGCACAATGGGGGCCACATACCCACATTCTGATCAGCCAACAAATGACCCCAAGACCGGATCAAAGAGGCGAGCGGAGCACGTGTTTGCGTACATTTTTGGGGCAGGGCAAACAGTCAGAATATGAATAAAAAATCGAGTGAGAAATGTGAGAAATCAAAGGCACACACCACCACACTCATCGCATAGTATGCAAATTTCGTACTGACCTACTCCCATAAGAAAATCAAATGGATCCAAAACGAACCAAAGCACAGCACAGCACACCAAAGCAAAGCAAAGCAAAGCAAAGTAAAGCAAAGAGAAGAGAGGATAAGCAGATATATGTATGGAGAGACGAGGCATTAATATCCAAATTCCCAACTCAAATTGGGCTGAGAATTGTGAGAAAGAGATATGTGTATGTAGACAGAGAGGAGAAGAAATATTTATGCAAATCCCAACAAGAGGGCGTCGATCTCAAGTCAATCAATCAGAATTTTTGGTTTGCTGGAGGGGGAATGAGTCGATGGAGATAGATTGATAGATGGATAGATGGATAGATGGAAGTTCTATGGCAAATTGCGGGCAATTAGCATAGTCTCTGTGCGGCTTTCCCTGAAAGTGTAAATGGGCAGAGCCCCCACCCCACCCAAAAGCGGGGGAAAAAGCGTTAGAAATAGTTTTATTTTCTCTCTATCTTCTGTGTACTGTGGCCCCTCATTCACATGCTCATCTAAGCTTCTGTACCGCCCTCTGCCCACTGCTATGCCCTGCCCCCCATCCGTCTCTGCTGAGTGTGCCCCTCTTCCATGTGGAGTCTTCGCCTCCTTCTCCACAGACTCAAATGTATCTACGTATACATAATTCACTTAAGCGGGCTCAACGAAGCGAGATGAATGACCTCAATTTGAATAGTTGTCTCTCTCTGTCCGGCTGTCCGGCAGTCCGACTGTCTCTTTCTGTTCATCTGTTCATCTGTCCATTTGTCCGCTTGTGTGTCCGCTCTGACTGTCCGTCTGTCTGCCCGTCTGTCTCTGTGTGTCCGCCTGTCCATCTGTTTGCTGCCATGACTGACTTTTTGGGTGCCATTTAAATCAACAAAAGCCACCGCCTACTTTTTTTTTTTGACAATCTCTTTCGTAGTCTTTCACATCTTTTGGAGGCCTCTTTTCTTCTCGTTTTTTGATTGCATTCTTGTAAAATTATTCAAATGCTCTACAATTTTCGGGGCCAGTTTTCTCTTATTAAACACGCAGCAGCAGCAGCGGCAGCAGCACAGCTCCAAAGCAAAGCGGGAATTGAGGTTATAATTATAACTGCCTCTGCTGCTGCTGCTAATGCTGCCTCAACTGCTGAAAGGAGTGGCTGGCTGCTGCCCCATCACCATCATCACCAACATCATCGTTGTCGTCGTAGTCGCAGTCGCAGTCGCTGTTGGCATCGTTTTTCTTTTTTATCTATTTGACACAATTCTCTGGGCAAAGTTGAGTTTGCTGTTGCCTCCGTTACTGCCTCCTGCCTCCTTCCACCGTCCACCACGACTCTCTCGCTCTGTGCTGTCAGAGATTTCTGTTTAGTGACACAGTTTATATTACAGGGAGAAGTCGAGAAGCGTTCTCTTCTCCCCTTGTATTTTGACTACCTAATTAGATAGAAAACAAAAATAAAATGGAAAATCCAGTTATGGTGGCGTGGAAATTTTTTGTAGGATTTTGTGTGGCAAGCTACAGACAGACAGTGGGTGGTTCCACTGATTGAGTGGTTAGATCAAAGACAGCTTGAGGTTTCGGGTCAAAAGCAAAGCTCGTTTAATGACACGAAATTCAGACAAATTGCTGCAGACAAAGGCAGCAGATTCATCTGTCAAATCTGTCTATGGAAAACAGGCAATAAACGTTTCAATTAAGCTGCAGATTAACGCAGATTATCGCCATCAAAAAACAAACCACCAGAAAACATCAGTACTTATATGGATTTCAGTGAAATTACCAGATCATTAAGCGTATCTTGAACCTGTTCCAAAAACCGCATTCACTTATTTATTTCTGAAACAAAATCGAAATCGAAATGCGAATTAAGCATGCAAGAAACGTCATTAATTTACCACCACCAGCAAAAAAAGAAGCAGAGAGAGATAAAAATATAATTAAATATTAAAAGCTGCGAAGAGCTCAGAGTACGAGCATGAAATCCGTTCAACAGCCGGAAGCGAAAACGGGTCCCGGGCCAGCGGTGCGTATGAGTAATGCCAAACCACCACACTCGAGTGGGGATCTTATCAAATATTTGTACTAAAATGTGCGGCTAAATTAAACAGCCAAACAACGGCAGGGCAGCAGTAGCAAAAGCAGACGCCCAAAAAAAAAAACGAAATAAAAGAAGCAAAATAGGTTTTCGATGCTCCAATTTGATAAGCGGCGAACGAGTGAGCGAGCGAGCGAGCGAGCGCATTAGCAATTAGCGAATTAAATGCCAGCCCAGCGGCGAGCGCGCGTTTGTGCTATAAATGTTTCAATGAACTAAAAAAGCCTTCAGAAAGACCCCTCATCCCATCATCCCACTCTCCATACATACATACATCTATCTGTCTGTCTATCTATCTATCTATCTGGCTGTGGGAGCCTTAATGAAAAAACAAACAATTAAATTAGCCAAGAGGCAAACGTCGGGCAGGGCAGGCCGATGGCGAAGGCGAAGACAAAAATACGAATCGTCAGAGGAAAACTAGAACGCCGCCACATTTGTGGGATGCCAAACCACAGTGAACTGCTCGTAGATACAGTAGTCTGTCGAAGGGGCAGAGAAGAGACAAGACAAGACAAGACAGAGACAAGATACAGATACAAGCGGTAGATGAGATCAATGCTCGCAGTCAGTCGTCCAATCGAACGTCGAATCGTTGGGTCATCGATCGTTAGGGAAGGCAGGGCCTGTGATTGATTGAATTAATAATACAAATTAACAGCGCCAAGTAGGTAAGATCAATGATCGCCCAGAGCCAAGTGGCACGGCACGGCCTGCTGTGGGTGCTACGCCACGAAACAGCAGAAGCTGCCCGAGTGTCTACAGCGGTCACAACACTAGCGATACGCATCACAATAGTAGTGGGGGCGGGAGAGGATCTACTCTAATTGAGTTGAAAGAATGTTTGGTTTCGTGTGATCGATCGACTGGAAATAACTCTGTGCGCAGATCATAAATAGGAATGATCTCTGATCAGTGGTTTTTCATGATGATCGCTTGACTAGATCTACGGAATTGCCTCACTGATGCACGTTCGAGCAAAGCGACCAAGTCGAGCGAATATTAATCCCGGCAGATGATTGCGAACCAGCAGCACAGTCAATTTGATCATCCCATGTTATCCTCCCCTCCATCGAATCTCAACATAATCAGATCACTTAGTGGACCATCGATAGTGACCACCGTTTCCTGTCTGCTTTGCTCTGCTCTGCTCTCTGGCTCAACATAATAAGATCAACATCAGATCCGTCACCATATTGTCAATGAAAGTCAACAAGAGTCGTTGTCTTCATTATGAGGAGGTCTCACACACACACACAGACACACACACATCCGCACGATCATTGACCGGGTGGACGGACGGACAGAGAGTTGTGCAGGCGCGTGAGTGATTTCTTGGCTCCTCTTCCTCTCTGGACGCTGCTGGTGGAGCTGCTGCTGCTGCTGTTTCTGTTTCTGCCGTTGCAGGAGTTTTCAGACACAGGCCCCAGGGCACTGGCCAATGGCTACTGATCGCAACAGCAACAGCAGCAGTGGAGCCAGCAGCATCACCCTGCCCTGACAGTGCGTTGAACTATAAACGTCGTTGTCGTTGAATCGTTGAGAATGATGCTCGTTCTTTGCTGTTGTACTCTTAAGGAGGGTATTATAATTTCAAGCATAGATTTGTAGCGTGCAGAAGTAATAATCTGTACTAAATACATATATTCTTGATCAATATTGTTCTAGGGCAATTAGTTTTAGAGATATTTCGCTGTTTCCTTGCCCTGTACATTTATTATAGCTGCCATAGAAACAATTGTTCTGAAAGGGTATCAAAAGCTTCGGGCGTTTCCCTCCCTTCTTGTTTGTTGTTGTCTTTAAAGATCTCTTCTGTGTTTGTTGTTGCTGTTGTTGTTGTGGCATTTCATTCTTGATTTTGCTTTGGTGCTGCGTTGTTTGGCAACGTCATCGTCATTATCATCAACATCGCAGCAGCAGCAGCAACAGCAACAAACATCATTACGATGATTCCCAGCGTCATCATTATGCGAGAGTCTGGGGTTGAAGTTGTGCGTTTTTTTTTTTGTTCCTTCTCATTTTGCAATATCATAATCAGTTAGCCCCGCTCTCCTGATCCCTCCCCCGCCCCTTATCGTCGACTCTGGCTCTTTCCCACACCCAGCGCTCATTTAGCAATTCGAATTTTGAATTCGGTGCAACGAACGCGAATTTTGCTGCTGTTTCTCTTTCTTTCTTATACGAGACTCGTACAGTCTTTTTTTTTCGGTGTGTGTTTGCTGACTCTTTTTGTTTTTTTGGTTTTTTGGGGCTTCTGTTCTCCGTTCTGCCCGCTCCCCGCTCCTTCCTCCACACGATCTTCGTTGTGGATCAGCTGTGTGGTGCTGGTGGCGATGTGGAGTGGAGTTCGCTCTGGAGGTCGATCCCTTTATGGGCTCTCTGCTTGCGGATTGCTATCAAAATGCAGCTCTGGCGGTGCTTCACCCTTTGCAGTCGCCTTGCCTTGCCATCCGTC